CTTATTAAGTTATTTAAAATCTACTATAAGTTTTAAATTATTATAATTTAGTTTTAATATAAATATAACTAAATATCTTATAAAGGATTTTAATAATTTAATATATCCTTTCTTTAATATATTATTTATTTATCTTTTAAGTATATTAAGCTTATTTCTAAATATTATAAATAAGGAAGAATTTTAGGTTTTTTTATCTTTTAATATAATTTTAATATTATAGTTTATATATTAAAGCAGCTTAATATTTAATTCCTTTTAAAATAGTTTCTTATAAATATAATATTTTAATAATATATTTTAAAGTTTATTATTAAATTCTATTTAGGTAATCTATTTTATTTATTTAATATCTTAATTTAATTATTTAAATTAACCTTTAAAAGTTATTATTATTTATTTAATATATTTACTTCTGCCTTTATAGTATTTATATTATATTTTTATTAGAATTAGGTAAGTATTTATTATATCTCTATACCTTATTTTATTACTTTCTTTAATTAAAATCTAAAATCTTATATTATTATTATTTAACTTATTTAACTTATTATTTAAAAGGTAATCTTTATAGTTTACTTAGCTAGTTCTCTAGTTAAATTAAGGGTTATAATATAATAACTATAAATATTTAAGTATTAAATTATATTTCTATATTAAGATACTATTAAAGTTAATACCTTAGTTTTTTCTATTAATAAATACTTTAAGATAATTAATTTCTTTAATAATACTTTTATTTTTATAATTATAAATGTCTTTTTCTTTACTTCTTATTATATAAGGGTTTTTCTTATCTTTTTATAATAGCTAGAGTTTATTTACTATATTAAGGGAAATAAAACTTATATTAGCTTTATTATTTATAAGTATATTTAGCTATTTACCCTTAATCCTAACTTTTAGTTTTAAGTAGGTTTTTTATTTTTTATTTATTATTATTCTTAAAGCTTTCTTAAAGAGTTTTATTTCCTCTTACTTTTAACTATCTTATAGCTTTATTAAAAGTAATATATAACTTTTCTTAATATATTTTAATATATCTTATTATATTTATTACTATATTATCCCTTATTATTAATATAATTATTAATATATTCCTTATTATATAATTATTATTTAAACCTTTTTTTACTTCTTTTTCTTTATAAGCTATATAATAGTAAAAGATTTTAAGGTTAATATATATATTAAAGTCTTTTAATTTATAAATTTTAAATTCTAATAATATGTTATTACTATTATTAATATTTTTATTTATAAGAATCCTGAGGTTATTAAGGTTTAAAGTTTATTATTATTTATATCTTTCTTTATAAGACTTATTTTAATTATATATTTTATTAATAATATTATTTTCTTTTATATTAAACTTATATTATATATATTATCTTTATTATATAATATATTTAGAATTTTAAATATAAGCTAGGGCTTTTTCTTAAGTTTTTATATAAGCTTTTAGTTTTATAATATAAAATCCTTTATATCTCTATATAACTTAATATATTATTATATTAATAATTAAATAAGGTTTTTATTTTTAGTACTTTTTAATTTAAATTAAGAAATAGTTATTTATTATTTTATCTTATTAATATTATAAATAGTAATATTATATATATAATACTTATAATATTTACTTATAATTAAGATAATATAAATATTTCTATAAGTCCCTTTTTAATTAAATAAGTTCTTTTAAATTTATAAGATCTTTAATAACCTCCTTAATATAGGCTTAGATATAAATATTATTATTTTATTTTATAATTACTTATTCTCTTATAAGTTCTATATATTTTTAATATTTACTACTTTAAATATAGTTTTTAAATTTATTATATTAAGGTATAATTTTAGTATGTTAAATTATTAATATTTCCTTATATTTAATTTTTCTAGTATTAATATCTCTTTAAGCTTAGCTAATACTTATATAATTTAGATTATTATTATATTAATTTAATTATTTTAAAATAACTTTAATAAGGATTTTATTTATTATTAAGTAAGGGTTATATATAATTACTTTATCTTATATTTTAAGAAATACTTTTAATTTATTATCCAAGTTAGGGTTAATTTCTTTTCCTTTTTTAATTATAGTAATAACCTTATTATTTATCTTAATTAGTTTAATTACTATTATTTAATTTATAGTTTTTTTAATTTATATTTATATTTCTTCTTTTATTTTATTTTTTATTTATAAAGTCTTAGGTTTTCTATTATTTTAATATAATTAGCTTTTTTTTTTTTTTTTTTTTTTTTTTTTTATTTTTTTTTATTTTATCTTTTTATATCTTATAAATACTAAAGCTTAATATCTTAAAATAAGTTATTGTTTTAAAGTTAAATAAAAATATTATTTTTTAAAGGTTTTTTTCTTATTAAGAAATAGATTATATATATTATAAGATAAGTTAAAGTTTTAAATATATTTTATAAGTTTAGTTATATTATATCTTTCTTTTCTAATTATATTAATAATCTTAATTATTATTTAAGGTTTATCTTTCTTAATAATATTAATCTTCTTACCTTTAAAAACTAGTTTATATTTTTAATTAGTTTTAATAAGGTTTTTATATTCTTATTTAAAGTATCCCTTCTTATTATAGTTATAATAAGTAATCTTTAACTTATCTTATTTAATTATATTAATAATTATTAATTCTACTTTAGTATTATAAGATATATTAATTTAGTATTTTTATCTTTAATTAATATTTTATTATTTATTATTATTTTACTAGGGATTATATAATTCTTTATATTTTTAAACTTATTTTTTATATTATTATTTATATTATTTATTATTAATTTTAATTATAATAGTAATAAGATTATTTAAGTTAGTAAATTTAAGTCTAATATTAATTATATTATCCTTTATTTTAGATTTTAATTTTAAATATATTTAAGCTATATATACTTTTTTATTTTAATTAAATTTAAATACTTAATAATAATACTTAATAAGATATATATTTATAAATCCTTTTTATTTAAGTTATTAGATTTTGATTTTTATTATTTTTTTTATTTATTATTTTATATATATATATTATAATTTTATTTTAAATTATTTATAACTAAAATAAATATAATTAGTAGTATATTTATATTTCTTATATAAGTTATTAATATAATTATATATAATAAATTTAAACTATTTAAAGGCTTTATCCTTAAAAAGCCTTATAGTATATTATACCTTAAGTTTATTAGTTATGAATTAAGTTAAATAATATATCTAATAGGCTTATAAATTAATAAGGAATTTTTAGAGTTTATTATAGTTATTATTATAAAGTTCTAGTTAATAAGGTTTAAGGATTTTTTTAAGGTCTTTTTTATTTATAATAAGTATTATAATATATTTAATATAATCTTTATATATTTTATAACTATTTTTAATATCCTTATTCAGGGCTTTAGCTAGGTTAATAAGTTTAATTATCCTTTTTTTAAGGCCTTAATTTTATTTTTAATAATATTAAAGTTATTTTATATATTTTTTAAAAAGTTATTATATTATTTCTTTTAATTCTTTAAGTTATTATTTAAGTTTTATAACTTCTCTTTTATAAGTATTTAAGTAAATAAAAGTAATTTGTTTTTTTTTCTTTATTAGTATTTATTAAAACTTTATAATACTCCTAAGGAGTTATAAGTTATTTTATTTACTAATTAAATTTTAAGATAAAAGTATAGCTTAATTATAAGTTTTATTAAGTAGCTTATAATAAAAATAAAGAGAAAGTATAAGTTGCTAATTAATTAGAGGAAATTTATAGGGTTTATATAATATAGCCGCAAGGATTATAATAAAAAGAGGGTTTTTAAAGGCCTTTAATAGTAGCTTATATAATAAGTAGCTTAAGGATATTTAGTAATAAGTTAAAAAGGTATTAAAAAAGATTAAAAACTTATAATATAATATTTAGGATAAAAGTAAAGTAATTATAAGGTTTTATAAAAGAAAAATATATTAAGTTTTATACAAGTTTAGCTTACCTAAAGTTAAAGATATTTAGTATTAATAGTGAAAAGAAGATTAAATAAGTTATAAAATAAGCTATATAACTAAATAAGTAAATTAGCTATAATATTAATATATTATTAATATAAACAGGGGTTATTACCTTTTATATTATTTTTAAATTTATTTTTGTAAAAATTAATATTTAAAGGGGTTTTAAAAAAGCTAGATTTACTTCTTTTAACTTAGAAAATATAATCTTAAAGCTTAATATATAGTTATAAACCCTAATGCCTCTTAGGGAGGCTACCTAATTATTAATATTATAGGCTTTAAAGACCTTAAAGATAATAATTAAGGCCTAATTTTAATTTAAATATCTTAAAAAGTAAATTAAAAGGAATTATAATACCTTCTTAGAATTTATTATTAAAGCTTTAAAATTAGCAATTAAAATAATAAAAGTAATTAAATATAAGGTTATTTTATTAAAAGCTAAGCTTTATAATTTTTAAGATATAAATAAGATATTAAGCTAATATTATAAAATAAAAAGATTAAATTATAAAAAAAACAGACTTTAATTATATAAGAAGTATTATAAGTAACTAATTAAATAAATATTAATATATAAGTAATAGCTAAATTATTAAAAAATACTAATTAAAGAAGGTTAAAATAATTAGGTAATTAGTATTATAATATATATAATAAAGGCAGGTATAATATAAGAACTTATAATATAATTCTTAAGTTATTTAAGGAGGAATTTAGTAAGTAAAAGTAGCCCTTTTTAACCTATAGGTTAAGAAGCTTAGTAGTTAACTCGCTTATTAAACATGTTATAAGTATTTATATAATTATTTTAATATTTATATAATACCTATAAGTATTTTAGGCTTTATAAAGTGCCTAATAAGTATTTATAGGTAATATCTTATATCTAGTTTTATACTTAGGTAAATAGGTATTATTATATTAGTAAGTACTTATAGGAATTTTAAGCCCTACCTGTTGAACCGGAGATATACCGAAATACCTAGAAGGTCACTAACTAAGTGGCGAGCCTAGTTTTTGGCCCTGTGGTCGGTTTAACACTACCCTTACTCCCTTGCATTATAGTGCATTTACACTATAGGTACATCTTCTGTTTCTTCGGGGTATGGACTGGGCTGTAGTCCAAAGGTAATCTAAGACAACTCTCCCTTGAGAACGTTAATATATGCTAATACTAGGGAGTGACCCCACCTCCACAGTCAGCATGCTTAATCGTGTCTGGTAGCATTCCATGTCGAAAGACAGATAAAGGATACTCTCAATTCATTCCATTTCCAGCAAATTCAAGTGTTGAAAACCTAGTCTTCACTACACACATCGCTCTGCAGCGATAACATGTCAGAAGACCATAACAGTGATTGACATCTTGGGGGATAACTTACTCCTACTCTGTTGGGGCATTTATGTGATCTCCATGTGTCAAAGATCCCGTCACTCTCGATACACCCCCAGTCACAATTGCAGCCGAAGGGATTGCACAGTGTTCCACTGATATCGTAGTTGCTGACATTTGTGCATCCTGCGGCGCGTGCATCTCTTCGCGCATCCGTTCGATTGTGACAGCTACCGGTTTCATCGCGAATCTGGATGTAAAAAGCAGAGGCTGACACTGCAGAGCAGGTCACGGCAATGATGGTGAACTTCATCGCTGTGAGAAAAGGCCGGAGGGATCGGCGTCAATAGAGGATTGTTTGTCAGGGCGAAGTAACTACCCAAAGGTGAAAAGACGTTACATGGACATCCTTTCAAGATAGCCATCTCTGTAAATCGACAGGGCAGGGCCGTAATTTAAATTAACAGACTACAAGACATGTCTGAACTCCGATGCAGCTTTTACTGACAATATGTCGCGTCATAATTGTGGCCGCATTCCTCACAGGAAGTGGAGATTTGTCAAGGGAGGATGGACATTCTTATTAAAGCTGGATATACTACAAATCCTGGCAGGCTTGGATCTCATATTAAATCTTGCCAGCTCATTGAGAAAAGGCTAATGCATATAGTCAACAGAGAGATTTATAACATTGGAACGGTAAGCAAAAAAGAATTAATCAGCTATGTCAATCGACCACGCCAGGAGTCGAACCTGGAATCTCTAGAGGGATCAGTTGCTGAAGACCGAAATCTAGCGCCTTAGCCATTAGGCCACGCGGCCTGATCTTATTGGATAGTTGTGAGTCACAGTAATTGAATAGTTATAGACTGTCCATTCAGAATTGCGTCTTTTGCCATCTTCGCCAACCTTCAATACTTCCATCTTACTTCATTCTCATCAGCTACCTTAAACGAGGTTTGAACTGCGTGTAGGCAACTCGTAGCTCTTGGAATTGATGTTATGTTGTCCTGCGTCTGCCATCCCTCCTGGATTACTAGGTGTTTTAGAGGGAACTTAAAGTAGTGCTCTTTACTCTATTCCCACAATCAAGATTATATAAGGATTACTATTACTTAAACCGCTGTAATAGTGCAGTTTAATGTTAATGACTTATAGCCTTAATTTATACTTATGGCTTATCTTATAAGATCTAAAGATCTAAGTAATAGTTTTAATATTAATATTCTTAGTAGATATAAAAACAACCTTTTGCCTTACTTCTTAAATAGGAATATCGCACCTAGGAGTGTAATAACATTTAATCTCTCTTACTATAGTACTTAAGTTTAGTGAGAAGGCTGGCTTTTGCCATAAGACACTTCTTCAAGTAATCTAACTGGCTCACGCTAATGGAGTGCAGTACCTGGGCAAAGTCTTAATGCTGATGTACTACATATCTACATAGTATTCCCATTTCCACACCACCCAGACTGTGTTATGAAAGAAAGCAGTAAGATAGTTACTTAAGGACTTTTGCAGGCCATATAATGCGGTATTAAGGAAGCGTTAAGACAACAGGACTTACGTGTCCCTGCTCTAAATAGAGTGCAACATTCAGGGATTCTATAAAGTTAAAGTGCCACAATGCCTCACCGTCTTCCTCAGAACATACCATTTAAAGTTTTCGCTCAAGGTCTTGCTTTAATATTTATATTCCTAATTAAACTATTAAAAACATATATAACTAGCCTGTATCCTAACTCAGATTTTTCACTTCAATCTATATATCATCTTACCCAAGATTTCTTTACCAGACATCGCATATTACTCAGTATACGCCGACAATCCAGATCAACTTGGCCACTCTTTTCCTCTTATTTGCTACTGGATTCCACTCAGTAGAAGCTAACCAATGCCTTTACTCACCTACTCCTCGCAAGTGTTCTGACGGTTGTCCCAATGGAGGCTGTACTGGGACTAGGCCGGACGGTGTATGCTGGTACAACTGTTAAAGGACGATTGTAAGTATATGAACTACCTTTCGTCGCCTTTTATTATCCTTGATTTGTCACAGCTCCAGTCGTTACGTTCGCAATCAACCACCGATCATCTTAGGGTTGATAGGGCCGACGTCGTTCTAGGAAGGCATCGTTCCTACACAACCCAAAGGAGACACACTCTGATGATTCTTTCGCCATTGGTAGCGCTCTGTGTTGAGGATGATGGTTTATATAAGTGGCCCTTTATTATAGTTCGAATCGAAAATCCAAGGAAATTTAGCTATAAATCTCTCTCCCCCCTGCGTTTCACTTCATGCACAAGACAAAGTATAAGCAATTGAGATAATATCAAACACATTGCGGATTTTCAATTTATATTTAACACTGTTTATCTTACATCCGACCTTCACATAAAGGTGGTAACCTCAACTGCGATGTCCGTCTCCAGCTGACTCCCAACTCAGACGACTTCAGGGGTCTCCTGCTCACCCTTCTTGTCATCAAGAGGCTTGTCAAGACCAAGGCGCTGTCGAGTGGTGTAAGTAGCGATAGAGCCATTGGCATCAGCCTCAGTGATAAGCTCCTTGCGACGAGTATCGACCAGAAGGCGGATCAAGTCAGGGCGCATGTAGTGACCAGCAAAGTCAGCAAGGACCTTGGTAAGATGAGTCTCGTTGAGATCAATGTCGACAAACAGAAGACCATCGAAGTCCTTCTCGGGCTTGACAACCAAGCTACCATCAGGGCGATAGATACGAGCATGTCCGTTGTAAACAGAGGGATCAGTCTCTGGCTCAACGCCCTCAGGAGTGTTAATCTTGAGACCCTCAACAGACAATCGCTGGAAAGGAGCAAGAGTCCAGGTACCAGTCTCAATAGCGTACTCGGGAGTGACCAAGTCAGAAGCAGGATCAGCGTAGTTCGTAGCAGGATCAGGAGCAACCTGGCGCTCCTTTCCAGGGTAAACAGGCCAAGCAGCGATGTGAACCTGTTCACCGGCAGAGACGTTGAGAGACTTGAGGAAGGGGTTCATGTTCTCCCAGCAGTTTAGCTGTCCAACGCGTCCGATATCAGTCTCGCTGACGGACATGAAGGTATCGCCTGAGCCATCGCCGTAGACGAGCTTCTCGACGTGAGTAGGCTTGATCTTGCGACGGTGGTTGATGACGGAGCCATCGGGGCCAATGAGGACTTGGGCGAGGTAGAGAGTGGCATGGTCGATTTCAGAGAAGCCGAGGGATACGTAGATTTGGTTGTCGCGAGCTGCGCGTCGAATGCGGCGCATTTCTTCAGAGTCAACGGCCATGGAGTTCTCGCGGTAGCGCTTCAGCATGGGGAGGGATTGGAGGTAGGTGACCTTCCACATCCAGTAGGGATATCCAGGGATCCCTCGAAGTTATTAGTGATGAGGTTGAATGAGAAGAGAGGGAGGACTTACAAACTTCGGGGAAGGCGACGAGCTTGCATCCAGCTTGTCCAGCCTCGTTGATGAAGTCGATGGTCTTGCGAACACCACCCTCAAGATCGAACCACTAGATAATGTTAGTTGTGTTTGGGGTCTTGAAGTGTTGTGACTTACTCCAGGCTCGGAGGTAACAGCGGCGGCCTTGTACTTGGTGATAGCCATGTTGAAGATATTTAAGATGGTTGTTGTTGAGATTGGTGTTTGCAATGAAGTTCTGTGAGATGATGAGTGAGACCAAACTTGAGCGAGGCAGCATCCAATATTTATACCAGAATGAACCTCAGTACATGGATACAAAGCACTGACTGTTTATCTCACCCAGCGTTACAGTCCGAGTCACCGAGGTCTTCCGCATCTGCACGACCTTCATGATATCTGCACCATGATGTATACCGTTTCACAAACAACACCCATGTATATCAGACACTTCAACCAATAGAAACAAAGCACCAAGATCTACCATCCATGGAGAATTGCCGGAGAGGCTTTACCGAAAATGTCCGTGGCGGCGTAATCGTCTGATAGTCCACAATTTTGAAGGGTCGATGCCGCTGCGGCGTGGTGCGGGCCGCAGATTGATAAGTCGTGCGGCGATGCGGCCATTGTTGGAGACTGTATTGTAGGAGAAGGCGGCAAACAATGGATATCGTGAAAAGTCGTGAGGTCTTGTGGTTTCATGGATGCATTGATTTACACAATCACAACGTCGTTCCGCTGATCCCGGGGAGATTACTGCTCCGACAATGCCCGTGTTATTATTGGGGCGGACGGTTGTTGGGATTGAGATTTCCTACGAAGAAATGAATTACATGTGTTTCATTGAATTTGCAATGTAACTTGTTGGGATGCATTGAGCTGACCATAATGTGTCACCCAGCTGTGAGGGTCGTGTGTTCCGGTCGGTGATGCTGACCTATGTGTAACTTGCCACTTCCGACTTCTCAGTAATCTCATACAGTAACCACCATCTCTACCCCAAAAGCACATTCAAATCACTTAATTGGATATCGAATATGCGATGAACTGTAACTATCTGCTATATGCCGGCAATTTGACTATATAACATTGACGTCTACGAAGAAATTGCTTACGTTTGCATGATAGTCGTATTGATCAAGGAGGATTCAAGCTATCAAAGACAACTGCCTGATTTACTGTCATCGCACCCTACACCATATAGAAGTAACAATGCGGAGCACGTAGTATTTATTTATGCTTCTTGTAGCAATGAGTAACATGAGTGCACCAACATGGAACTGATATGTGATAATCGACATCCCAAATTGTGAATGATCGGCTCTGTTAGCTTCCTTCCCACTGAGATAAGCTTATAGCTACTTACTTATAGTAGTTCTGGTAATCTACGCATACATAGTGAGCTCCATGATTCACAGTTTGCCGTCACTTTAGGGTAACTGTTCCATGTGGTTAAACAGTCTGTCGGAACAGAGGTCCCAAACCGGGAAAGAGAGGTCTTCTGAACCAGTTGGAATCTTCCCATATCTTGAGATAACTGCAAGATACCGCATGGCATGATTTGCTACAAATTAAACAGTAGACCAAATAGTCGATTCATGTCTATATGTCAAGTAAACAATTCTCCATACCTATAAAAGGAAAACCGACTTCCGAACACCACCGTGATAACTACCATAACCTACTCCGTTAAGTCACCAGGAGTAGGTTCGGTACTAATCCCCTGCAAAACACTGTTATCAGCAGTCTTCCCCTCCGCCGACTTAACAACCTCTAATAATTCAATAATTCTCGGGGACCAACCACCATTAACCTTCCCATCAAGGATCTGAGCCGAAGAAACCTCGGCTCCATAAAACTCCGCATTGACATCACGCTTCTCCTTAATAACCGTCCCATCAACAGTCAAACCACCGTAAATACCACGGGACTTTGTATACGTCCACACAGGCTTCACATCACCCATGTTCACATTTCCACCGAGTGGTCCCGCTGCAAGAGCAACAGCTCCTCCGAGGTTGACCTCAGACTTTTTATAAGCGTCGACTGCTTCTTGGGTGTTGAGGACACAAATGCAGTCGTAGACATCTATGCCGTAGACAAGACCGACACTACCGCTGCGGACGGAGAAGGCAGAGGGAGAAGACCACGATCCGTCGGGCAGACGAGCGATTACAACGCCTGATCCTCCTGCGCCGGCGAAGTACATTCCTGCTCGGAAGCCGGTAAAGATCGCGAGGCCTTTGGCGTTGCTGATGACGTTTGAGGGGACTTTGTTCTTGTCTTTTGTTTGTTAGATGGTGAGAATGAGAAAAGAGGTTGATCGTATATACCGACGAAGCTCTTGAGGATGCGAGCACTCTTTTCGCACTCTTCACGAAGATCGGCAGTTTTGAAGAGGCCCATTTCGTTGAATGATGGTTGTCTTGGTTGAGTTGAAGTGATTGTGGTCTTGTTATATAATCCTCAAAGATGCAGTTGTTTGAGTTGTTTTGTCTTGAGAGCTGATGGTGAGATGAAGAAATTGTCGATTGGTGATGATGTTATCCCCATCCTTTATACGAGAAATATCTAGAGGTCCGCATCGCTTCAATGTATGATAATTTGTAATCTTGTGCAAATCTGCGTATGCGACAATGCCTTTAGCATAGCCTCAGTTGGCGATGACCTCTTTTACAGCTTCAAAGCCCAGCTCAATTGACAAATACTTTCAATTGACCAATCACACGCCTAAGCGTATGTAAGCAAGCGTATCCAAGCGTATCTAGCGTACATCGTAAACTCCACCAATAAGCGCCAATCATTCTCCAAGCTCAAAGAGGCTTTGCACTACGCAGACGATTGGACCGGGGAGAGAATAGCTTAGACGTTTTAGTTCAGTGCTAAAATCACGGGACGCGCGGCGAGAGTCGTGATGGAGGGTAGACCCTGTTTTGTTTAGAGAGTTTTGAGTCTGGTTGCCTAGAGTCTTGCAACGTCTTGACTAGACTAGCTGCGATTTATTGATTGCTGAGAAGAAGTGGCTTGAATCATTCGCCTAATCTTTCGGATGCTACGGTTGACTCGGCGGGGTCGGAGTGATCCTAGAACTGATGTCAGGGAATAGGATCAAGAGTTATCTTCACCTTACAAGAGTCATTGCTCATGAGGTCTTAACACGGTAATTGCTCTCAGCTATATCATATCGCAGCATCAGGAGACATTAGTAGTGAACGAATGTGAAGATCAATAAGCCTTTGGCCATTCATTACACATTAAAAAAATCTATATAAATATTCTATTGGGTATATCCCCTTCCATGTATCAATCCTCTACGTGATGTGATTGTTCTATACAGCGCTATAATTCCGCTGGTGCAAATGCTTAGTCGAGCTGGCCTCACTGACAGCACGATCATTCTGGTCTTCAGCAGTAGAGTCATCATCTTCCTGTTGTTGCCCCTGATGCACAATCTGCGTGACGACAGTCTTCTTGATGCCCTCAATCTTCTCACGCTCCTTAAGCTCATACTCGTCTTCTTCTCCGAGCTCAATATGTGTTCGGTGGTGAGCGCTAGCAAGTGTCTGACCGAATCGTGTACCATGAGGTCGGGAGGTTCCGGTCGTTCGTGATCGTGAGGAGTAGTCGTGACCGCCGCGTTGATCGTTGTTACCGGCTCGGACAACCTTTCCAATAAGGTCGGCCATGTTCATCTCGATGTGCAACTTAAGGAGGTAGACGAGGGGATGGAATTGAATGTAGCTGGGGAAAGTCAGTACAGCCAAGATACCCTTCGATAGTGGTGAACTTACACAAAGCCATTGGGCAGAGACATCATGCAAATAAGTAGTACATCCAAAGCAATAGAAATACCACACAAAAACATGTTCATCTGATACAGACGAGTATACTTCTGCAGACCATTGGCAACAAGTCGCTGCTTAACGACATAGATGAAGTAAAAGTTGAGAACAGCATCCATAATAGCGAAAATGACTTTCTCGCATCGATCCCAGATATTGTTCAAGTGGATATAAGTCTCGCTAATCTGCAGTCTAGCGGGGACCCAGATGCAAAAGACGCTGATGTTGACGGCGAAAAGGATAAGGAAGCAGAGCCATTTGAGCTTTGTACCGTTGGATCGGACAACCATCAATAGCGAAACTCGGTTGATGATGATTTGGATGAGGCACTGGACTTGCGTCGACCACCAGACAACTATCACTGTTAGCACATACACCCTAATTTCCAGTGTTTGGTGGTCTTACTGATGAAGAAGAAAAACTGCATGCTCGGCTCAATATTACCCCGAAGATAAAACCAACACATAACACCCAGGATAAAACTCGAGATAATCTCCGCCCAAATCAACGCAATGTAACTGGTAACTCTCTTCCTTCGATTCCAAGCAGATCTCGTCTGTCGAATTGCTTTCGCCACGTTAAAGAGAGTGATACCCAACGACAAGCCCCAGGCGATGGAGGCGACGTTCATGTCGGTCTCATCGGGAAGATCGTCGACATAGTTGTCGGGAACGAGGAAGCCTCTCCCCATCTTGTCGTCAGGTTTGAAGTTGAAGTGAAGGAGCTGTAAACGGAATACACAGCTGGAAAAGGAATGTGAAAAGAAAAAGCAAACACTGCGGGAGGCTCCTTGCTTGGATTTAAACAGGCATGCAGAATCTGCAGCGGATGCAGTAGTCTCGGTATTAACTGACTAGTCACGAACAACCCCTGTTTTTATTAGCACTCTAGCTAGAGGTACTGCCGATCACTGATGGAGGCTGAAGTGGCTTGCGTTGGGAAAAAAAAAACCGGCGTGGGAGTCCGGACCAGACTAGTTGGATGTCGAACACGGCGGGGGACAAGTAATCTGGTTTCATCACAGTCTGTTATTAGTGGTTGAGAAAGGTGTCTCGTATTTCTGTCGCCCCGAGACTAGTTTGTGAAGCTAGACTGGGAGACCAGATGAGATGGATAAACCGCTAAGAAAGTATATTCATGGATGGCCCCTGAATCATGGGAATACAAGATGATGCTAAAATGGCTTCAATGGACATATCGTGTGCCAAGAGTGTTTGCATAGAGTAATAAGAAGTAGTGTCTTTGAACCATGAACGGTATTTGTAAGACATGATGCTGTACCCCAGATGATGGAAGAGTTTGTTGGTTCTAGATACAGTCTGAGCGCCATACCCAGCAAAGCATATCACCTCCTTGTTTCAGGCTCAAATCCTTGTTATCAAAGCACATAAAGTCAAAAGAATCACCCGCCTTGCTTATCGTATTGGGCTCTAATTTTCAATTCCCCGAGTTTCGTCGGTGTAAAATTGACCGAGTCAGTTGGTTCCCCGCTAAGCTTACTCCAACTCATTGCTGCAGATCACGATCGTGGATCCATTTTTTGCCCCCTTTTTTAGTGTCTTGGTATTCTTTTCAGTCATTTATGATCAAGATTCGAATCACGGTCGCGATATCCCGTTGTAGATCTCCCATGTCTGTTCGCTCAACGCTTGATTTAGCCAAGCATTCCAAATGTTCAAAGCACACATGAATTGAGTTCTTTCTGAAAATAGAACCTGCTTTTACTATTATGCATTTAGTCGACTGGCCTGTGAACGCTATAATTTTATGAGACGACGCTAATAGACTGGCGTCTTGATACCCAGTATCTGTTTAGTAATTGACCAGTTTGCCTTGTTTTCAGCACGAGTCAACAGCGAGCCCCTGTGTTTTTGTGAGATTGATGTCTAACTTGATAAAGTATTGTTAGGCATAGTATTGTTTTGGATCTTGGCGGCGAAAATGCCGAGGCTGCCGAGTAGTGAGAACGGTGAACTTGGCACGATACGAAGAATCACGGCGTTCAGAGAGATCATCGCGAGTCAAATCTGTGAGACTCATTGAAGAGTACGACTTAAAGGCATCTTATCTTGTCGATAATATAAAGAAATTGCGTGCTTCAATCAGCGTCATATGCTTCTTGACGACTCGTTTAAACCATGGCGCTTACAATCCCAATTCTTGTTGACAATGTGACTCTGGCCGACATTTTTGTTAGTAAGACTGTCAGCACGGGCACTATGCGACTTGTATGAGCCAGCCTTTGGGTCAGATTCTCTCGACAACAGAATTGATGCCGAGAAAAAAACATATTCATCGTACAGGGTGGCGTCCTTGGTGTTGAGTTGACCTCATTCTAATCTTGAGGCGCGATGAGAATGGATCCCTCATGACTCGTCATATCGATGGAGTCTAACCCCCGGTAGTCTAGTGTAGTGGCTGATAATTCTCTGCCACGATGCCTGTAAACGCTGCAGAATCTCTTCCGAAACAACTGTCATAAAAACGTGGCAGAACTTGAATAGAGCAACCTTTCTACTGTCAGTTCACAGGGCTAGTTTAAGAACATTCTCCCTTCATAAAAAAACGTGGCAGGCATTCCATCTCGTGGCTTTTCCCAACAACAGAGTTCACACTAAGTTCTAGGTACATTAGCCTCACCGGGGAGAGGCAAACTCCGCTAGTCTCCGTTTAGCCTCTTCACAAGTTTTTTTGCTCCCGAAAAGTAAATCTCGCAAAGACCCCTGTTACGCTTTGACTTCCGTCTTGCCCCGGACTTCCTTCAGCTTGAGCGATCTTGGGACCCGATGTTCGGGAACGTGTGTTACCGGAGGGATCAGCAAACAGTTGAGATTCATTGGTGTTACATCGCGAATCGTCGGGAGATGGGCAGGTTTGATCGGCATGTGACTTTTGTAGTTTGCAGCTCATAGACGGTCAGATAGTTCACGGCCCTAAGGGTCCGGAACCAATTTGGGCCCAACTAGAAATCTCTTCCTCGGAGCAACAATGACATACAATATATAGTCTAAAGACAAACCTCCCCTCTTTTCATAGTAGATCTCGTGGCCCAGATTCTTCAGCATGGATCCCTCATCCACTGATCGGCGGCTCAGGTACCAAGATTTCGGTACAATTACTAAAACCGTCCACCTGGTCCAGAGCAGGGTTCTAGCCTCGGCGTATAGCACGCACTAATGATTGGATCCTTTCTTAGTAGCAAATCATAGGTCGAAATTGTCGAAGGATCTTGCTGTTGTGGATTCTGTGAGATGATGCCGTGGGTCTCTGATTTCAATTCCCCATGTGTTTAATTGATGGGAGATTCGGCATTCAATATCGTATTCTTGAGCTATGTCGTATCGGGAGATGTCGCGCCGAGAACGATGAGCCTGTGCTCTCATCTTGAAATAGTGCAGTAACATATATGAACATGGGTTGACATAGCTGATCCAATAGCCCGGTTCGCAATCTCGATTGGAGAGGTTTTCGCATGAACTCGATACACCTCCTGTTGCGCCATGGTTTCGGCCTAAAATCTTCAAGAATACGATATAGTGGGCCAAGATAGATTTGTTACAATTCCTTGTGTAAATCCTGGAAGACTTTCTCTTCTCAAGATGGATTACATTATCGTAGCCTGCTATCCCACCTTTATCTTATCTTGTCGTTCATCGAGAACACACAACCATTCCAGCTTCAGTCAAAATTCAATTACAGATGTAGGATATCCTTGTTCAACTTCTCTGTGTATGAAAGGGGTTGCATAAAGATATTAATTTCCGGCAGACCCAAATACTGCACGATTGAATTAATCCCTGAATCTGCGCTCGCATCTACTCGCATATCTCCGATATCAGACTGGCCTAGTTTGAGTTGGCTATCCAAAATGTGAACAACCACCTACGTAGTATTACTACAGCTTTTCTTGCGAGATAGTGTTGTTTTAATACCGGATAACTCTGTAATCGTCTTTTAATTTATTTTTATACTTAACTAGAGCGCAAGTGTTGCTGTAGAGCTTGTGGCTACCTAGAAAGTCACGCTCTTTCTAGGGTAGCCAAAACCAAAACATCTAAATACGACAGCGTAGATCTCAAGGAAGCTGACCTTTATTTAACGTCTTGGTAACTTAATCGGGCAATAAGAACACTGTGAGACTTCGACATTTGAGATGCTATCCTCCCACGCTCTCTATCAGGTCATCCCGCGCATTGCATAAACTCGGAGAATGACTTGACTCTTTAATATCTGTTCCTTTGCTACAAGTAGACTTTGACTTAAAATAAAACGGATCCTCCTAACATACTTCTACCAGTCTTTGGAATTTTTAATATGCCAAGTCCAACAAGATCTTGAGCCAGCCTTGATATAAAACCATCGCACCCTCGTGCTACCATGATGTCAACAGTGACGGGCAAGCTCTCCTCGCGCTTAGTGATATCACTAAAATACGGCACTTCCCCCAGAGGGTAAACACTGTCCGGTGCTTCGCTAAAGATGGAAATTCTACTCAATGTCCAGCCAAAAGGAACGGTAGGAGGGTCACGATAGACGTCGCGTCGGCCGAACGTACCAGTACTTTCGGCGTGTAACAGGATGCCAGAGGAACATATCTGGGGATCACTGGCCTTTGGAAGAACGTTCTTGTTAAACCAGTTCATGAAGACGGTTTTGTTTCTGATAGCGTCGTCGAGGATGGAATCTGGCTGACTTTCACCCCACGCCCATCGCACACTGGGTGATGGATCTATGTAAGGCAGGCGACCATCATGAGCATCTGTGGAGAGTCACCAAATTAGTTATAAAACTCCGCGTTTTACACATTCATGCGTACCAGCATAGTCCCTGAAGAATGGCTCTTTGACTAAAGCAACCTGTTCCTTGGTAATGAGAGCAGCATAGGTCAAGTTCAGAAATTCCGTCAGCGGAATGTCTCGAACGGAATTTGGTCCTGCTGAAGCCCAGTGCTGACTGATGTTGTACTCGGTAACGTTGGTGGTGAGAAGATCGGCGAGATCGTTGGCAAATTGGTGCAGTATTGCGCCCTGCGGGGTATCGTTGGCTGGAAAGCCCGCAGTATAAACCGTCCGCGGATACTTAATAGTCTCTTCTGCAAAAACGGTGTAGTTTTCTTTATACATGGCGGCTTGCGCTGCTCCCCAGATCTCTGGATCGCGAGCAAGGAAGCCCGCCGTGTCCATCTTGGGTGAAAGAGGCATCACGTGGTCCAGACTGACAAGGTCGTGAGTAGGTCTGTTGCCAAATACTCCTGAAACTCCAGCAGGTCCACGAATAGAGCCTCCAGTGTCACTCCCAACAGCAAGGTCCAGCCACGGGTAAGACGCTATAGATGCCCCCGCACCCGACGAGGACGATGATGGACCCTGGTACCCGTCTCCGCGTGGGTTGAAAGGAGCAAGGTAAGAGACCCAATCCGCCGTTGGATTCTCTCCGTTGGCAAATTGTGAGAGCTTCTGTGTCCCGACAATAACGGCTCCTGCGTCGATTAGGTTCTGGATAGCTGGTGCTGTCTTGTTCGCCGCTGGATAGAGGATGTACCAAGCACGGTTGCCCCGAGAGCTCTTTACCCCGTTGAGGTCGTAAAGGTCTTTGACTCCTACTCGAACGCCTGCTAAAGGCTTGTCCTTTGTGCGAGTGAAGTATAAGCGCGACGGAACACCTATGGTAAGAGAACTACTGCCGGGGGCATGTGCCGATAGAGTTTGAAAGGTTCCGTCAGGAAACTGAAGAAGAGATTCCAGAAAGCTACCGGAGAAGTCATCATAGAGCCGATATACTCGATGTAGACTTCCTCGTAGTGTATCCAAGAAGTAGGGCCCTGAACGTATTTCAGGAGCTTCTTCCCAGCAAGAAACGACTGATTGAACGCCAGCATAGAAGGCCGTGTTTGTTGATTTGCAACCAGTGGAGTTCACCAATACCACCAATTCCAAGAAGCCGGGTTGCCAAACGTCGTCCTTTCGCGCCCAGCTTGAGAAGAGTCTAGGGAGATCATCTTGGGCGGTATTGTTGCCAACGATAGTAACGGGCATAAATGAAAAGGAATGTATAGGGATATCGGTTGGAATGAGGCCGGCTGGTAACGTTTCTTTAAGCGACGGTGACATGAAATAGTTAGTCCCGTTCAGGATTAAGGATATACCCTCGGGGCGGAGAAGCTCTGCAACCGCTGAGATAGTCAGGCTTAGCAACGCTATGAACCTCATAGCGGGCAACAAGGATCTATATTTAACTGAAGATAAGATTAAAATGAAGATGAGAAGCTTCGAAACGGAACTCAAATTCTTATAGGATGGTTATGTAGTCGGTGAAACCAGTGCTATGTAGACTAGGATGTTGATAGCTATTTTCATAGCGGGGATATCGGATCAATATCGCCGTTCATTTTTATTACATAAGTTTAAGTGATGCTACCATAACAGCAGATCTTGTCCTTATTGAGTACTCCTTTGATAAGCTTGCATCTTGGCATTAAACTAGCTTAAATTGAGTGAATAAGTAGAGATAAGCGGCCTATCCTGAGAAACAAGTGTATTCATAGCTTCCTTGTACAGTGTGTCTTTAATCAAGTCTTATTGAAAGTGGCTCTATGCTTAACTGGCATCTATGTATAGTATGACTTTTATCCACAATGTGAAAGTATAGGAGTAACCACAAAGCCTCATACCCAGCTGCAATACACGGAACTCCTCATAAGAAGTTGACAAACTTGACCCTTGCATGCCCAATCCCACATAAGAATCTTAAGCACGATCAGGCTTTGAGCCATCGAAAGGATACTTGAGGACGCTGATACTATTGGAGTAACTCGACAGATCCGGGTTAAGCTGCGCCTAGAGTAAGACATATCAGCGCTGTACGGAAACATAGACGACAAAGAACATACCAGATCAACCGGGCACGTTGCCTCTTTAGCGCCATATCGAGTAATCTCAGGCTTGCCATCCATAGTCTTGATCAGCACCTGCTGGGAACTAGCCTGCGAGGGATCACCAAGAAGATAGTTCAACGGCTCAATCAACATAGCCGAGTGTGCGGTCGAGAAGACTGTGTTGGGGAGGTCGCCTGTGTGAGGCATATGATGCATTCCGAGATTGAACCAAACGACACTGTTCTAATCAGCTTGTGATTCATGTCACTGGGGAGTATTGAAAAAAGCCTTACATATCCTCTTGATCAAGCGACTCACTGTTGAAGTACTTGTCAAAGTTAACCTGAGGGTCCTCGGGGGTGAGAGAGTTGTATGCCCCAGCGGCGTACGTCTCGTTGTCCTTCTGCCGTGTGACATAGAGATGATGCGTCGTGTGATGAGCAGCGTTCTTGGTAACGCTGGAGTCCTGGACGGTGAGATATGCGACACCAGAGGCTATGAATGTTAACTAGAAGATTACATATCAAGGTACTCAGAGGTACTTACCTGGTACTATCCTGTATCCTGGGTTCTCGCCGTAAGGATTCTTCTCATCTTTGTTGACCACAGCATACATCGCTCCGCCATTGGGTGACCAGTTGATTTTACCATCATCTTCATTCTCAATGAAGCTCTTGACTGCCTTCATCGTGTTACGTGTCTGACCATCCGACCACTTGTACCTAAGACAAGATCATTAGTAAGCTGTAGTAAATAAAAGTAGAAGCAAACTTACTTCTCAGTCGTAGGCTCAATAGAAATCTTTTGCAAAGAGTTCTTCTCCCCCAGGATATCAAAATCGGCCTTGAAAGTGATGACATGATCGTGGAGGGAACCGGAAAGACTGTCGTGGATTTTGAAGCCGTAGTCTTCATTTTCAGCGTAGAATGCTGACGAGATGTAGCCCGATGCTCTGACGTCTACTTCGATGGAACCATCTAGATGGAATTGGTAAGTCGTCATGTAGTCGTAGTTTCCGATGGTGTAGATGGCACGGATGTTGAATGCGATGTTCTTCGTTACGGTGGTGTGGCTGGCCCAAGAGTGGCGTTGGATGGGGAAGCCCTTGTCAATCTCGAACATGCCTTTTCTGTTAGCGTACTAGCTTGCGTAGGTAATCGTAGGTACCAACGTACATAGACCGTCCTTCTGGGTATACGTCGTCTCGCCTGTAGTCTGTGTGACGTTGAGGTAATGGGAGTATGCTGGGCAATCGTAGCCTGGGTCATGTCAGAGACGAGCGGTTCCTGGGTCAAGTTCTGTCCTACCTTTGACGAGAGAGATCATAGTTGGCCCAAATCCAGACAAGCTGTCGAAGTAACTAAGAGATGAACGTTAGAAACGTGAGAGGCGTTGAAGATTGGTCAATATTTACCAGGTTCCTGACTGAACTGGATCGATGCCGCTGTACATGATGTTAGCAACAGAATGTCAAGCGAGGGCGTGTTGAATAACTTACGCATAATGTGCGATAGCCTCGTCCAGTCCAAGCTGAAAGGAATTAGTCAAAGTCGCATAAGGCTTGAGATGAAGAAAACTCACCTCATACATAATCCTCTTGCCCTTATATCGAATGTCATAAAGCCGTAGCCCGTTGTCTCGTGTAAGACTGACATAGAAGGAAAAGTCCACTGACGCAGTACTATTAGCAAGGTATCACAGGTTATCTTCAGGTATCCACTCACTCCAAGTCACATAGCTCTCTTCCTCATCAACAGCGAACCTCTCTTTGCCAGATTGAACAGAGGCTGGTGGAGGGTTATCATCCAGAGGGAGAGTATCACCATGCTTATTAGTATGGGCCCAAGGCTGATCCAAATTGGCTCCCAAGGGCTTGAAGTCGGGTTCCGCAATGACCTTGCGGAAATCGTCGAGATCTTTGTAGAACTCGTTGTTGTATACCCAACCTGTCACTTTCCACTTGCTAGCATCACGGCCTGTGATGTCTGTTCTCAAGTACAGACCCAGCGGGAGTAGAGAGATGGTATCGTAGATACTGGTGACAGGTGCATTGAAGCCCTGCCACATGATAACCTTGTCATCTGTGATTGTGAGCGGGGCCGCGAAAGCCAACGGGATCTGAAGTCCGTCATCGACGGTCTTTGCTCTGTTAGATAAATGCCTATAGGTATTCAGAACCACGGAGCTTACCAGATTCCAGAGCCGCTTCGTCACGTCCTCTGCCCCCTTCATGATCTTGAGATTGAAGTTGCCGTAGTCTTCAGCGTCAGGGTTGACAATTGGGATTTTACCATCGCCTGCTCTTGTGTTTGTGTAGGTGTAGGGCATCACGATTGAGGCATTGGTAATTGGTAAGGGCCCAACCTTGAACTCTTGAACGTAAGCACTGTCAACTGCCCCAAACATGACTGCAGCCAAGGCGTAACGCTCTGGGCTGCCGGTGCTGTTTGAGAGGAAAGGAAGGACATCGGTCTTGTTGGGCATCATAAGCTCAACCGACATGCTGTAGTCGCGGTTAGTAAGTAGTATCATCGCGTGTAATGCAAGACTTACATCTTATTGTCTCGGCTGTGATCAACTGTTAGATATGTTCATAGGTATACGGGATCTAACAACATACCTTCCTGCATCCTTTTCAGAGGTCAGGTTCAAACCTGTTGCATTGCTATGCAGGAGAGCAAGCACGTCCTTAGTTTCCTCGGTGGTCAGAGAACCCCAAAAGTTCTTGTGAGGAGCATTTGTGGACGTCTGGCCTGAAGAGCAAACAGTTCCAGGGTCTTGCTTCCGGCTCTCAAGCCTTCCAGTAGAGAAGGCCCCGACGAGAGCTAGATGGCCCAGAGAAGTTGAGACAAAGAGGTTTGAGAAACGCATCTTGTTGTCTGCTGGATGCCGGCGTGCGAATAGACAGACGAGGATGGGTTGATGCTATTCACATTGAGCACAAACATGGCGGTTTATATAGAGATATACAGATCCATAGAGATATATCTTGACTCGTGCAATAGCTGCCCAGGTCATGTCGGTGAGAATATCCCCACGCTGTCTATCATGAGATAAGACATGGTCCGACTACTAGAACTGTTAAAGAAAACCCTTTCCACGAGCCTTGGCACTGTCACGGCTGAATAAAATCCCTTCATTCCTCCTTCAGCTCGCAGAGATATTGACAAGGGTCGCAGAAACTAATCCCCACGTTCTATATGATAGATGATAAGGTTCATGCTGACAAGCCTAGAGTGCATATACCTCATATCTCAAGACAGAAACTCCACCGCAAGATCCTCCAATATGCAGCAAGCCACGAGAAATGTAGGTACCTGCCGGCCCACGGAGGTTGCAATCCGGTAGGGAAATGTTGCAATTGACGACCAGATACAGACAAAGATAACCGATATATCGGGCCACTCATGATTCACGCATCGGGAGTCTTATCTTCCGGATCGCTAGGCGAGCTTTTGAGTTTACTGTGGGAAACAATGGCGTTTCAGGAGACGTACCAGTGCATGTTCAATAAACGATACCACGTGGGACCTGGGCCGGTACTGCGTGTAGTGATCCGGCCGGGCCTTTCCACCGGTGGAACTGCATGGATAGTGAGTGAGCAATCGGAACCCGGAACTGCTCGGAATGCATATTGGTGAAGCGAGCGATAAAGGTTGAGGCCCTTGGACCCCAATTAGCCACGCATAATAAATCCTTGATAAAATACATATCTTATCACACTGATACTGGTAGAGCCCCTAATATGCCGTATATCATATTGTGTTATCTTAAGCTTGAATGGAGTTTGTTTAACTTCCGTAGCGACCTTCGTTACCGAGACAAGCGAGGGTGTTCCGAACCCCACACAATCGATCTTCATCATGGAGCCTTAAGGATGCAGCTCTCAATGTTTTGATTGGCTATACCGTATCCGAGTCAGCTCCCATTTGCCATATGCAGGTCCGGACCCCGCATGTTACCCTAGACGGGGACCGGGGCCGGGGAGGTGGGACAACAAGTCATGATGCAAGCTAGAATAGTTCATCAAACAATATCATTATGTGCATTAGATATGGTTACATTATAACAGGAACCTTTAAAAGTCATTTTTCTAACCGAGGGGTATTCTCGTCAATGTGACCAGTAAATGGTCTAGAAGAAAAGAGGGCACCTGAATGCAACCGTGTTGCTCCATAGCCTTCATTTCTCCCAGCAGCTGTGTGTCATGACAGCCCCGGCACTGGGATCAGAACGTATGATTATGACAAACTGCAGATTGCTTCTAGACCTCTCTAAATATAAACGAGGAATGATAATGTAGCATGCTTCAATACATTGCGGAGATTGAGTAATAGAAACAAGTTTGCTGCAGTTTACAACGGAAAAGACTCTGCGGCCACTGACTCGTGCAAACAGTGACATAACTGAATTGAGTTTATTGCTATCTCCGTCTTCCTGCCCGACAGTGACAGAACTGTAGGATCAGTTGACCAGCCAGGACCGGAGGAGTGATTATGCAGTTCTAATCTTGGTACACGATAGACCATTTCTGTCTCGTAATTGAATCAACACAAGCTGAACGATATCTTTTAACTATTAGTCTCCTTATCAGCTCTCTGCTATTCAGCCTAACGAGATGTTAGCCTTTAAGGATGAGCTATTATCTGGATGTTAACAAAGTATGCTTATCTCCTGAGACCCAGGCGCTAAAGAGATAAGCTTGAAGATCTTACACGGAAAGGCTAACTATCAGCTCTTAAACTTTGAGTGCGCCGCACTAACAAGACGCGGGGTAGTTCGGAACCTCGAGGCTGACGTAGCAAGTTACCGAAGGGTCATTCCGAGTATGTTTGGTTAAATACCCAGAAGCAGTACAGCGAAAGGTATTATATTACACTAAGAATATTATTTACTTGCCTCCTGATTCTTGCCTTCCTAGGTCTCGGTAACAGAATGTAATATTCCTGTAGACCTTTTTGGCTGTCTGGAAAGTCTTACTCTTTGTAGGGTAGCTAGGGGATCTGTGCTTTGGCAATGATGTAGTTGTCAAGATGAAGTAGACTTTTGATGCTCTGCCTTGATACTGGAGATTAAATTGGATGATAAATTGAACCAATCTATTGGTTCTTCTCATCAAGCGCATGAAGTCCAAAGAGCTTTCGTGTCGCATGTGTACAATGAAAAACATAGCCTTGAGCCGCCCTCCGTACACAATTCCAGGTCGTCGCATGGAGTCTCGGAGTATGATAAAGTGATCAAGTCATCAATAGCAACGCAAGAGGACTTTTCACAGCGCACGATCCAAGCAAACGAGCCAGACATGGCGATCCAAGAGGCAAGAAGCCAAGGTCAATGCACCAGCTGAACATCGACCAACCGTTGCCCCTCAATGAAATGCCAACCCCAGACTGGGCTTTCACCAATCTGGGTTGCCCAAGTCCTGAAAACCGGATTGTTGTCCAAATGTGGAAATTGGACAGGGGCATGAATGGTTATAGGGCTGAGACTATCGGCAAACTGCAGCTCTAGCTCATCCCAAGGATGGTCAGCCATTAAGCCATGGCAAAGTGGTTGAGTTCACATTAAGAAATGACGTATTGACCCCTCTCTTTGGGAATATGAGCTTAGTGCCAGAGCTCAAGTTAATTGGCTGCTGCAATATAGCCAGGATAGGTCTGTTCATCAGTTTGAGTTATGAGGCGATCGAGTCTCTATAGTTGTAGCAGTAATCTTCATTGCATCGGATGGCTCCTCGGCGTAAATTCAGCGGTGATTATCACGCCCATGCTGTCGAGCTCTCAAGGAAGTAGAAATTAATACAAGTATCTCACAAAGGCAAAACAAGCATGAAAGCGCCCCCCGCACAATCCAATTTCCACCATGCCATTCTACGATTTCCTGTCAATGCAAAGTGGCGCCCCCAAGTTCCAAAAACCGTTCAAAGTGGCGTTGTGGCGTCTCCCTGAATAGCGGCGCTTCTTTGATCCTCCTCTGGTCTTGACGCCGCCAACTTGCCACCTCAACGCTCGGGTACCTTGACGCTCTGGCCGTGCAAAGCGTTTGTTACTATTCTGGTCTCATGAGGGGAAGAAGCGGTGTTTGCTCAGCGGCGGAGGTCAGTGCTTTTCAGCTGTGCGCAGCCTTAAGATGGAGATGGAGTGATAATTTCCCCTTGGACCAACCATGGTTTGGTGATTTTGTTCCTGAATCGTGAACTAGCGCCAGGGGCAGAGGAAGAAGAAAAAAAACCGATATGTTCAGGTTCAGGCGATCATTGAGTCAATTGAGAGTCCGGAGTATCGTCTCCCGTAAGGACCATAGGTTTGGCAAGTTAAAGCCAACACTGAGAACGATGCCAAAGGTGAAAGGTGAACTGGTTCATACAGCAGAAGGATAGGAGAATGAGATCACGACATATTGGCAATAAAAGTTAAAGATTATGCTTATTTTAGAGACTTAAAATCGATCATCTCAACACATAAGTCGGTGACCAGAGCCAACGCCACTCAGCCCCCAGTTGCCGGTCCAAGCTCAAGTATGCATCCCAAATTATCGGATCTCGCTCATCGCCTCCATGACAGGCACCCAGTCCGCAAGAAACAACAAAGGAGTATCGATCCAGACCTCATCATCCCCCACAGCTCCATCTTTTTCAGCACCCCAACTCAACTAATTCTATGATCTATCGATAGGCTGACGCCTCCGGACCATCGGCCACTTCAGCTTGGTCATTGAGAATAAGTTTAGACTCTGATGGCAGTGAAGAATACTGCCAAAGGGTGGGAGCTGATTCTTTTTGAGGAATAGCATCATGCAGCCTGTCACCAGATTGTTTTTGGCGTCCCGACTCAGCTCGGAAATGCCAGGCCTGCAGTGAACATCGTCGTGCCGCTCGTTTACTCCTCATCTTGACTTCTATAAAGACACAGACATTGGCCCAGTATTTTCCGGTTCGTCATCACCAGCACTCAAAGTTTTATTCCTTCTCCTCTTTTCTTTGCTCACTTATGAATCATTCGAGGCCTGCCTTGTAGTCATTCACAATGTTGTTCAAAGTTCTCACCCTCGCTTTAGTCGCCATCAGCACCGTCTCGGCTGCCCCCGATGGCAACACCAATGGTCTGAACAGGCGCACCTATACCCAGTATTGCGGTGAAGCCACTTGGGTCCCACCCAAGGGCTCAACCCCTGGATACTGCAAATGCCCCTACGAAGGCCAGATCTACAAGCAGTACTCTTGCGATTGCCCTGATGCACAGACCCTCAAGAACAGAAAATGCGTCAACAAGTGTCCTGATGATTCAAAGTACAAGGCTGGTAGCTACGGCAGCTGGTCTTGTGTCTGCGATGATGACGGGGCTGCTTGGTCCTCTTCCTCTGGGCAGTGTACCTGCAAGTCTGGAAAGGAGCCTGTTCAGGGGAAGTGTGTTGAGAAGTGTCCTGGGGGGACTACTCGACAGGGTGATGGTACATGTAAGTGCAACGATCCCAACAAGGAGCTCTTCAAGGGTTCTTGTGTCGACAAGTGCCCTCAGTACTCGACACGTCAGGATAACGGTGCTTGCAAGTGTCAGGGTGATAAGGACTTGGTCAAAGGAGTTTGTGTCGACAAGTGCCCTCAGTACTCTACTCGTCAGTCTGATGGCAGCTGCAAGTGCAATGACCCGAACAAGGAGATCAGCAAGGGTGCTTGTGTGAACAAGTGTCCTAAGGATACTACACGCCAAAGTGATGGGTCTTGCAAATGCGACGCTGAAGGCGAGGAACTCGTCAAGGGTGTTTGTCTCCCTACATGCCCTACCGGGTCAACGCGTCAGAGCGACAATTCATGCAAATGCACGGATGACAAACAAGAGATCGTCAAGGGAACATGTGTACCTGTTTGCCCGAAGGATACAACCCGACAGAACGATGATTCATGCAAATGCGATGATGGAAGTAAGGAACTCATCAAAGGTTCTTGCGTGCCCATCTGTCCCAAGGATTCATCCCGTCAATCTGATGACACCTGCAAATGCACCGACGACCATCAGGAGATCGTGAAAGGATCTTGTGTCCCTGTCTGCCCTAAAGACTCAAAGAGACAAGGCGACGATACTTGCAAGTGTGATGATGAAGCGCAAGAAATCATCAAAGGAGCTTGTGTACCAGTTTGCCCGAAGGACTCGACCCGTCAGAAGGATGATACCTGCAAATGCGATGCAGACGATCATGAAATCATCAAGGGTACTTGCGTTCCAGCCTGCCCTAGCGACTCTACTCGACAAGGCGATGATACATGCAAGTGTAATGCCGATGATGAGGAAATCGTCAAGGGAGCTTGTACACCTGTCTGTCCGAAGGATTCCAAGAGACAACAAGACGATACGTGCAAGTGTGATGCAGATGATTATGAGATCGTCAAGAACACTTGTGTCCCAGTTTGCCCCAAGGGCTCCAAGAGACAGGCTGATGATACCTGCAAATGCGACGCAGATGATCAAGAGATTGTCAAGAATGTCTGTGCTCCTGTCTGTCCGAAGTATTCGAAGAGGCAGGAAGACGATACCTGCAAGTGTGACGCAGAGGATAACGAAATCATCAAAAACACTTGCATACCCGTTTGTCCCAAGGATTCGACAAGGCAACAGGATGACACTTGCAAGTGTGATGACGGTAACTACGAGATCATCAAGAATGTATGTACCCCTACCTGTCCGGACGAGTCTACCAGGCAAGAGGATGATACCTGCAAATGTAACGAGAATGGCTATGAAATAGTCAAGGATACATGCGTGCCCGAGTGTCCGAAAGACTCAAGCCGCCAAGAGGACGGCACTTGCAAATGCAACTCAGATGGATTCGAGATCGTGAAGGACACATGCATAGCTGCATGCCCCAAGGACTCAAAGCGCCAAGAAGATGGTACTTGTGCCTGCGACACCAAGGGCTATGAGATCGTCAAGGACGCCTGTGCCCCCGAGTGTCCCAAGGATTCCACCCGTCAGGGAGACGATACCTGCAAATGCAACACCGATGGATTTGAGACCGTCAATGGCGAATGCAAACCGGAATGTCCCAAGAACTCAGAGCGCCAGGCGGACAAGACTTGCAAGTGTACTACTGACGGCTACGAGATCGTCAGTGGGGAGTGCAAGCCTGAGTGTCCCAAAGGATCTACCCGTCAGCAGGATGACACCTGCAAGTGCGACATAGATGGCTATGAACTTGTCAAGGGAGAGTGCAAGTCCGGGTGCCCCAAGGATTCTTCACGCCAAGAGGATGGAACATGCAAGTGTGCTGCTGACGGTTATGAGATAGTCAGTGGCGAGTGCAAGCCAGGATGTCCTGAAGGATCTACTCGTCAGCAAGATAACACTTGCAAGTGTGATACCGCTGGCTACGAGATTGTCAAAGGAGAATGCAAGCCTGAATGTCCTAAGGATTCCTCTCGCCAAGAGGACGGCACATGCAAATGCACCGCAGACGCTCATGAGATTGTCAGCGGCGAGTGCAAGCCAGAGTGTCCCAGCGGCTCCACCCGCGGCGAAAAAGGCGTCTGTGTCTGCGACGATAAACTCGCCGAGCTCGACAACAAGAACGTCTGTACCTGCAAGCCCGGCAACGAGCCCGTCAAGGAAAAGTGCACACCCAAATGCGAAGGCGATTCTACCCGTGACAGCGACGGCAACTGCGTCTGCAGCAAACCCAACACCGTCCTCTCAGGTAACAAGTGCGTCTGCAAAGAAGGCTACAAGCCCAGCAAGAAGGGCTGCAAGAAGAACTGTGGCTCACACGCCTATGACAAGGATGATGTCTGTGTATGCAAAAAGGCTGGCCAGACTTTCAAAGAAGACAAGACCTGCACATGTCCCACTGATACACGCTGGAACGGCAAAATGTGTGCTTCAAACTGTGGCTCTGAAGCTTGTTGGAGTAACTCTGCCAAGGGCTGTGTCTGCAACAAAGGCGGCATGGACTTTGACAGTGAGACCAAGGGGTGCTCTTGTCCTGATAAGCAAGTCTGGTCCGATGGACAGTGTCATATTGATTGTGGCAAGCTAGCTACGTGGCACAAGAAGTCTCAAACCTGTGTTTGCCCCAAAAAGGGTCAGTCTTTCAACCCTACTACTCTTGGTTGTGGATGCACAGGTGGTAAGATCTGGAGTGGCAAAGAGTGCATCACTGACTGTGGAGAATATGCTTCGTACAATTCTCGATCAGAGACCTGTGTCTGCGACAAGAAGGGCCAGATCTTTGATGAAGTCGAGAGAACCTGTGGATGTCCGGATGGAAAGGTTTGGTCGAAGAATCAGTGTACTACTGACTGTGGCGATGCAGCGTCTTGGGATGGGTATGCTAGGCAGTGTGTTTGCTATAATAGGAACCTTGTCTGGGCTGATAAGAAGTGTACGTGTGGTACTGGAAAGAAGATGGTGGGAAAAGGCTGTGTTCGGTCTAGGTTTTAAGTGACCAATGGTTGGTGATATGGTGATGTGTGGGTGGGTTTCTTCTTCTTACTTTTTCTGCAGTATACTACTTCTACCTCTTGCTGAGTTTACTCTATTTACTTGGAATTGATCGTTTCTGACTTGCGAACCTGCCTTTAGAGTTTGATCTGATTCTAAGTAGGGTTTGGAAACAAGCTCTTGAAATGGTAATCAGTCAAAGGTTAATTACAAGGTGCGCAAATGGGCATCACCCATGATCCAAAAGGTGTTCAAATGTTGGAACAAGACATCGCTGTCTTTGAATATACTTCTGTCTATGCATGAACTGGATCTATCCTCTTGAGGAGTGAAAGTGAACAGTGGCTATTCCGATGGATCTAAGAGTGCTTCGAGACCTTCGTGATCACGGGCATGGCAGCCTTTTCTATTCCCGTTAAGAGAATTCTCTATTACTACTACACCCACAAGCTCTATTTAAAGTCTTATCCAATAGATCAAGACTACAGCTTTAACTATAGTCTTAAACTTTAGGCTGCTAGTATTGTTTCTCGAGGTTCACCTTAACTAACATCGTGGCCAAGCAAATTACAATGGTACCTCCAATAGAGTCCAATTCACCATATTACAGTTAACGTGAAGCTAGAAAGATTTAAAGCTTCTAGAAGACTTTCTCCTTAATAATGCCCTGGGTATCTAGAATTGATAAGAAAAAAATAATATTTTCTCCCTATAAATAGCCAGCTACCCTGCTCTTCTTCTCCTGGAATTTCTTTCCTTTATCCAATACTTCACAGAATCGCTCAGACTTACTTACTTCTAAAAGTCTTCCCGCTATATTCTTCTGTCTCTTTAAACAATAAGTCAACTTCTCACAAACCACTTCTTATTCACTCCCGGCCATTCTACACCCTCACAAACTTGTTCATCAACTCCAAAAAATGTCTCTCTCCCTCGAAGAAAAGATCCGTCTTTACGCTCGCCAGATCCAGCGCTTCCACGAATATAGCGCTGGGACTGGTCGACCCAACAGCAAGATCATCAGGGGTTCTGATGTCAAGCTCGCCGCTGCCCTTGAGCCTGTCTTCGGCTTGTATGTGTCTGGTGACACAAAAGCCACGCATGAGTCGTGGCCGTTTTACTGGCAGTTGCATGGTAAGGCTCGTGTCCTTACGAGAGACTTGGAATGGTTCAGACATATGGGACGCAAATTACTCCAGGATGGCAAGGTGGAGGTTTTAGACCTGCCGAAGTCGACGTACGAGGAGCCGCCCAAGCAGAACTGGGATGAGTTGTATGGACCTCCGGCTCCTGCGCTCACGGAGGCCCAGAGACAAGCAATGTGGGCTGAGACTGGGACAAATGACACATGGCACCGTGTCATCGAAAAGCCAAAGCCGCGACTCACCGTCTTCGAACGCATAGCCCAAGACTCAATGGAGTATCTATCTTCCCAGAAGGTGGCTGATCAGCCTGAAGGTGACGACCTCATCACATTGGCAACTACCTCTGTGCCCGTCAATATCGCTCTTTGCGACTTTGAATCTCTGTGTCTTGAATAAGTCATCACGAAAGACATAGGATGAATTCAGAATGTAATAAAAATGGGTTTTATGCGACATAAATAAAAGCAAAATACCAACCAGGAGTATATGGCTTATCGAAATTACTATTTTAATTGGAAAATTTTAAAGAGATATTAGTCCATTCTTATTGCGCCTACCACTCTATACTGCAATTATAGTTATTAGTCCCTCCTCATGAGCTCATGCGACTATGGAATTACATGAAAGCAAGAAGGATCATTTCAACTTCACGCCTTATCAACCGAGGAAGATATCTCGATGAGTAGTGCTGTTGCATAGCCGCAGTTTTGGACATTTACTGCTGCGTGGGTTTCTGATATTTGACTGCAGACAGAAAGGTTTACAGGCAGTTGGAGCATTTTATTAAAAATATTCACATTATCATCAAGATGAGAAATTGAATTGCATTATATATTGGCAGGTATATCTAAACTTGTCCTGAACAATAAACCTGAAGCTGAGCCATTAAGCAAGTGATCTGTTCAAGCTTCTGTGCGTATCGACAACAGATTTTGCAATATGTAGTGGTGTAAAGTCGATGATGATATATTCGGCTAAGTTTCAGGAGCTCTATGGTGCCCAGGCGTAGATCTATTGAGGAAGGGAACGAAAGCCAAGTATGCCATCTCAGAGAAACCCTTGAGATCAAAATAACAACTATTAGAACTCTTCGCCAGGAAATAGATACTAGTAATCTTGAAGTTTCAGTATCTCGGCGCATGTCAATAACCCTGTAAGATATCAATAATCGGTTTGATTTAGATGCCCTACATAGCGGAACCCAAAACAATTAATCTAACATACCAAGATGATGGGTCTGTAAATCGAGCTTAGGATGTAATCTCCGCATCTGTTTTATAATAGAGCCATAGAGACTGGTTAAATTTTGCCACCTATTCATTAGCTGGTGATCGATTGCTTACACTAATAAATAGCGGTTAGAATAAAATGAGCATACCTTATACGCCTCGCTTCGGGACTCGGATCACCTGTAATTTCTAACTGTTTTGGAACTTCCTCAAAGAAGCAACTAAGGTCATTCTGATAACATTTTCGGCACGAATTGGCCGAGCTCGGAATGCACTTCCGTCTGAGTTGACACAACGGCGTCGACGCTGGCAGCTCTCACATATCATATCATAAGCCACGGACTATCTTTATTCGATATAGAAAAGAGCTAGAATCTGCAATGCCTAGTGCAAACTAACCTCCGGATGCCAAAAGGTTTGAGGCCTTGCCTTTCCTAAACGCGCTAATTAAGGAGGCGCTTAGTCTATATCCAAATACAACTCGTCGCCAGGATCGTGTAGCTCCAGATAACAATCTCAATATCCGGCACCCAGAGGGGCATCAATATATCATTCTAGCCGGGACAGTTGTTGGTATGACAGCGCCTATAATCACCAGGCGCCTCGCATGGTTCGAAAACCCCGAAATCTTTAATACTGATCGCGATTTGGACAATCCAAAGCTATTTAGATGCCACCTTACCTTTCGAAAGGGACGCGCCAGTGCATTGGCATAAACATCACAAACTAAGAGTTGCAGACATTTATAGCAAGTAAGCTCGCTTATTAACCACATTAGTTATATTTTTATTATAAAATAAGTAGGCAGATAGCTAGTTATAGCCCTAAATAAAGCGTAACCCAAACCTAATCTAAACCTAACCTAAACCTTAACCCTTTCGATTTATGATTTAATATAAGCTGCCTCTTTAATATCTAAAAGGGCCCTGTTATCTATTAGTTAACATAATGTGATAGCACTCAGGGGTTGCTTGACCTACCATGACCCTGCCCAGTGCACCCTGCCGTTTAGGCTCTTACACATAGCCTGGCTGCTTGTGTTATCCGGCGCCACATCTGCTGCGGCGAAGTTGTCGCCGCCGTATGTGCTCGTCTTAGTGCGGAGGAGCTCAGCGCTCACACTCTTTGCAAGGCCTCTACGGCGGAAGGGCTCCTACAGGGTGTAAGTTATTGCACACACTGGATTGAATCTTAACTTACCTCGCAGTGAACGCTACACAATGAGCCATCCACAGCTTATGTGGTCAGAACATGGTGATTCCTATAGCAGATTGCCCCACTTACCCAAAAACGCCCAAGCCACAGGCGTCCCGTCCTCCAGCTTGATAAACAGGCTTGGCAGGGTCAACAGCAGCTTACTACTCCCTATCAGTAGATCTTCTCCCCGATCTGGCATTGCGATACTCACACGCTGCGCGGCATGCTTGTCCGCGACCTAACCAGCTCGCAGTCCCGGACCGTGCCTGTCCCCCAGACCATGCCGGCTGGTAGTTCAGGGTCCCTAGGCAGCGGCAGCTCGTCGATGCGGAAGATGAACTTCTCATAGTCGTACTTAGGAGTCGGACCGAAGCACAACCCGTTAGCGAGGGCCGCATCGCGCACAGCGTTATTGAGCGAGCCGATGAAGATGTGGTCCGGGTGCGCGAGGGGTTGGATAGGGTAGATCCTCCCCTGGTGCCTGGCCTCATTGAGGACGGCCATGATCTGCTGCCGGCAGAGGGCGTCTTGGTCAGGAGACAGAGCGGGAGAGGCTGGCATGGCTCCCTGAGAGTCCTCAAAGGTTGAGTAGAGCCACATGTTGGTCTCGAGGCCGTGGGAGGGGTCCAAGTAGGCGGCCGTGAAGTGCCGGATTGTGCTGTTTGGCACGTCGGCGCTATCGTCATGTCGTTCTTGGAGGGGCACGTCCGATGCGACAATGATTCGCGCAGAGTCCGTCTTGCCTGTGGAGAAGGTTGTAAACTGCAGGCGGCGGAGGAGAGTGATGGACCGGGGAAGTCTGGCCTCGAGCAGGTGAAGAAGATCTGCTGGGACGTCTGTAAAGACCTGGACGTGGTGGCGGTCGGACGCCATAATGGTGCTATTAGTCGATAGGTACCTTGGACAGACAAGTAGGCAGATAGGTAGGCAACTGGACTGAATGACTTGTCTGCTTCCATCAAGTCAGGGCCTGCTACTGGACCTATAAATAGTGATCTAAGGTTCTTAGAAAACACTGTTCCGAATTATCAGCGATATGCATAGCGGCCGGTACAGGGTTGACCGACCAGTTGGGCGATTAAACTGGGGCATCCGCTGACGCGCACATCTCTAGGTAGAGTATCGGGTTAGCCTCACATATGCCCCACAAGGGCCACATATTTTTTGACACAAGGGCGCACTACTGTATCTCTCGTGTCACCGTTGCTTGGCAATCTATCTTCCTTTGCACCCACATGCGTGAGTACGAGAGCTGGCCTCGACAGTCATTTGACAGATATCGAGCGTAACCTACATGGACTGAGCCGTCACAGAGTTAATAGTTGCCCTCGCTCCTTTGCGGACAAAGCCCCGCCCAGCGCCTGCATCGAGCACCTTTTGTCTCACCCGTCGCCCTTCACCGTTCGGAGTACATCAACACTAGGGCGTCCTGCAGCCAGGAGAAAGTAAACTTCATTCACCAGGACAAGACGGCTGATTTGCTCGGCACTGTCTTTGTCTGTCCCCTAAGAAAATCGAGATGCCTGCCGACCCAGACGTGGACCTGGTTCTGCCCCATTGTGATGACGATGACTTCAGCTTCTGGGGCCGACAGCTCTTCAATGATGACCACTTCCAGCCCATCCTCCCAGAGAACTTCGTTGTTGGTTCCTCACATGTCACCCCGCTGCCTTTCGGTCTTACCACTGAGCCGGCCGACTTCTGCAATGCCTTCGTCTGGAGGACCCCTGACAAGCCTTGTGGCAACTGCTCCCTTGGAGGATTTTCTTGCAAGATTGTCGAGGACGGCCAGTACAAAGGTTTCTGTAGCTCTTGCATTGATCTCCAATGCAAATGCAGCTTCGGCCTCGCCCCCGATGCCCACGACCAGCAGGGCATAACCTTCCCTTCTAAGCCATGGCCTACTATTGGCGAGCATCCCGATCTTCCACCTCACGGCAGCGTTCCTCCCGCCAGCCTCGTGGGTGCCTCCTTCTCGGAAGCCTCCAAACAGCAGCCTGCTACGTCCTCTTCTGCCGAGATAGGCCATTCAGCCCATGGTTTCGACAAAAACAGCTTGCCGCCCAAGATTGGCACTCGTTTCTCTAGGGAGTCGGTCAAGACTCTAAAGGGCTGGCTCTACTCTCACGGCGATCATCCCTACCCTGACGAGGAAGAGAAGGAGATGTTACAGCGTCAGACAGGCCTTAACAAGACCCAGATTTCTAATTGGCTTACCAATGCTCGCCGTAGATACAGGATCCAGCCCCCTAGGTCCACCTCCCCTTATGTTCGCAACACCTGGACCGGCCCTATCGACATTCCCCGCCGTCTTTATACACCTGCCTTTGAGAACAATACGGGCAACCTGAATCCCCTGGAGCGTTGGGTTGACTCACCTCCTGAGAACGAACCCGCCTCCGTCACCGCCATCGCTCACGCCGTCGCCTTGAACTCGGAGATTTCCTTGGGGCTGAATAGCCCCTGCTCCTTCATTTCCACCGATGATGGATCCAACCCCTCACTCTACAATGTTTCTTCCGCGAGTAGTGCTGGCACTTCCAGTGGTGCCTCCTTCGGCTCCATGACCCAACAGCGCGGCCGCCGCCGTCGCAGGAGAGCCGTTCCTAAGCGCAAGGAGAAACCCTCCTTAGCCGTGCCCCTGAAGAGATTCCAGTGTACTTTCTGCACAGAGATTTTTGGGACCAAGCACGACTGGCAGAGGCATGAGAAGTCGCTACACCTCTCTCTGGAACGGTGGACATGTGCCCCTGATGGCCCTCGGGTCCTCAATCCCCAGACTAACCAGATCTGCTGTATTTTCTGCGGCGAGGTTGAGCCCAGCGATGCCCACATCAAATGCCATAACCACTTGGCCTGCCTGGAGAGGTCACTCGAAGATAGGACATTTTATCGCAAAGATCACCTTAATCAACACCTAAGGCTTATGCATAATGTCAAATTCCTCGACTGGAGCATGAAGTCCTGGAAGATCACTGGTCCCGATATCCGGTCGCGCTGCGGCTTTTGTGGTATCGCAATGTCTAACTGGTCGATTCGAGTGGACCATCTTGCAGAACATTTCAAGATGGGCGATACAATGGCTGACTGGAAGGGTGACTGGGGTTTCGAAGCTCCCGTGCTCAATATGGTTGAAAACTTTATTCCTCCGTGTATGTAGCCCCCCAAATCGCACGGACCGTCTGAAGGCAATTGAAGAAGAGTCTTCGGTCGTCAAAGCCATTTTGACGGTATCAATTCTGACTGTTGATGCATTCATATAGATCTGATCGAGAATGAACGCCGCACTCCGTTCCCTTATATTGCGACCGGCGCGCCAGCCGAGACCCCTGAGAGCGCCTATGAGTTAATAAAGCTAGAATTGGATTATTTTACAGTCAACCACCAGGAAAGGATGGGCACTCTGCCGTGCGACGATGATTTGCAACTAGAGGCCTGCCGTATCATTTTCGCCTCTGAAGTATTATCTCTTCAAGGTATCTCCGCCAAGTGCTCTTGGCTTCGTGACCTTCTGGTCTCAGAGGATATCAGCCGCCAAGCCCAAATGGCTCCGCTGCGCCAAGGGACCGAGAATAGGCTGTCTATCCTCAAGATCAATGGCGAGGACAACTTATTCGAGCAATGCCCACTTGAGCACCAACTCCACGAGTTCGTGCGGGCCAAGACATTTTCACTTCCTCAAACCATAGACGGCGATGAGCTCCAGCAGGAGGCTTGTCGCATCATCCGCCGTATCGAAGAAGCCACAACGACACCATCCGGTTTTATTGTCGACTGGCTAATTAGGCTCATCACCTCCTCCACCAGCTGGCTGGACAACTTCCGTCAACGCGCTCACCTTCTGAGGACTGAGCTCACTTGTGTCAAGCCACAGCCGACGATATGTCAGGCTCAACGCCAAGAGTTGAATGCGATGGCACGAACGCAACCTGCTAGGGCAGTCTCGGGAGGCTGCTCAGAAGTGATCTCTGCCACAGTTGCAGCCTCCCTCTGCGGGCCGCCAGGACAGGCGGGTAAGCAGGGAGCGTTCTTCTTGACCGATGCCAACTGTTACCGTCGCCTCTTTCGCGAGTTAACTCGCTTCGTCTCATCGACCATGTCACCAAATAATCCGAATTGTCATGTACCGACTGATGCCGAGATTCAGCATCAGGCTCGGTGGATAATATTCGATGAGTTAGGGCCATAGGATACCTTTTCATATACCCATACTGACCATTTCACAGCGACGACCCCTGGAACCAGACCGCCGCCGACAACGCCGAGTGGCTCTTGCGATTCAAGCGCGATGTTGGTATCCTGTCTTCGGGTCCCGGTCTTTCGTTGGACACCAATGCTTGGAACATCTCCCAGGGCGGCACAGGCTTCGCTCCTCCGTACGCCTTCCCCAACAAGAGAATGCTACACGCTACTTCATCCACATCGGCCTCGATCAATATCTCCAGCGGCACGAATGAAACGCTCGGCGCGGTCGCATCCACCATGATGACAAACCTGACCACCGGCCGTTCGACTTCCCCCGGCTTTGACAAGGTTGAAATATTTATTGGTGATAACGCAACGCCCTTCGAGACCAACCAGGCCTTGTTGGACGGGTATATTGAAACGTTCTCATCCCGCTATGATCGCCCCGCTAGCGTCTTCTGCTCGCGCGAGCTCGAGAGCGGCCTTGCCGGCTATGTCGAGGCCGAGATTGCACGCGGCGCCGGCTTCCCCTCAGATGAGGCGCTTAAGCTGCGCGGCCGCGAGATTCTGGGCAGTGAGAAGACGGCCGCCGACGATCCCAGTCTTCTCGGAAAGTTCAAGGTGTGGGTGACGCCACTGCTCAATCAGTGGCAAGAGCAGCAGCATGTGGCTATGCCCTCGGCCTTGCCCTGCGATATTAATATCACCCTGACCAACGCGGAGATAGAGAGCGTTCTTGCAGATGCGAGCTTCGATATGACGTTGAGATGATCCTAGGTACTGTGCGGCGTCGTTTGTCCCATACATGGCTATATGAATATTCCCGCTGATTTTCTCATACTCATATTATGTTCACCTTTTCTTGCAGAACACATATTTTCATGCGGGCTCATGTGATGGCATCAACTCGGTAGAACCCTGGGGGTTGATTTAATGAAGATCGAACTGAGTTCTAGATAGCCTCTACTTCAGTCTGCCCGGTAAGCTTCCGCTTCCCATCAATCAACTTAATCTCCCAGAGGATGACATTAGTCTTCTTCGTCTCCTCGCCTGTTTCTTTATTCTTGGTTCTCCATTTGCTCAAAACAGCCACCACGCCATCCCCTTTCTCTGGGTCCTCCCATGAGAGTATCTCAGAAAACTCGTCTTGGATCGCCGTAGTAGAGCCGCGGACGTACAGGAGTCCTCCTTTGAATTGGTCGTAGGTATACACGTTGTGGTTAATCCTGGTGTGCCGTTAGGTTAGATGCACTGGCTAAAGCTTATTGAGTTGGGGTAGCATACTTGGTTACCAGGCTTGAATCAACCTGTTCTTCCATGGCCTTGATGGCGATTTCATCGTTGGGTTGAATAAACAGAGTATCGTTGAGCTTTGTAACCCACTGAGTAAGAGACTCTGGTTTGGCCGACATTTTGAGTTAATGGTTCCTTGACAATCTAGAGTTGATAAATAGTTGTTGATAGAAGTGAAACTAACTAATGGCAAGACATAAAGCCCCTTTTATGCTTATTGATCCTGAGACTCTCTGTACCATCCCATTCTCTAAATTCACCTTCCTTCAACTCCGCAGATTACTCCACATCTTTCCTCCGCGAGGTATGACGATATCAGAACTCCTCACTGTCTGCGCCAAGTCCGACCAGTTTTAAAGCATTGTTAATCATTCTGAAAGGCAATCGCTACCTTAAAGCCTCAGCATAGTTGGATATAGTCTGATAGTGGACTTGGGGCGGAATTGGGGCGGACGTATGGTGGAGATGGATCGGAGCCGTCCCGTTGTTTAGTCCGAGAGGCGCCCAGCCGTTATCCGAGTGAAGAAGGGGTCCCCAGAAGGTGACATGGACTTGCAAGAGTCGGGCTACATCATTCGGGGCCATTTCGCATGGATATCACGGGGCATGGATGAGTTGATGTCCGGCCTGGGTTGTTCAAAAGCGTATAGACAATCATAGGGATTTCGTGACTCTGAAACTGATCGGCGACTGATTGACTTCAATTACGTATAGCTTTATTCTAGTACACAACAGAAACCTCATCTCCAGTTCTCACAACCCAAGTCTCGACCTTTTCTAATCCCCACATAATAGTAAACAAATGTCGTGCAAATTCATCAACCTGGGCAGCACCAACACCACGATCTAGCAGCACCTGACCTTTAAGGGTGTAGATATATAATGGATCAGTCTGTCGCGCAACAGCCTCCCAGCGTGCAGAGGACGATGCCTCCCAAAATTTGGCTTCTGTCGTAATATGAATATCGCCCCCGCATGACTGTATGTTGCTGCCTTTCAGACCGCTATAGACACCAGTGGCGATGTTACAAAGTAGCCCCGTGCGGCGAATGGATTCGGAGAGAATAAATGAGCGGTACAGGCTGGGGATAGGATCGAGTTCCCCAACAGCTGTTCCGCTAGAAGTCGCCAAGATCAGCCGTGGTGAGTTAAGCGTACTGTCGTGTGTTGCGGACTCCCATAGCTGATTTTTCCAAGCGTGAAGAAGGCTGATGAGATTTTCAGCCCTTGTACGTCGTTGAACTGAGGAAGAAAACAGTGCGAGGAGGATGTGAATGAGAAAGGCTTGAGTGCGGGCTAGATGGTCACTGGTGGAGATGATACTGGTGCCCCTAGCGGGTTGAGCATTTAGTAGGTTCGTGATGTGAGTGGAAGAGATTGCATCGATGATGGTTTCATTCTCGCTACTGGCAGCGCTGGAGATAACGCAAGCTGAGTACGCATCTTGAATGCACTGCGGGTATCCCGAGTCTGAGTAGAGATGTCGATGGATGAAGGGGTTGTGCCCTGTCTTTACAAAACGGGATAGCCAATTTTGCAAGCCGCGGATGAAATTGGAGAATACAGAAGCCGGAGGCATCGTATCCGGTGCGCTATAATGATATCCTATAGTCCATGATTGAGATCCAAGAAACCATCCCAAGTCCCGGGATGTATGCATCAGCTGACCCGAAGGCTCGACCATCAAACTTGAGGATGGACATGATATTGCGGATGGATCTGAAACTGAGGATGACCATGACGGTACAGACGGACAATTCAGGCTGGCACTGAAGATGGGATCGAGGAGCCATGGCTCGGACATATCTCCAATCAAGGCCAGGCTATTTGCGTCGGCTGAAGAAGTCCACATATCTCCGAAGCCCATGTCTGGTGTAGCTTCAGCCTCAGCGAAGTCGAGAGGTTGTCGCCTTGGCAAAGGTGGATAAGTGCAGACCGCGTCCCGATCGAGACAGCGCGAGCATGATGGATATCGCTTGTCACAGCGCCGCTTGGTCTCGACGCAGGCGAAGCATGACTTTTGTTTGGATTTCCGACCCATTGTGGATGTGTTTGAACTGTTTGGAGAAGAAGTGGTGGACCGGTTCAGTTTTTGGTTGTGGAGGTGCGGTGGAGAGGAGACGGAGGCTAGCGGAGTTGGGTCGGACATGCTAAGTTAAGCTTCCTTAGTGTCGGGGTTGGTGCACGTACAGTGGGGGGGCCAAAGGCACCTCAGCTATTACTATTACACGGAATCACATGCTATAGGTTAGATACAGCATATATGCGCCAGGCATACGTAAAGCACCAGCGGCTGTTTAAATATGTCTTTACGCTGCAAAAAGTTGAGTCCCAGTAGTTTAGCATACTTCCAACCCTTGACTTCTATCCCATCCCGAGTATATTGGTAACCCGTAAGCTTGCACCCAATGGCGACACCGCAATGGAACCCCTCCACAGACATCCCAGATCTGAAGGGCAAAGTGGCTGTCGTGACCGGAGGCAGGTGAGTATCAGCTTCCCATTGCATAATCTAGCATCGTAACTGACACAGCCTCTAGCTCGGGAATTGGGCTTGAGACAGTTAGGTTCCTGGCTCAGAAAGGAGCAAAGGTGTATTTGACGACGCGAAGCGAATCGCGAGCACGGCAAGCCAAGGAAAAGCTCACTAAAGACACCGATATCGACCCTCGCAACGTTCAATACTTGGTGATGGACCTGTATGATCCGGTCAGCATTACCCATGCTGTCGACGAACTGAAGAAGAATGAGGCAAAGCTTCATATTCTGAGTATGCTTTGGGACCCTATACTTGTATAGATGATAGCTAATGATACCAAAGTCAATAACGCGGCCGCTTCAACATCGTCCACAATGTTGGTTGATGGGAAGTACGAACAGCACATGGCTGCCAAGTATGTAAAGCCCAAATAACCGTTTTAACCAATTGCTAACATGTACAGTCATATGGGACCTTTTATACTGATTAATCGGCTTTTACCTCTCCTCAAAACCGCCGCAAAGGATCCAGGTGCTGATGTCAGGATCGTAAACCTCAGCTCTACGGCGAGTACCAGCATGCTGCCAGGAAACTTCAAATTCAATTTCGACTCGCCAACTTGCTTCAAGGATCCAGTTCCCTCATACCCATGGCAATGGCGCTTCCTAGGAAGATTCATGTTTGCCTTCGACATGATTCGGTATGCTGTGTCGAAAGCAGCCGTGATACTATTCACACAAGAGATTCAAGGACGATTAGAGGGACAGAACTTGCCTATCACTTGTATAGCTGTTCATCCCGGGGAAGTACTCACTGAGGGTGTGTTGGCTATCAACAATCTTGTTGTCAGGGCTATAGCTCGTTTGTCATTTATGACTGCTGAGCAGGGTGCTGCTAATTCTTTGTTTGCAGCGACGGCGACAGATGTTAAGAAGGATGTACTGAAATACAAGGGGAAGTTCATAGTTCCTGTGGGAAAGTTGGAGACTCCTAATCCTGTTGCACAAGACAATCAAATGGTAAAGGGGTTATGGGAGAACACCGTGGTTGAGGTAAACAAGTGGCTGATGGCAAAGAAGCTTCCCCTGTTGGAGGCCTGTTAATTGCTCTTTTAGATAACACACCAGTAATAATTGTATTTATGCGAATCTCTGAAAAGAAACACTCTACTGTCAAGCTTGTGTAAATGACTGGATCTGTGACGGGGGAGTTTGGGGGGCAAAGTCCTGAGTCTTAGGAATTAGATGGGACCCCTCCGTTACGAATACTTGACTGGGAATGCTTATTATGCCGACCATCGTGATCCTATTGCCTCTGTTAGCTGCCTGATGTATCGCGCTATGGTTGGCAAATATCTGTATGGCTATTACGCCGACAAGACTTGAAAGCTCCGCGATGAGCTGCCTTCTTGTGAGTCACCTCAGCGCATGGTCATCGACACAGAACTGCTGGCACAAGGAGTTTTATAATATAAAGAAGCATACTTAAAGTCTTGTATTAATAAGAAATATACTTCAGTAACTAGAAGTACTTTTAATCTAGCTATAGTAAGGTTTATAGTATCAAACCTTTATACTACCTAATAACCTAAGACTCAACATTTATCAAAGTTTGAACCCGATTTCAAGGCCATATATATCCGACCTAGGAATATTATAATACATTGCATTATATCACGCATTCAAAGTAAAATTCCAAGTGCAATTAAGGCACTTGGGTGCAAACAGCATGTCTCAAGAGCGAATCTTCTCAAATCGTGGTCGAAACGGAAGTAGTTCGAAACCGTTCGTTACCGGGATCTCATTTCGAAGGAGCAGGCCAATCTCGCTGGGATGATACCAGTTCATCCAAAGCGTGACAATCCAGATCAGGGTAGCATCGAAAACGAACATGAAGGCTTCAGTCCTCATGAGATATCCGTCGTTCCCATCGAGATACTCAATGACTCGGAACAGACTCCTCACCCAGATGAAGCCGCTCGTGACGTAGAGTGTAGTGAGGTAATGGCGCCACCGAATCAAGAGCTCTAGGCTCTTGTCGGTAGGGGACCGATTCATCCGGCGATGGAAGATGCTGACGACCACGATGAAGATGCCGAAGATGGCCAGCTGGAAGAAGAGGCCGCCGATGATGACGTACTCGCCAATCTTCATGAGGTTGTTCCCCTCATTGGCTCCCGACATCATGCTTCCACCTGGGAAAAGGTCCAGAGTTAGCAGGGCTTATGTCACTAACTGGGGCACGGGGGGATGATTTGGCGCATACCTGCGGACTGGAGCTCGATCGATATTATATCTCCCACCACGAAGATCTTGGTCAACCACCGTCTCCTGATGACTGCATGAACCTCCCCTTCCGTCAGGAGGATGACACGGCTCAGTATCATGTAGATGGAGGCCGCCATCAATGCCGGTGCGATAAGAAGCAAGACGCTTTGAACGACGTAGGGGCCTAATGTCCAGCAGCCAGGGTCCTCGGTTGAGTTGATCGCACGGCCAACGTATCCAGCTATTTCAGCTGCGGTAACCATTGTTAGTCAAGTTGGACGATAAAGCCTCCTGGAGTGACTAACAGATGCCGCCGAGGCAGAAGGCCAACATGTACCAGGTCCTGGTCTTTATCATCTGGAAGACATGGACGATCGTTGTGATGCTGAATAGCACGATGAATATGACGGCCGCGGCTGTCGAGGGATCGAAGCGGTAGAAAGACCAGTCGGCATGTCGATAGTTGGAGTCGCACTTGGCAGCCATATTTTACAAGGAGTAACAAGCGTGACTATTACTGTTTGTCTGGTTTCTGGTGAAGATGAGGCTCGAGCGATTCTGGGTGAAATAGTTTATTTCGGCTTCCCCAAGGGCGTGCCTCGCTTTTGAAGAAGAAAAACATCCTTATTCATATCGACAGCAACGGAGAGCTCGAGCCCATTGCCACCCGCCATGTCTATGCAAACATCCTACCAAAGAACATACCAAAGAACCGACAGCCTGCCTGCCCCCAGGTTTCCCAACCATAGCTAATTCTTGGAAAAGACGCGCTTGAGCCTCATTTCTGATATATTTGGCCAACGTGGACCCACCTGATCTTCGTTTCGAATATGAACTAAGCCCTGTCATTGGTAGCCCACAATTCCCGGCACATCCGAATGCCGCGTATTCGCGTTTTGGGCTCCTTATAAGCTTATAACTAGTCCCTTTCCGCCATGCGACCCCCATATTGTTCGCTGACCTGTGCATTTTGTCCGAACCCGCGGTTGGATCTACAACTCCTTGATCCATACCCTTTACCACGTCAGTGACGACCAACGCATTAAAGATGATCCCACGACGGTCGCATACCAAGTCTCGGAGCGGATGCCGGGAATGTAAACGTCGGAAAGTCAAGGTAAGTGTTTCATGGGCACGATATCATGGAGAGCTCCCCGGATACGCATTTTCCTTCTAACTCCGCCGGCGGACTTTGCTAATCTTTCGTGATGGGTCCTTCGTAGTGCGACGAAAGGGCTCCTTCTTGCTTCAACTGTGCCCGTCGTGGGATGACTTGCAGCCTGACATCACCCCGGCAGTCCTCTAAGAACACAGAACCCGTCAGGCGGGCTGGGATAGACGAGAGATTGCCTGAGCCGAGTCCGCTTAGCAATGATGCTCCGTCCCTGAGTGAAGTTTGGGTTGGCTCCCTGCCAAGCCCCCCTGTCGAGTTCCTGAACCATGGATTGGAATTGATGCACCACTACTCTACCATCACGGCCAACACCCTTGCCCTGAGGCTGGACATGCAGCATGTCTGGCGCATGGTTGTCCCCGAGATGTCATACAGCACTCCCTTCCTCTCCCACGGCCTACTGTCCGTCGCCGCCCTGCATAAAGCTCACCTGCTGCCAGCAAGAAGGGACAAGTATCTAGATCTCGCAGCCTATCATCAGACCCGCGGCATGGAAGGCTTCCGCAGCATATTTACCAGCATTAGCGAGGAGAACTGGAAACCTGCGTTCTGCTTCTCATCCACAATCGTCATGTACGCGTTTTCTCCCACGGGCCAGACCGAGGATGCCATGGCCGATATTCTGCAGCTCTTTGTCTTGATCCGTGGTCTTCGGTCTAGTCTGTTGGGTGGGGCAAGGGAGCTCGCGGGTACCCCGTTGTCCGCATGGTCACATGGTATCTGGATAATAGGGGAGGATGACGAGGCCTCTTACGAGTAGGCGTTCTTATTTTCCCCCACAAAACCAATATCGGCTAACTGTGACTGCGTAGTTTTGACCCACCACTGGATTATAGTGTTCTGCCCCTGGACACATTTAGGGCACTGCGGTGTCTCTTCTCCTTTTACCGTACTAATCTTCCGGATTCCAATAGGGCGGACTACGAGTTCGCCACGCTGCAGCTTCGAAAGTCGGCGATCCTCATCGCGCATGCCGGCCCCCAAGCAGAGATCGGCATGGTCATGTTCTTCCCATATGTTATATCTACAAATGTCATGTCGGACATCCAAGCTAACAATCCCTACGCCCTGGTTCTGCTGTCATACTTTGCAGTGCTGCTGGTCTTTGTTGAGCAGCAGTTTTGGTATGTTAAAGGCTGGTCCAGGAGACTCCTAGAGGCCATTGACCTGCTGTTGGATAATAACCCAAAGTTTTTAAGAGTGGCAAAATGGCCAAAGGCTATAATAGCTAGATTTTATAGAAGTCAATGAAGTTGCTGGTAGATATTATATTTCATTAAGTAAAGACTATCACTTGAAACAAATTGCATTATGTATTTATAGATATATCTAAACGTATCCTGAAATATAAAACCGAAGTTGAGCCATTAAAGAATTACTCTTCAAGCTGTTACGTTTGTTTGCAGATATGTTATTCGGAGTTGAGATCTGTGGATGAGAGCTTACAATCACTACATAAAACCTAACCAGCCTCAAGTTGTTTCACCCAATGGAGGAAAGTACAAGAGTAAATGAGTACATATCGACTATAGTAAGCGTAATGCCGTATAGACTGGAACCTGACTACAACATAACACTTGCCATATCACCTTGAGCCTGTTTACTGTAATGAATGTAGAGAAGCAGGGACCACATTCCTCAGTGGTAAATGGAACCGGGAGGACCAACGAGCAAAGCCTAAAACTCAAACTGAATCCCGCCCCTGTGCCCGTCCAAACGCAGTTACAAGGCATACCTTTAATCCTCCAGGCAGTTTGTGATTGAAGAAGGCATCATAGTTCTGCGAGACGTTCTCGAAATTGTCTGTCAAGAAAGAGGAGTTAGAACCAGAACATAGCTCGACCTGCGTTGACTACTGTACCATGATGCGTAAACATAAAAGATGGATCGTATTTTCCTTGGACAACTAGGTCCAGAAGAAGCGGAAAGTACTGCAGGACAGTTAGTACCCTTCCATAACACGAGGTGGGATAGGAACGGAACGCTACCTTCTGGGCGTAAAGCTGTCCTCCGCGCAGGGTGATGCCCTTTTCCATCAGCATGCCAATTGGGAAGTTGTTGGTTGTGTAGAAAAAGTCGCCGATCAACGCGACATTGCCTCCCTTACGTGTTGCTTTGATGGCCGCGCTCACCGTGTCAGAGCTGTCCCCTTCGACTCCCAGTGCTCTCATAGTGGCATGAGTCGCTGAGTTGGTGCTCCTAAAACCACTTGCCTCGATGCCACGGTCCAGCCCGTGCGGTTCAATGGACAAGATGTAGTCGGCAGGATCAGGGTGCTGCTTGACATTGACGGGAATCATACCAAGAGACTTGGCAATCTCGAGGCGGTGCTCGTCTTTGTCGATTGCATATACCTTGCTGGCTCCACGCAGCTTCGCCAGACGCTGGATCGAGAGGCCAACGGCGCCGCAGCCCCAGACGCCGACGACATCTCCTTTGCCTACCTCGGCCAGCTCGCAGCCATGCCAGGCCGTAGGGGTCACGTCGGCAAGGCCAACCAGCTTACTGGCCTCTATGTCCTTGGGAGCCTTGACACAGGTGAGGTCAGCGTTGGGCACGCGGCAGTACTCAGCCTGGTCTCCAGGGTATCCCCCCGTGATCAAGGAATAACCGAAAATGCCCGACAAGCGATGTCCGTACATTTGCTCCAACTCCTTGGAGGGGTTGGTTCGGTCACAGAGTGAGAATTCCTTTCGCTTGCAGTAGAAGCAGTCCCCGCATGCGATGACGGGTAGGATAATCACTCGGTCTCCTACACTCAGGGTTTTGACCTGAGGCCCGACTTCTTCGACGATGCCGATGGCCTCGTGGCCCATGATCAACCCCTTCTCCATAACCTTGTTCAGATCGCCGTCATACATGTGCAGGTCTGAACCGCATATGGTGCAGTGGGTGATGTGCACGATCGCATCGGCGGGCGCGGTGATGGTAGGTTTGGGCACATCGCTCAGCTCGATGGACTTTGTGCCCGTCCAAGTGGCCGCCTTCATCCTCTCACTAGGATGGGGCTTGTAGGATGTTGTATAGACTGGTCTTATAGCACATATTAGATACTACTTAAGCGTAGGAGGGGGTTACAATAAAGCATACTTGGATACCTCTGCCATGCTGAGCGTTGATGATGTTTGTAGATTGAATATTGCTATTCTAGAGATTCCATCGGCAAGAGAGGAGTTTTGCCATGCAATTTATGTTCAGTATCATATCCCCGGCACTTCTTCCCGGACCATGAGGAGGTTCCTGTTTTGCATTATCCCTTTCATATTTTCGTCATCTCAATGCAATACAGATCTGAATATCATATACCCAAACTGCAGAGTCTCTTTCATTCTTTCATCAGCCTAACGCAATACACACCCAAACATCATTCTCAAACTGAGACCCAGTTCCGCTTCCAATTACATATTATTTCCATCATACGTACACCTTCGTACAGCACACATTATTTCGTATTCTGGGTCGGATGTTTCGTCCTTAGGTTTTCGCTTAACTTGCGCAACTTGGGTCTAGTCAAAATACTCCGGTTCTAAAACAGATCTGCAGAAGACTATAACATGTCATATCTGCTAGTTGATGCAAGTATGCCATCCTTTAGTCAGTCTGAGATCTATGCCTGTGGCGATACTGCAGCCTCTAACCGCATTGACGATAGTAGCAGTAGTAATGACATGCATGTAAGCGCTGAGATGACCTTGGTCAAGCACCTGTATACCTTACTCATATGTGATGTCAGGGGTTTACCTGGCACGGGTATCTAGCTGTAAGTATGACTTAATCATAGTGATGCGCCTCCATTTACAAAGTGAACGACCCGTCACGTGCATCTTGCCTTTTTTCCATTATCCATAAAAGCTACATAATAATAACGTGACTTATATTCTCAGCAGTATTCTCAATAGTGACTGCATCGCCGGTCCCATGCTAGATCACAACAGTGATAGTAGATACAAGAACTATACTGCAGCTTCTTGCTAATTACCAAAGTGTTTCAAAGCACAATCTCTGAGGTAGAGTGCTTTATAACATTGTAGACAGTCCAGATTTGTTAAAGAATGCCCAAGACCACTACAATCTCATAGGATTAAGAATTAACAGTATACTCCTCGCGACCAGAAGCCTATCCACTTGTGTCTTGGACGTAGCGATTTGCTTCATTACCGATGTACTCCTGAATCAGGACACAGTCACAAGTGCCATGTTGAAGGAGTTGCATCTTCAGGTCGTGTACTTGACTAGTTAGCTCCTTCGCACATTCTGTCAACCTGTTATTAACCTGCTGCAAGTTCTTTCCAGCAGACTCGAGGCTTTTCTCAGTTTCTCGTTGCTTAATGCGGACCTTGATTGCAGCACGCTTGTTCCTCTCCCTGACTTTCTTGATGTATGCGATGTCTTTGGTTTGCGAAGCACTGGCCTTGTTGGCAGTGCCACGCCTTTTGGTGCTGGGGCGAACCTCTTGGACTGGTGTTTCTATCTGGGGACTCGTGGTGGAAGTGTCTTGGGACAGGTTCATCGTACTGCGCATGCTGCGGTTTTGAGAGTGTTATTTTGAGTTGATATACCTGACAGCTGCTGGCTTTATCACGCGCCTTACCTCGTACTGTCCACTTCGTAGCTCACGCTGCGTTTCTTTGCTTCAGGCTGCCTTGATAGAGAGCGTCGGCATTCGGTATTGTCAGGGGAAATCGAGAGCTTTGTGGATTCTGAAGCTTGTTGGGGCACCAAAGACTCTGGACGATACTCGGCACTGCCAGGGGGGCTCGCGAGGTTTGCCAATGATGTATCCTGCTGGGGCGTTGAAAGCTCTTGAGATAAGAGAGGCACAGCCCATTCGGCCAAAGTCGGATCGCCAAGGAATCTGGGTATGTATTGTCCAGTTTCGCCGAGTGCAAACTGGTAATTGCCGTCATTGGACGCAAAGTACCATTCATCCCCCAGAAGATGAGAGGCAGCGTCCAAGTTGCCAATCACAGATAGGTCGTAAGTCTGATCCGTAAGTGTAGTGGTACCTTGCTCCATCGCAAGAAAGCGACAGTTGTAGTCTCCGGGACAAAAGAGCCAACTAAGATACCAGACTGGTGTTGAGAAATGGGCTCTCGTCGTGTCCAATTGAGAGTCAAGTTTAAGGCAGATTCTTGCTCACTTTTTGTTGTCCCTTATCTATTAATTCCAGACACTTTTCTTCTGCCTCTATCTATCAAAAACCCAGGTCGGTTTTAATCGGTAGCCCGCCGCTCGATATAACCTAAAAGTTTAGTAGCATCCGGGCAAGTGTATGATGTTCACTACAGTATCAGTATCATAGGCATTTGGGATGTAATTTAATGCCTTTGTTATAAATACCATGGCTTGACAACAAGAGAACCCATTTCAGAGGGAGTAAACTGGTGTGTTGCAGTGTTGATGCTGCAAGGGGCATGATGAGCAAAGGATACTCACCTTGTCATTTAGGCGTCATGATATGTAAGGGTTCAGTTGGCTCAATTACCCCGCTTCTGGATGGCATATCGGACACCGGTAATCCGTATAATCCTTTGAAACGACACAGCTACCCCGCAGTGATACCCTCAATTATGCTGAATTAGGCAATGTCCCTTGTTGACCCACAGCTGCATGTCAAAGATCAGCGCGTTAGCTTAGATCAGTATCTGAGCAAGGCATCTGCAAGTCAACAGGCATATAACCCCAGAGGATAGCTACCTCCAATGATGGTCAAGAAGGTGATTGTAACTAAACAAAGGACCTACCCAGCTTCTTAATATCTGAATACAAAAGCAGCTACCTTTCCATGATTATATCACTCCTTCTATTGGATTGTAAAATGTAATCCAGCCCCTGATATACTGAGCGTTGGTTACGATACCGTATAGTACTGATGCATTGTGGTACCCACTCTTGGTGTTGAGAACGCTATTACTCAGCCCATGGCATGAGTTAAAAAATGTGATAAAAGACGAGCCTAGCAAACGAGGGTGATAAAATAAACTCTAATAAACTTGACTTGGTAAAGGATTATGAGCCATATTTTGCCCACCAATAGTGCGCCTGGAGGTTCTGCTCTACCAGACCCTCCAAAAGTTCTGGACTGGTTGTCGGGGAACTCAATTGTGCATAAAGCCAATCAACAGAGGACATTCTATCAAAGAGTGGCATTGAGTGGTGGAAGCAGCTCTTGGACGACCCCACCAGGTGTTGCGATCTGATATGAAAGATGGTGTGAGTGAAGATCCCTTGGTCTTTCAACGGTTGCATCGCGGAACAGGTAGATATTTCCGACATTCAAGGTTTGATTTTTCACAAAATGTGATGGACGGGAGTTTGTTATTCTGAATGTATTGGACCGACAGCTATAAGATCAAGGTTTCGGCGGGATTTAGTGCATCCCTTGATAGCTCTCGCCAAGTCGAATGTCCCTAACTGTCGCTAAGGATGACGTCGCATATGGGACGTTAAGACAAAGGTCTCGCCATCCAAACACGTGAATGTGGCTTGCTTCGGTCTTGGTGCTTCTCAGGCAAGAGCGTATTTGCTCATGGATCGAATGGTGTGACCATAACGGTAGAAGAAGAATGGTGTGACGGCAAGAGCGCTGCTACACCGGCAATTAGCGAGCCTCCGCCGCCGACTACAATGGCATTGAACGTCTGCCTGGTAAAAAGAGGGGCCCCAGCACTGCTAATACATCTTGCAACAATATTGGCAGCAATGACGGAAGCAGCGTAGTCCGCGTAGGTGTCAGTAATGTAACTAAAGCAGGATACGTGGATCAGCATCAGGCATATCGCCAGAACCGTGCCACCCGCTGTCGGCACGATCCAGTGCACCGAACTGATGGAAAATCAGTCCCGATTCCTTTTTGTGATTGCAACAGTATACTGACTTGTACTGGGCGCTCCAACACAGCCAGAGCATCGAAATAAGGAAGCCGACGCCGCCGACCATGGCTAGAACCATGAGGTCCTCTGGAAGCATCTCCCTCCACATATCGGCCTTTGCCTTCCGACGCCTCGTGTGATCAAAGACGATCAAGAGACCAAACATGGCGCCGACGGCTTGTCCGAGAACCGGAAGTTGCGACACGGCAGTATTCCATCCTCTCAACTCTTGGAAAACTATAGGATATATGCTGAAGAGCATGTATTGCAGAGCATCAATGAGGCAGGAGTAAAGGCAACACAGAAGAGAGATGGTGTCGAAAAGGAGGACCCATGGTCGTGCCAAAGCAATTTTGTAGAGCTGAAGCAGCTTTGGTCTGGAAGCCTCCCCTGCAGCCTCTATGTCGTGGCCTTGGTGTCGAGTCAGTTTTGCCTTTTGTGCAAGAACCGTCGGGCTGTGCGTTTCAGGAATCGTCAACATAGGAATCATGGTGAATGATCCGAGCCAGAGGCAAGCATACATAGACCAACGCCAGTCCTTCTTTAGCTCGAAGCATCCAGATATAACGGTACCTAGCGCTGAGCCAATCCAACATATGCAGATCAAGATTCCCATGGCATTACCGCATTCACCTTTATCCAATATATCAACCAGAACACCTGGTCCAATAGCAAAAGGCCCTGCAGCAAAGGATCCGCAAGAAATCTGCCTACCAATAGACCACCCAAGTTCGGCGGCCACGCCGTCAGGCAAGTAAAGCAGAAGTAGAGAAAGAAGGTGGCATATAGCATCCACTAATAGCCATAGAATTCTAATAATGGGCCAAATACCAAAGGCCCTGCGCAAAAGCCTAGGAGGAAAAGTGACGTTGCAAGCTGGGCAGCAACACTTGAGATGTCAAATTCTTAGGTGATTGACTGAGTGTTCCCTGCTGTGATGCTACTGGCGATACTGCCGTTTGCTCAACGCAACAGCGTGATGGAGGTGATGTAGCGTTTTCTTGCCAGTGACCAATTTCTTGGATTGTCAACATCGCCGTCCCTAAATTCGACAAAATCATCTTCATTGGCTTCCGGGCTCTGGCACCGCTCAGATTCTATACTCGGATTTAATGTCATTCTTGAAAGGGCTCGCTGTAGTGAGTTCATGATGTACAAGTTGGTGAATTTGGCTTCAACAAGATAGCATATAATGGGATGTATAGAACTGTCACAGGCCACGACTGCTGGAACGCGAGGGTTTATTATATTCCATTCACACCGACACCGAATTCAATTTGAGTAAGTCCCAGTATCAATGGTCCATCACCGTTAACATGACAGAGCATCATGAAGATCAATGGAATGTACTGTCTTCACGATGCATTCGGCTCTGCATTAGTAATCTTACATACGTCTGACATAGAAGTGCGTGTTGCATGATTAACACGGTTCTATGGAAATGACTACAAAGAACCAATAACAGATTCTGTTTGATTCCTCACTATCTGGGTTAGTATGTGGAATTTAATAATATCCTTGAGTCAATATCTTAATAATAACTATTTGCTGATTAAGGAGGGAATACCTTATAATTAATAAGTTGATCAAGATAAATCTCAGAGAAGCCTGCTCTACCTTGACAAGTGCTTTTACAAGAGATGTATTTAAAACTCTCAGTTTCTAAATACCCTCAAGGTAAGGGGTGCAGTTGGCGTCACCTCTAAGCCGGTACAACCCTGGATAACACATCTCAAAACACTTCAAGCAGCATGTTAACTGCCCTCTCAACGCCCAAATGACAGCATTAAGCTTCAGCCGGCTTAACCTCATCTCTCAGCTTCGCCGTCTTATTGATGTGCCACATGTCAAATTAAACCCATTGTCAGCAATAGTGGTAGCTATAATACATTCAATTACATCAAAACTGGCTAAAACTGCTTCATGTCTTTTGATGCCAAAGGGGAAGTGAATTTGGCTGATAGGTGAGGTCGCAATCGCGTCACTGTGAAGGTCTGGTGTGCGGTCCTGTGATGAGAACTGTTAGCTAAGTTAACGCACCTCTACGTATTTGTTTCTAAGCTTTCTGTTACGGACCTTTTGACCCTATTGTGTAAGGAATCATCTGCTGCTAGGATCACTCTATTAGCCGTTTTAACCCCCCTTTCCAGATTTATTTAATTCTAAGTTGTATTACTAGGTATTTATGTACTTTAATGCGTCTTCATTCTTCACTTCGGAATTCTCTTATGCTCCATGATGACTATCCATAGACCTCTACAAATAGAACAGTCTCAACACCATGCGTGTCTTTCTGATCCAAACCGCAAAGGGTCTCTTTTCCTCTTCGGGCGGTTACAAAGCCAAACCGCCCTACTACGCAACCTCTCCCCAAGCGGCCGTTGTGTCCGCCAACTCTGCTACTCCTACTGTGGAGAGGTGGAGAGTTACATGCAGCCTATGAATAGCAGCGGCGAGCATGATCCACGAGTATGCACCAAAGTGCTGCATATGAGATTAGAACATGGTAAGCCCGGGGTAGATGTGAAAGTGCAAGAGCTGTGCATGGATGATGGCGTTGAGACTTCGGCGCTGGACAGCGAAGCGTTTGACGCTGCGTCTGGTGGCAAGGTAGATTCACCTAACCAACTGGCTAGAATGTCAGCCGAGTATATTGAGGTAAATGATCAGGTTTGTCATTCAACGGTTGAATCTAACATTGCTGAATACCATCTCCGTTGACTGGAACGTCATCGGCACCACTCATGGACTTTATTTCCTTCCTGCAAGGGGAAATCAGACGTTTTTCTCCAACACACATTATATCCAACGATGCTCTATCTATAAAGGCCAGTCTCGCCTCCGAGCTGTCTCATCTAGCTATGTCTCGCATAGTAGTTGTGCATACGGTCGAGCAACATCCCTTTGGCCCCTTTGCTGGTGGCGTGCCAGGTCATTCAAGTACAACGCGCGAAGCAGATCTTGTTCAACAACTCGACGGTATCTGTGGCGTGCCTGAGGCTATCGAGAAGTATGCCCTTGACCACGGCCAGTTTCAAACACGCTTCTTGGTGCATAATCCCTGGACGTATCTAGTTGGGAAAGACCATGAGATGCCAGATCGTCTCTTCAACTGGGACAAGAAATTCATTGGCATGATAAACCCTTGTCCAGTCAAGGGCTCGAGTATCTATGTTAGTCTTGCAAGAACGTGCTCGCAGTTTGACTTTTTGGCCTACATGAGTTGGGGCGCCGACGACGCAACTGTGGAGCAGATGGGAGATTTGCCCAACGTGACGTGAGTACGCCCTGCATTGTTGACTAAGACTTGCGCACCAAGAATATGGCTGACCCGCCTACAGGACCCGTCCGTGCTGCGTCAAAGAAGAAGATCTCTGGCGCGATATCAAAGTGCTTGTCGTTCCATCGCTCTGGTGCAGGCCTGGGGCATGGTGGTGGTTGAAGCTCACCTTCGGGGCATCCCAGTCGTGCCCTCAAATGCAGGTGCACTCTCTGGGTCAATGCTTGGACTGGATTACATCATCGGGGTAGATCCTATTAGCGGCAAACGCGATGAGTCGGGGCGGTACATTGTACCGGAGAAAGATGTAGGGCCATGGGTAATGGCTATCACCAAGCTCATGCAGGACAGGTCTGAGTATGAGAGAGTGTAAGCGATCGTACGAAATGCAACGAAGCAATCGTTGAAATACAATAATGAGGCTGATATAGAGACATGGTTAATGGCATGTGGTCAAACTCAAATATGAATGGAATGGCATTTGTACATAGCTGGATATTATAAGATTCGATTTGCAGTATCTCAACTTCTTACCCTCTCAGATCATCCGACCAACGCCGCTGGTATTTTCTGCAGCAAGTGTACTCTACCCAATATGAGTAAAAGGCTTCATAACGACGACCTGATACGTGTAGGCTGCAACTCATCCCTTGAACCAACCCAAGCAGCCTACAATAAAACTCTTCAGTCGACCTCGTGACTCACGAAGCATGATCTCGAGATGTGAAGCAGAAGCCTGAGTAATTTATTGACTTATGCCGACTGTCATTCAAGAAGATCAATGATTAAAGTATGGAGCTGCTTGCGTGACATCACGGCACAATGCATCATTATTGAAGGTCCGTGGTATTATGTACTAACCATATTAAAGCAATCTCAGAACTATTAGCCCTATCCACAAAGTCCCCAAGTACTTATACTAAGACAATAGCAATCTGGTACTTTTGCTACAAACTCAGTGCAAATCCCTCTACGCAATACCAAGCAAGCCTTCCCAAGGTAGGAGCTGTATGACCCCCGATTTTGGCTTCTCCATCGACAAAGCATTGTAGCTCCCCAGAGCCCATTGATGGACCCCCTGGCCTGATGGAAAAGTAAAGTCAACCTCATCTTTACTGAAGTTAAAGATAGTAATGGAACGTTCCGAGTCGCTGGTCCTTTTGAACGCGAAGACGTTGGGGTGAGTATCATCTATAATCTCAAATTCCCCATAGACGAACAGGTCAATGTGTTGCTTGCGTGTCTCGATACTTCGTTGCTAGAATCGGTAAGGAGATACGAGCATGGTCCGGTTGTTTGCTCGACCTGCAAACGTCTGTAGAGCCGCGTTAACGACGGTGTAGTCATTGTTTACAATGATTTGGTAACCAAATTCTTCAGGTCATTGACAGTCCACGACTTGTTGCTGAAACGGCCTTTCTCAGGGACAACGTCAAGATCCATCATTTCAAAGGTGAAGATCATGTCCAGTAGAGCCTCTTCCGCCGCCACCATCTTGAGTCTCTCTTCTTCGTCCTCGAGGTACGGCATCTCACCAACCGTGAGAGTGTCGTATTTCGAGAAGACAGCGCTTTTCATCTCCTGGAGATAGTCCATGAGTCGGATCCCGTTGGCGAAGCAACATTCATCCGGTTGGTACTCTCTGCCTGGATGAAGAATCTCTGCGTCAGGGAACATCTGGTCTTTGGAGATGAGGTTTATGGCGTCCATCCGGAAACCAGAAACCCCCTTGTCCAGCCAGAATCGCAGGATATCGCAGACTTCCTCTCGGACGAATGGGGTTTCCCAATTCAGGTCGGCCTGGAATGGACTAAAGAGCGAAAGATAGTACTCATCCATTTTGGAGTCGTAGGTCCAGGCTGACTCGGTCTCGTCGAAGAGGCTGCACCAGTTGTTCGGTGGCTGCCGTTTGCCCTGGGCGTCATACCTTGGCTTTCGCCAGATGTACCAGTCTCGTCGCGAGCTTACTGTTGACGAGGCCGAGTCAATAAACCAGGGATGCTGTTGCGTCAGACGAAATCAGCCATGGTAAATAGGACAAAGAGTTCAAAGCGTCGTCTTACCTCATTTGAAGTGTGATTGACCACCAGATCCATGATGAGCTTCATATCGCGTACCTTGAGCTCATCGATCAAATGGTGGACGTCTTGCATTGTACCGTAGGGACGATGTATGTCACGGTAGTTCGACTGGGAACAAGTCAGCGAGTGCAAGTCTGATTTCACTGCCATAGACTTGTCGTACAATATCATACCCCATGTCTTTCTGTGGACTTTCGTAGACTAATGTCAGGCGTTAGAATAGAGGCACCTCTCTGGGTGAAACAGGACTTACCTGATGAGATCCATAGAATATCCACTGGCAAGATGCAGTCGTTAGACTATAAGCACATAAAGGGGCAAATATCTTCTTACCGCCTAATTCTTTGAGATAGCCCAGTTTAGCAGTGATCCCGTTGATATTTTCAACACCATTAGAATCGGTGTCTACGAAAGATGCCGGATAAATCTAATCGTATAAGTCTCCTCAGGAAAAGGGGGAGAAGAGTTCAAACCTGGTATACAATGGCTTCCTTCCACCATTTCCTGCCCGGTTCCTTTCCAGAAACTTGACTCATTTTGGCAGTGTAAGTGTCGGCAAGATTGGAGTGAGGTGGGCTATGGCAGACACCCTCAACTCCAAACGTGCGTTTTTGAGGCAAATTATATACTGGACAATATTCCAATTATACTGAAATGTGATGTCACTATTGCATTAGCTGACTGATGTGCAACACGTTGACCTTTAGACAGCTGTACGACCAATTAATAAGCGTTTTCCCAACAGGCCTTTACATGAGAGTCGTCATTTTCACGTGGCAGAGCTCTCACTACCATCATATCCTGTAATTATTCTTGGCCGAGGGGTGTAGGCATTGCGAATACAGAGACGTAATCTACTTGTACGTAACAGACAACTGCGTGATTGAGTAGTGTTCTAAAGATCCTGGTAAATTAAGAACTGCCGAGAAATGCTTTCGCCCTTATTACACAACATTATGGATATAAATTAACTTCCCAGCGTTAAACTCTATACCAACCCTTGTATTGAACTGGCATCGCTATGAGTATGATAAAGAAATGACGATATCTTGAGTTGTCTTGAGGCTCCATATTCTGTAGGGTTGCAGCCAATCATACCCACACGTATACTGTGCCAAATGCAAGAAATGAGATATGAGCTGCATCTAGCCATTAAGCACTTGTTAGTAGTATGACTTATCTGTTATGCAGTTGTGAAAATGTCGATCATTTACATGGACATGGCTCCTTCGGTCAACCCTTGATTTGCAGCTATGCAACTACTCGCTGGCCATAAGGTTCAACTTTAGACTGCTAACACAGATAACAAGAACACGAAACCTTGGTTTACAGGGTTCTGTTTAGATTTAATTATGGCCAATGAGCTGAGGCTTATCGGGCGTCTCGCCTCGTCACATCTCCAACTCTTGATGGAGGTAGTGTTCACATACAGTGGCATGAATTACGACACAATACAGAACGAGAGCATTTTATTTGGTTCTAATGCTGAAAACCCATTATTGAATTAAACAGTAGATTTATGAGGTCCTTGACGAACAGCCCGCTCATCTGCTTTCACGGGCGGCATGGACTCTGCTCCATCAGCAGCCAACCCGCCATCTCGTTTCCCAGAATATCCCCTCTGCCCCTTGTCGACATTAGCCTTGTCAGCAACTTCATCCCTCACCTTATCAAATACGGAGTGAGCTGTACTCGCACCAACACCTTCCAAGCCACTGCGCTCCTTCTTTCTCTTTCCCGGATGCACTCCTCTGATTTCACGGTTCTCTTGGCCAATCAATGGTCTGCCGTGCAGGTTATCAATAGAGTTATGGATGTCCTTTGATGTCGAGCCTGGCATGTCTTGAGCAGGCATTTCTAGGGCTTCATTCATGTCGCTGTTGACAGGATTGGGGCGGAACGTATTCTCAGGAGGTGCACTTCCAGGTGGGAAGGTCTCGGCGTGGTACTCTGGTGCGGCATCGTTGCCTTGCTCGTTGCCTGGCTTGTGCTGGCAAATGTTAAGTGGATTGAATAAGTAGACAGTATGTGATTACTAACCCACTTGTTTGCTGTAAGCTCAGATGGGTTGATGCGGGCATGAAACTGCCCCTGGCCGTCGAGGGAGTCGGGGTTTTTAGCCGCCATGTTCGTTGATATTGTGGGTGCCAGATGCTAGTGATGACTGGTCAGGAAGTCAATCACAGAACTTGACATATGAAGATATGTTTTTTTTGGTGCTGAATTTCCTGCACTTATAAGGAGCATCCAGTGGCGGGAGCGAGAGAAGGGGAATCGATGTTATGACATCAAGCATGGCGCATTACTTCGCGTCCTGTCTTACAGCGAAGGTCGTCATCAGATGGGCGTCGCACCTAGCTAACAAAGGCAGACATAATATCACCATGGCTTCACGAATGTAAAAGCCATTCGGGGATATTAAAATCAGGTAAGCCGTATTCAATAGCGTCGAACTCACCTATTCGTCAGACTGATACGGCATAACTCAATGAACCTGAAATCCAATCGAGATGGCCACCTGCCGCTGGAATTTTCTGTTTCGTTGCCTAATATCGTTTGCACTTCTCCATCCTCATGATGACCGAGAAGCCGGTCGTATTCTTCTCATGCTGTCATCATCATAAAGTCTAAATTGTGAGCGAGATGTATTATTTGCAGTTTCGACCAGTAGCCGAGAGCTTATAATCACGACATAGAACGTAGTGGTGGATATAATGTTGACGTCATAACAGCGAAACATATCTATCAGGGACTTAGCAATACTGTTTTGCGCGTCTCCCTATGAAGGCTAGTGTTGATTTATTGCAGCTCAACTTTGCGGGGTCGCTCTGGATCCTAGACTAGAGCATGTATGGAGTAGACGGTGAAACTTGAATCTGGGATGGAATTTGGCTACCTGCTTTAGCTAATGGGAACTACGATCCTGTTACTGTTTAGGGCATCTCCTCTGTAACTAGATAGGTTGATGTCCGAATAGGCAGCTTTTGAGATCTCTTGCCGTTGTACATCTCCTTATTTGTCTTCTCAGGCTTCACTTCAACTGGGTAAGCCAGATCTGCAACGCGTTTCCAATCCTCGTCAGCCTCAAAGTCTTTCCGGATAGGGTCCAGAAGCTTGTTGAGTGCTTTGATCAACGCAGGTTTGACCATTTGCGGTGTCAGAATGTCGCTCTCGTAATCCTCCTTGAGCTTGGAGATGTCTTCATAGACCAGGACCTCGCCTTCCCGTGTTTCAGCCGTGAAACTTGGCTTGCCACCAGCTTTGAGCGACGCAACTCGGAAGATTACGTGTTCTATAAACGCAATCACGCCATTCCCTCCAACTTGTTTTGGGAAGCACACAGCTTTCCTGAGCTTTTTGGCGACTTCTTCAGGCGAATCGAGAAGATTGATCTTGGAGCTTGGCTCGCTTGAACTCATCTTCTGTGCTTCTCCAAGACCAGGAACCATGGGGTTCATCAAGTGTGCTCGCACCTTGTAGCCAATCTTGGGCATATGGTCGATGGCAAAGGTAAAGATCTTGCGCTGATCAACACCGCCCAGTTCCGCGTCTACATCGAGGTGCTCCTCGTCGAGGCTTTGCCAGATGGGGTAGTCCAAGCTACTGAAGATGGGATCGTCGCCTTGCTTAACGACCTCGGCACCAGCCTTGCGGACCTGCGAGTATTTGACAATAGACGAGAAGCGCACGCGGTCGGTCTGGTATTTCCTGCTGTACTGGAATGTGCTTCCTACGACAAAGTCAAGCTTGGAGACATCGACGCCAATGGCTTTCAGGGAGCTCTTGATGAGGAGCTTGTAGTATTCGCATCGGTGCTGGATCACTTCGGATGACGATTTCAAATTATCGAGTTTTGCATGAACATCGGCGAGGAGGATCTTGACGTGACATCCTGCGTGGAGAAGTTCGGCAATCTTGACCAAGGGTACGAAGTAGCCGCAATGTGGTTTTCCTGTTGGGGCGGTTCCCCAGTAGACGCGGAGGGGTCGCTTTTCCTTCAGGATCACATTGTCGATGATCTCGGGATTTAGGACTTCAGTCAAGTTGGCCTTGATCCGAGTAATCGATTCCTCTAGTGTCATTGTGGCAGGGTGTGGAACGATTTCGTGACGGGCCAGGTTGATGTAAGAAGAGAGTTGAAGAATTCTAGAGGACGAAGTTCACATTATTTTATGTTATTTGCAACGACATCGATGTGAGTCATGCCGGGCTCAGGTGTCGAAGTATGGGCGCACGAGTGTTGAGCGTGAAGAAGGTTTGTATTGGTTGGGAAACTCGAAAGTTTGTTGCCGGCGAATCATCATATAGGTCATTCCACTGGAGGTTGATTCCTGTCATTTAAGATTTTGTGTGTAGATACAACAAACCTTATTATGGTCACAGTGTCCTTTCTTTTGTTAAGAGGTCGAATCAGGTTTCAATTTCAAGGAGGCGGAGCAGAACTACGTTTTCCAAGTTTCATAGTCTAGTCTTCTCTTGATATGAACATAGATTTGCTGTGGCTATTAGAGTTTGATGGTTTAGGTTAGGGGCTTCAAAAAGCAGTTCGCTTGTAACACCTGTTCAAGCATCAAGGCATGGTCGAGTATAGACAAATTATGTTAGTCATAGGCCTTCTCGTCACCACTTAGCAGCGATGGAAGAAGTGAGCTCTTACCCTCTTTGACCAGGCGAGAATGGGACAAAAGCTCGGTACATCCCATCCTTTTTTTCAGGTGTCACGTTGAGCCAACGCTCAGGCCTAAATTTATCGGGGCTTTCAAAAGAAATAAGTTAAGCAAGATATCTAGCTTATCGCTATAGCTAAATTTCTTATGAGGAACTTTCAGGTATTGTACCTAAGAAAAAAACCAAGAATGCTGCATATCTAAGCAGCATCAGTTAGTAAGCAAGAGGTACATATAAGGTATTAGCAAAACTTACGCAGCCATAGCAGCAAAAATCTCATAACTCCGGCTCTTAGTCCACACTGAGAGAATAAACGCAAAGCCAGCAGAGTATATAATAATGAATAAGAATTTGAGGTTCGCGGACTGCACAAAGTAAAGAGTTGCAGTTGGGGCTGCAAGGAAGAGAACTGCGGCGACGGAAATCACAACCCGCGCAAGCGTTTTAATGGACTCAGAGGAGTAATATTGTAGGTTAGGATCGACCATATGCCGAGAACTGGTGCCTGTCTATAGAAACATACATTAGTCTCGGTATTTATAGCTAGAAGCAGGAAAATATACCGGGATCGTGAACCAGTGGGAGAAATGTTTCTCGATAAACCTTTCGAGGTACTCTTTGCCTTCCTCAATGCCTCCCAAGGAAATGAGGTCTTCAGGATCATCAGCGAAATGAGACTCCACTTCGGTCGTCGGCTTTATTCCATCTAGCCAATTGATAAGGCTGTCGGCGGCGTCTGGTGTCGCTTTCTCTAACTGCATCATTTGTGATTGCCTTAGGACTGACTTCTCTATAACACAAATCATTAAATCGGTCGAACCGGACCTAGGTAGTATTTAACATACGATATATTGTCAATTTCTCTCTGATCTTTTGCATGATCTCAGCTCTACTTTGATTCCGATCGCCTCGCCGGGAGTGAAGATTCTGTAATCCTTGCGGCCCAGCACGGGTGTCATCTTGATCAGCAGCTTGAAGATCTCTTTCGAGTTGGCATAGCTCATCCTGAATGAATAATAGGTTTCTTGCGGCAAGCTCGTCGAATCTCCGTAGTAAGAAGAATGACTTGTCGCTCGCATAGAATCTGGCCAGAGTGGGGTACCCTCGTGGAGTCGCGGGCAGCGTTTGTTGCTGTACCACTGGAGCTGGAGCTGGAGCTGGGGATGCACCTGTCACTGGTGTGCTTGGCTGTGTTCAAACTTTCTCTTAATTCTGTGCGTTATCTGATCTTACCAAGTGGCCGTTACTCACTGTCCTAAATTTCTTCACACGGCCCGCTCCCCCTCCTAACGGTCGAGGAATCGGGTCAACATTGGTCAGAGTCTCCTCTTTCAATCCTAAGATGTCTCTAACTACAAGCCACAGTTTCAGTTCCACTGGAATTGGCGGGAGCACGCGATGATTTTAATACGACTTACGTTCATCCTGTTGTTCACGACTTCCCAGCCTGTTGGCTGTCTCGTATGGGTGCGACATATTGTACTGTTAAGGATCTGAACAAAAAGAGTGGTGAGACCATTGTTTAATATCCAGGAGCTAGCTAATGAATTGATTGAAGGCCTATTTAATCTTGTTCTTCTATCTGATGTCCTGAGGTCCATACTTATGCCCTAATACCTGATTCGGGTCGAAGCAGCTCTCAGTCTTAGTGAGGGGTTTCCCCGGGTTTTACTCCATCCGCGCCACTTAGGGCGCGGCCGGGCGTTTGGTGCCCAATATTTATCAGCGCTAGGCCCGAGACGGATTTTCAGCTTCAGCCAACCCTGAACCGCAGGCCAATACATCGTGGGATGCGATAAGTTTGCTACTTTCAAGCTTACCGCCTCCTGCATCTCTTCATCTAGATAATTTTTCGTCTTCAATAGTTAAAAGGCTTTTCTGAGTGACTGAGCATCCCTTTGAACAAATCCTCAAATACCAACCAAGAAATCCCATGGACCATGGCAACACCAGTTTTCCACCAATTCGAGCCTATACCACAGTACGAATCTTCGAGCCGACTCGCGAGCAAGAAATATGTCAAAGAAGGTAAGGCATCTTCGGTTGATATTCAAGGTTATCGATATGGAATTAAAATACTCCAGTCTGTGACATTCTTGGAATTGACCCTACCCTAACAACCAACAACTCCGAACTTCCAAGGCCACTAGGCGGCGGAGCTGGAAGAGTAAAGAAGTTCCAACCCGGTATGTTGGGGAGATGCCTGTGCCCCGTACAGCATGCTGACTTCCTTGAGTAGGCGAGTCGAGAGAGTTTGTTGAGCGTACTATATCAACCTTGCCTGAAAGGCCTCGACTCGATCCAAAAACGCCGGAGGGAGCTACATTTACGTCGCTAGAGAAGTGGCTACACCATGAAAGTATGCTCACCTAGCAGAAGATGGACGAATTTGAGCTAATGAGATTTCACAGCGAATGACACTTTCGAAATAAGCCCCCAAGACGTTCGCAAGCGGGCTGCTTGGTCCTGGTGGAGGACTGCGAAGCTCCTGCGCCAAAGCGCCGACAAGTACTCTGAGGCACTAGATGATAGCCAGGTATCTGGACCACGAACTTTTGAAAGGTGATGCCCGTGTGAACCGTAGTTACACTACATGTTCAGAACAGTAAAAACTGACCGTCAGAAGTACAATGAGCCTCTCAAATGAACAGCTGCTCAAGTTTAAGCAGGCATTAACAATGAAAGCGGAAAGAGCTATGAATCATGCTACGAAGCTAAATAGTGACCTGGTTCCAGAGACCGACATAAACTTAACCAATTTCCCTTATCAATGGGGAAGCAAGATATCTCAGAGTATGCCAGTCCTTAAAACTAAGAAACGAAGATTAACACCTCCGCAGAGGATATCGAGTACTACCGAGAGATTGATCTTAACAACGAATTTGTTACCCGCTCGAAGATGGCTAAGGCCTACGAGGACCAATCTTGGCTCTATGCTCAGGAAGCACTCCTACTTTATGCCGAGGAAGCGCAAGAAGCAGAACTCAAGGGTCATGTCTCACGCATCAGGGTCATCCCGCCACGAGTATGGCCACCGCTGACATATCAAACAGGCACAAGGAAACAAGGAACAGATATCGAGCAGTATACCAATGAAGCCATGGACAACTCCGGCAGCCTCTCAAGACTGTGGGCTAAAGCTGCAGAATGGGGTGTGCATATGGCGGACAGCTTTCATGCCTATCACTTCCGCAGTTGGTGGATCCGTGCTGCTATGGCAAAGGGACATGCTGAATGGTTACTCAAAGAACCTCTGCCACAATTCAGTGAGTGCCTTCCTTTGAAGAATTTGACATGGGCGACTTGGAAGTAATTCTTATGCTGGAACAGGGCAACTTCTTCACACCGGAACAAAAGTAACTGCCCCTTGGAGACTTATTCCGCCTCCTCCCATCTCGTACTACGACAACGATTGTGGGCCACAGTCGCTACTCGCGTTCCAGGCGTCTGAAGAGGAATTGTTTGAGAGGGCTGGAAAGAAATTATTCCCTCACTTTCCGGATGACGAATACTATACGAAGTACAATCTTACATCTCATCATGTTTGGGAGCTGCAGTCGATGATTGGTGATCCCGAATTCTCATTTCTATACGGCTGCCCTGTAAGTGATCCTTGAGGGGCGTTTGGGAGGAGAGTAGCCTAACAATCAATTATTAATGTCACTATCACTTAGGACTTTGTTTTCACGGAGAAAGCAAAAACTGGCTGGGAACGCGAGAGACTAGGACTGTTCCCCACTGATCATGAAGATTACGCGTTCATGGTCGGCTTCCACGAGTATTACTGCCGGAAGGGTCTCATAGACCAGCTCCCAGTCTGTTCTGCGCCATACGAAAAAGCACTCGCAGTGTGCGTTGACGATGTATTCCTTGCTCGGTCCCGATCGCTCACCCAAGAAATCATTCTCCTCAACAGCAACCCTACCAAAGCCGTCGTCAACAACATCATTGCTGCTCTAGAAATTCTTTATGCACGACGCTTACACATGACGTTCTGTGAGGCACGCGCAGCAGATTTCGACGGTGCAGTCTACGACTTGGTACAGACGCACATTGCGTCTCTCCAATTACAATTTCCATGTGGCATTGAGGACACCAAAACTCTTTTGTGCATCCAGGATCAGCTGAAATACCCGCTGCTACCATGGTTCCAGCTGTCCTTGATGTGCACGAGGACGCACATTCCGTCCGTGCTTCTCCGATCCTGCACCACGGGGCGGATCCACGACTTGCAGCACCCCATCCCGCCCAACATCTCAAACTGTTGGACGCTGACTCATTCGCTGCGATACTTCTTCGTCACTCGCATCTACCACATCTGCGTTTCTCTTGGTCACAGGATTGTCCATGAGCCGGAAAGGTCGGGAAATATATCAATGATCTATCTGCGCTTTGCGTTTGTGTTCCGCCCATATTTGGAAACAGGATGTGATTCGAGAAAGATGCCATATGTGACGTCTGGGCTCCTGGAGAGTCGCGAGCATGATGTCCCATACCTAGATTGGCAGTTGTTAGCTGGTATTCACTGTGCGCCAGATTGCACTTGCCCAATGAGAGATAGGGAGGCGCAGATGAGGTCGAAGTTGCGTGATAAGCAAGGGACGAGTTTGGCGGCGCGGACAGGGAGGTTAAATATTGTTGAGTGGTTTAATGGGCTGGAGAAAGACGGGATTAATATTGCGTGTATGATGATGGATAGGGCATATTTTGCTGCGTAGTGAAAGCGGGTAGTACATACTCTCCCACAACCTTCGCCGTGTCTCCGCGCCGGAGACACAATTGCTCTTTAGTCTGGGTGGCAACCCACATTGGATTGGTAGATATAGATATTCCAATGTGGTAATCGGAGTGTTGAAGCTTTTGAGTCCAGATTTCCCGGATACACTCGCCGGTATTCAAGCGCCAGGCTCTTAGGTTGCCATCCACTGATAAGGACACCACGTGTGTGTTGTCCAAGGAAGACGAGATCGCCTGTACTTTGTCTTTATGTCCCTCCAAGACATGTTGACGTGGGTCCAAGTCCATAGATGAATTTGAAAGCTTGGAGATCCAGGCCGGTTGGTGCTTGGCGAAGATAGGGTGCATTAGACTTGTAGATGGGATGCTTAAACGAAGTGATGAATAGAGCTGGAGGGGGTACTGATCGACGATTGAAAAGCTCATGCGAAGAAAACGCTGAATGTCCGTGAGAAGCTCGTAAAGCTTAGTGTGTCGGATTTCCTAAACCAAAGTTAGCGGCCATTAAGACACGATTTAGTGACTCATACTGTTGTGATGGCTTCCTCCATCATTCCGCCCAGAAACCCGTGTTCGTAGTCAGTTCTGCGTTGGGGTTTCTGGATCCACTGTTATGATTGGCGCATCGGGTGAGGTTTTATTCTTTATTTTCAAGGGGATTTGCTAGACCGTACTCCAACTTTCGCTACCTAAATATGTATTGAATTGCCTGGAAGAGTGTTAGTGGTGGAGAGTACCTGACGGAGATGAGGCTGGTGGCTTGATGATCAAGAATGAAACGTGTTAATGACCTATCTAAAAACTCTCCATTATACTAAAACTCTTCCAACTTGACCAATACTGTCTTCGTTTCCAAAAAGTTATTCAGGCTAACTGTAGTCCCCTCCCTGCCAACACCACTCGTCTTATATCCACCGAATGGCATATCCTTCGCCTGCGTGGGACTGGTGCAGTTGACACCAACAGTGCCAGCCTCCAATCTCTTGGCAACTCGCAGTGCCCTGTCGATATTCTTGCTATACACTGCCGCGTATAACCCAAACTCTGTATCATTGGCTTTGCTGAGGGCTTCAGCCTCAGTCTTGAAGGTGTTGATGTTGACGACTGGACCGAAGATTTCTTCTTTCATAATTCTAGCATCTTCTTGAGTATCGAGGAAGATTGTTGGGTGGATGAGATAACCATCTGGAGTTGCCTCATGGTCCATTCCGAGGATACGTTTTCCGGATGTCTTGCCCATTTCGATATATGATCGCACATTGTTGTATTGGATCTCATCAGCTTGGGGTCCATGATTGACCTTCTGATCAGTCGGGTCTCCAGCCGCGATGACCTGGAACTTCTTCTTGAACGATTCGATAAAAGGCTCTGCGATGCTCTCATGGACGTAGATCCTCGAGTTTGCCATGCAGACCTGTCCACTGTTCCATTGGATAGAGTACGCCGTCTCAGCAGCTGCTTTCTCAAGATCGGCGTCATCAAAGATGATAGCTGGAGACTTTCCACCAAGCTCAAGGATAACATTCTTCAAATTGGATTTAGCAGCAGCAGCTTGGATGAGTCGACCTGTTGGGCCTGATCCAGTGAAGCTGAGGACTCGAACATCCATGTGGCTGGAAAGAATGGCGCCTGATGTTTTGCCGTGACCTGAAATAATGTTGAAGACGCCTGGTGGGAAGCCAGCCTTTTGGACTAACTGCGCGACTTTGGCGGACTGATGAACTTTTAGCCAGCGTTGGCAAAGAGAGGAAAGATGGGTTGCTCACAGTCAACGGGGCCTTCTCACTGCTCTTCAAAACCACTGTGTTACCCGCCATCAGAGCAGGAGCCGACTTAAGAGCAAGGAATAGAATCGGCACATTCCATGGAATAATCGCCGCCGCGACACCATAAGGTTGTCGTAGAGTAAAGTTCAAGTGTCCAGGCATATTCAGACTACTCGTTCCAAGCACTACCGCTCCAGCTTCGGCGTAGTAGTTGAACGTATCAGCAGCGGCAAAGGCATCGAAGTATCCCTTGACGGGTCTTCCCATAGAGATGGCTTCAAGATATGCTAACTCATGGTGTGACTCGAGGATGAGTGAGGCAAGCTTTTTGAAGTACTGGCCCCGGTCTTTGGGGGAGAGTTCAGACCATGCTGGAAATGCGGCTTTGGCTGCGGCGACGGCGGCATTGGTGTCGCTTTCACTTGCTTCATGCACTATAAACGAGTGAGAAAATATTCTAGCAGCGTATGATTGATGTGGGTATTCTGGATATACCTTCAGCTACAACTTGGTGAGTTGATGGAGACTTCAACTCAAACGTCTGCTTATCAGATGACTCGACGAACTAAAGAATGGTCAATGTCATATTCCTCCCACTTAGTCAGTTCTCTTACGTACCTCTCCGTTGATAAAGAGACGTGTCTCAATATCGCGTGGGGTTTTGGCGGCAGGCATATTCGGATTATATGTTGATCAGATGATATGAAATGGTGTTCTTTCCTGGTTCAAATGGACTTCTGATGCCATGTACAATGGCGTAGACGCTTATAAACTCAATGACCGGCATTATGAGGCCCCACTTCTGTTATAAGTCAAGTGTCCCACTTGGAGGAGTCTGAATAATCCATCGACCATCGGAAGGATGAGTCCGATAGATCCCCGCAGTTGGCACTCCTTCCGACGCCCAGGAAACTTGGTATCCCTCATGCCCAAACTATCCGAGATACCTGAGGGGTATGATCCATTGTGGTGACAGTGCATAGCTGCTGCATTCGGAGCCTTTTTGTCGTCATCAGCAGACTTATCCGGGGTTTCCTCAGCTACTAGAGGCCGTAGTAATGTCGGATTTAAGGCACTGACGGACTATCTAACTCTTTTGATGCATGATACCAATACCTAATATCTTCAAGACTGGAATGTCTTCATTTTGGGGATTAGCTGCTTATGTATCCATTTTGAACCCATGATATTGTATTCGGGGCGTTCACAAGGCTCAAAGTTGCGATTCAAGACGATGCTCACGATACTGATTAGACACGTATGTGGGGTTGTAACTTTAACTTGCATTAAGTATTTATAAAGGGAAAGCTTAACTATAAAATGCACTATCACCATAGACAAGTCCAGTGATCAGTAATTCATGCAACCTTAACATAGCCGAAGAGTCCGGTTCTTCCCACAAATGACCAGCCAATACTCATATGCTGTCAGCTTCCGACTGCCAGGGCAATGGTTTCTCAGCCGGCCTCACGGGACCAACATCCCCACCAGGCTGTCGTCTCACCTGCCACTCCTCTATATCCGTCTGATCCACAAAGTTACCATGAAGTCCAAGACGGAGCTTCATGGGCAGATGAATCGTAGCTACAGGACCTGCAGCTAGGTTCTGTGCATCAAAGATGACTACATCATTGCGCAGAACATCAAGATGGTTCAACAATGCAATCAACCAACCCTCACCCTCTGCGCCATCTTTCTTGGGTATGAATGACGGTTCTTGGAACGTAGCACAAGGGCCGGCCCAGTAGATATCTTCTGTTCTCTCATCCCATGTATAGTGAGCCAGGCAGTTGAAGAGTCCTCCAGCTGGTGAACCGCATTTAGCAGCGTTGTACTCTCGAGACCCATCGATCTTTGCTTGCCAGAAGTGATTGTACTTGTTGGTGACATAGCGATCATCGATACGGGAGAACTCGCCACTGGTGTCCCACTCTTCACTGGCCTGTACGCGTGTCCCTGAAGGACTCTTGGGATCGAAGATCCAGCGTTTGGTAGGGCTGTTCAAGCGGTTCCGCTTTGCAACGGTACCAGCCGGTGTGTCCTCTGGTGGGAAGAAGAAGAAGACGTTACTGTCTGCTACAGTAAGATCGAAAACGATGTTGCCGTCTTCGTTTTCGTAGCAGCCTGCAACGTGACCGTGGAATGCTGACCAAACATGTCAGTAAGCACCTTGTTATATCGCCGAATTAACTGACCGTTATCAGACCGGAACCAGATAATGTCCTCGGGCTTTCCATTTCGCCGCGGGACAATGCCATACCACTGGTCTTCTTTGGGATCCCATGCCCAATGGTTACCTCCTTTTTGAAGGCGATCCGGGTTGCACTTGAGAGGCGTCATAGGCAGAACGACGTAGTTTTTGCTGATCCCACAATCATGGATCATACCGCAGAAAGGAGCTTCGTACCAAGCTTCCTCTGTCTTGATACCATTTGCATCGATTGTCCAGACAGCAATTTGACGAGATCCATCGTTTCCGTTACCGCCAGCTTCATAAGCGAAGCAGATCATTTCACCAGTTTCCGGATCGAATTTAGGATGAGCAGTCATTGTTGGAGATTGGATCTGCCCCTCGAAATCATAACGGCCAATGGTTTCCAGTGTCACTGGATCCATTGCGTATGGCGGGCCGTCTTCTTTCGAGGCTAGAAGCATCCCCCTCCAGAAGGTGATATTGGTGTTTGCTGATGTTCTGATGACAGATTTCACCAACTCAGAATCCGTAAAGGGATTGCGATATCTCCCAAATAAGCTTCTTCGTGCCTTAGTCTCTGCCAAAAACCTGTCGGTTCTGACATATCGCTGCTTATAGTCTGCATGACCATTTTGAATGCGTATAGCAGTGATATTGCCGTCTCCATTAAAGTGGATGTCATCTTCAAAGACGGGAGGAAATCGATGATCAGGTTGAACTCGATAAAATGTCCCATTGATCTCTGGTGGGATGCTTCCTGATACTTCAAGGTCAAAGATGTCGCCCTCCAAGCGAAATGGTTTGTTGAACCCGCTGAAAGTACCAGTGTTTGGATATTTCACTTGGCTGCCGACCTTTTTCCCGTTAATATATCCGGTATCGATAAGAGGTGCAACGTCAAATATGTGGGCCATTGTGATTTGAGGAGAGATTGGAGAAAACAGAATGAATTAGTCAATACGACATGTGGTTTGAGAGCAATACAAAACACGGTCTCTAGTAATGGCTGAAATCTTCTGGTTATTTGTCCTGAACTCTATAGATGGCCGGATCTGTGAGGCCAGGCATTTGATCATGATGGGCTGTCTCCACTCTTGGACCTCCTGTTCGTTCCCTTTGAAGTGGAGAACTATCGGAAGCATATCGCCGATGGCCCCTCACTACAGCCCCTCCATTTTGGCTATTCCCGGCAGCTTCTTCGGCTCTGTACAGGGTAGTTTGATGAGAAGAGGGCAAACTTACTGGGGGATGTTGACGAGCAATGGTCCAATGGAGCAATCAATGGGCATTCAGCTACCTTGATGGTGGCCTTCTATTTATGAGATAAAGTAAATTGACCATTTCAGCATCCACCATCCGACCCAGTCATCTAGCTACTTAACCACCAAGAATAATCCAGCGAACACAATGACAGGCAGAGGTACCATTGCTGTTGAGGAGGCGATAATCACCCCTGCGACAGTATGGCTACTCGAGGAAACCTTTTCAATTCTCAACCCGGGCGACAGCAGTAACAAGGCCCTCGAAGCCCATGCTGCGAAGCTGCTTGACATCCATGATAAACGTCTCGCGACCATGGATGCCGAGGGTGTTGAGTACATGCTTCTATCGTTAACTGCACCGGGATGCCAGGGTATTACCGATTCTCGACTTGCAGAAAAGACCGCAAGAGAAGCCAACGACTGGCTGGCATGCCAAGTCTCGAAAAAGCCAGACAGATTTGGTGGTCTTGCAGCGCTTTCGATGCATGGCCCTGAAGAAGCAGCGCAAGAGCTTGAAAGGGCCGTCACAAAGCTGGGCTTTTTCGGAGCGCTTGTAAATGACTATCAGAGCATAGAGGGGGGATCGGGACGAGAGTATTTTGACACCGCCAAGTATGACCCGTTTTGGAAGAAGGTTGAGGAGTTGGATGTTCCGATTTACTTCCATCCGAGATATGTGTCGATCAAGGACCTTAAACCTGGTACACTGTATGGAGATCGACCTCATCTTCAAGGTGCTGCGGTACAGTTCCATCTTGACCTCTCGTATCATATCTACGCGCTTTGCTCATCTGGTGAGTTATGACCTCTCAATTCTACTGTATTCAGAGACTGACATCCCATGAAAGGTGTTTTTGACAGATTTCCAGGCGCCAAGATTGTAGCTGGACATTTGGGAGAGAAGTATGAACTACGATTCTGAGAGCAGAAAGTTCGCTAACGGTTTGTGAAAGCATTCCTCTGAATCTATGGAGAGCCAGCCACTGGTACAACAAGCCCAGCAAAAAAGCTACTCGACCATCAAAGGAAGACTACAACTATTACTTCAACCACAATGTTTACATCACGACCTCGGGAAATTTCTTCACTCCTGGCTTGAAGCTCTGCATTGAGACAATTGGGCTCGACAGATGCATGTACTCTATAGGTAATTTTGCTCGGAGCTGAACTAGACTGGGAAGTGAAGTTAATATCTTGAGCAGATACACCATACGAGGATATTGAAGAAGCGCAGGAGTGGTGGAGGACTGTGGACTTGGATGCTGACGCGAAGGACAAGGTCGGGAGAATAAATTCCATTAAGCTGTTCAAACTGCCCTTGGAGTACTGAAGCCTTGGAGACGGAGCGGGGATGCCAGGGTGTCTTGAGTCATCGCTTCAATACTTCCGACTCGCAGAGTCTCCTCCGGTCTTGTCGGAAGGACACCCGAACTGAAGCTAAACAGTATCTCTGTGGCATTTAGCAAGACAACGTCATCATTCTAATTGCTATCATGCTCCATAAAGCCTACAGAAACATCCAAGTAAACTATCGTGCTTGAATCATATTGAACTCTTGTTGCTCTTGTAATCCGTTGCACTCAACGCTACTTTACCATGGCAATCGTCAGCAATGTCCCATCGTCTCACCAGGCTGCAGTTTACAACAAACCTGGTGAACTCAGTACCAAGGTCATAGACATTAAGACGCCTAGCCCAGCTGCAGGAGAGGTATTGGTAAAGCTGTTGGTCTCTCAGTATTGTTGGTGAGGGTCATGAGCTGACAGTGAGAGATCTCATTCGGGTGTCTGCCACTCAGATCTTTCCATCATGAAGAACTCCTGGGGGATGCCCTTCTCCCTTCCTGATAGTAGGTCTCATCCCGAGATGGCAAGTGTACGTTTCTGATATGGTTGCTCTAGCTCAGGTTGGTGGTCATGAAGGTGTTGGAACAGTTACTCAAATTGGAGTGGGAGCTGAGATACACGGCTTTGCGGTTGGAGATCGAGTCGGAGTCAAATGGCTGAGGGATATCTGCGGCAGTTGTGGTATGTGATTACTGCCTCACTTACATGGCTGACTAACATGATTCCAAGTCTACTGCATCGCTGGAGAGGATGGCCTTTGTGCCAAACAGTCTGTATCTGGCATGTTCAACCCGGGCACATTCCAGCAATGCCTCACTGTACCAGCCCGATACCTGACGCCTATTCCAGACGGCGTGAGCTCTGAAGTAGCCGCACCGATGCTTTGCGCAGGATTGACCTCTTACGCGGCGTTGCGCAAAGTGAACGCCAATCCTGGCGATTGGGTTGTTGTTTCTGGCGCTGGAGGAGGCTTGGGTCATCTTGTCACGCAGATAGCAGCAAAAGCCTTCGGCTATCGCGTTATTGGCATCGATCAAGCAAGCAAGGAAGATGTCGCGAAGGAAAGCGGAGCTGAGATCTTCATTGATGCTGCGACGCCCAGCGAGGAATTGGTCTCCCAGGTCAAGAAGATTACTGATGACCTCGGCGCCAATGCGGTAGTTGTATGTGCGTCTAGCAATGCAGCATACTCTCAAGGCCTAGAGCTGTTGAGACCTGGTGGGACGTTAGTCGGTGTTGGAATGCCCGGGGGTAAGCCTGTTGCAATTGCAAGTGCAATGCCTGGGCCGATTGTTCAAAAGCAGCTGAAGATAGTTGGATCGATATTGGGGAATCGCCAGGATGCGATTGATGTGCTGAACTTGGCAGCGAGAGGTGTTATTACAGTACATTATCAGACAAGGCCGCTGAGCGACTTGACAGAAGTTTTTAGGGAGATGGAAAGCGGGAGTTTAGCTGGAAGGGCTGTCTTGGATTTGCAGAGCTAATGTGTGATAGGTCCAGTAAGTTTTTTCTTTGTGGGGTTCAGCTGGCGGGTACTTGAGAATAAACTTTAGGCAGATCAGAGATAGTGATAAAGAATACGGTGATTCTATCTTGTTTTCGCGATATCAGCCTCTAAGCTGGCGGGTACGTGTCCAATACGGCATGGCACAACGTCCGTGAGCGCGGCGATATCCGAAGGGGCGGGGCACATAGCCAGGCATCCGCACGATACAGACATGGTTCCAGCTCGAGGTTCAGAAACTTCAAATAGAAAGATGTTGCTCGCACCATGATTGAGATGAGATCATCAAAGCTGAGAAAACCTACCAAAACACCATGCCACCGACAGAACCTTCGGAACAGTCGGATCTCAGCCCCTTGGAGAGTGCCATGTCGTATCTGAGTTTGGACCCAGACAACCCTTACAAGGACCTCGATCCAGAAACGGCTCTTCTGCAAGCTGTGAAGGAAGAGCGCTTGGATATTGTTATCAACCTGCTGGAAAGAGGCGTCGACGCCGATACCCGGGATGGCAAGGGACGGACATCAATATTTTACGCAGCCGAGCTCGGACATGTGGAGATAGCCTCCAGGTTGATACAAAAGGGTGCTTCCCCGAACACGCAGGACGATGAAGGGCAGACAGTGCTTTTTCGCTCTTCTGTTGACGGACATGTTGAGGTCATGTCGCTCCTGCTTGGCAATGGTGCAGAAGTTGACGTGGCAGACGAGGAAGGATGGACGCCTCTAATGGTCGCGTCTGAACAGGGCCATGATGAAGCTGTGGCGTTACTGCTGGAGCATGGAGCTGACCCTAACGCGCGGGACAATGGCGAGTTCACGGCGATCTTGCAGGCGGCCAGTGGAGGACACCCAGACATTGTAGCTCGCCTTCTCGACGCGGGCGCTGACCCCAACGTCCAGGACGAGGCGGATGGCTTGACTGCAATCAGCAGGGCGGCGGAGCAGGGTAATGCAGATGTTATCAAGCTACTGCTCGAACGAGGGGTTGATCCCAACGTGGATGACAGGATCCTCCTCTCTGCGCTACACGGTTTCAGCAGAGACGATATCAGTGGCAGCCACGCAGTTATGGAAATGCTCGTCCAGCACGGCGCGGATGTCTTTATGGATTGCTGGACGGATGAGCGGCCTCTCGTCATCGCTACCAGGCAGGGCCGTTTCCTTACTGTAGAGATGTTCCTGGAAGCGAGCTGCTCTTCGAGCAGTGTCCGGCAAGAGCACATATGGGAAGCTATCACGGTCGCTGCTGAGGAAGGTGAAGGAGCTATTCTAGCGAGCTTGATGAAGCATTATGATCCGGATGAGACTGAGAAGCAGACGCCATGGGAATGGGTGAAAGAGTATCAATTTGGCCAGTCGTACGAGCTCTTGCAACCTTACTTTGAGCCTGACGCAAAGAGCGACAATGGTAGCAATGGATCTAATTAGTAGATAATCTACGACTTACGTATCTAGCCATAAAATATTATATCTGGCACATTGGTATAACTGGATAGTAACATTTTTTACCAAACCCGATAGAGTCAGGTTTTCGGGCGCTTACAGGGCAGCTGCTGACCGTTGGAGGGACAGCTGCGTGAATGGCATGGAATTGCCGCTATTTTATGCCGAGCTCAGTCTTCCCCGCGTTTTTGGCCATGCCTAAAGCGACAGTCTGTATTGCCTGTGGCGTTGTTAGTTAATTGAGGTCCATCTGGTAGAATAGCTCGCTCAAGGCACAGGTGCGGGGAAGCCCTGGTCAGTTGATAGGTGGCTCAATTAAGCCTAACCAGTTAGCCAATGCAGATTGCAATCCAGTTCGTCACCCCCGCAAACACGGCGATCCAGAGTCCGGGGTAGCGGGGACAACAAGCTACCCTGGCAAACCTCCTCTCTTCCAAGTTGGACTCGAATCGCGACTGTTCTTTGACACTATCTCCCTTGTCTTGTTGGACAGATCACCACATCACAAGAAAGAATGTCGAGCAGAAGCTCCAAAGTTACAAAGAAATCGCGGGTGAGTCGGACAGCAATCAGCTGCGACCGCTGCAAGTCACGGAAGACCAAGGTAAAGTTCAAGACCCTACCACGTCCCCGTATTTACTAACCGAGTCTCAAGTGCAACAAACCTGGTACGTAGGCTTCAATCCTTCAAAGAAAAGGACACTGACGTTAAGCGGAGATGCCGATGGCCCTTGTGATTACTGTCGCAGTATCGATGAGGTCTGCTCAGTGGATATGGAGAAGCGGCGTCAGAAGCCCTTCTACTTCGTATCTGAAGAGGAATACCGCCTCCTCCGTGAGCTTTGCAGTAACTGCTTTCCGGATGAGGAGTTAACGATACCGAATTTGCGACGGTTGATTGATGAAAACAAAAAGCCTGCGTTACAGCAGACAGATATTTCGACACCTACGATGTCTCTCGTGGAAGTATCTGCAGTAAATCCTATTACAGACCGTGGAGATGAACCGTTAGATCAAGGAGAGATTCTTCTGCAAGATGTTGGAAACGATCAAGTTGAGGAAGAGGAGATATTACTGCCAGAGATTGTCAATCTCCACCATGACCTAGGTTGTCTTCTAGCAGACGCTCACGGAGAGTATCGTAAGGTACCTCCCTACGCACGTCACGTACCTTCAACTAACATGTATAGGTTACATGGGAGCTGAGTCAGGCGCCAGCTTCAACAGCGCCGTGAGATCATGGATGCTCAGAATGGGTGCAGGGACAAGAAATAAGGAGAAGGACAAGGATAAAATACCTGGAATGCTCAAAGTCAGCCCGCCATCAGTCAAGTCTCCCTTGACAGACGCAGCTTCGTCACCAGGGAATCCATGCCAGTTTCCATCGCAAGATCTTCTATCCGCTTGTGCAGCTCGCTTCTTTGAACAAGTCCACTGCTTGTACTGGATTTATTCCGCAGAATCATTCTATACCCGACTCGAGACAACTTACTCTGGCGACACTGGACAGCTCACTGCTTCATGGCTTTGTTCTCTTCATGGGATAATAGCCCTGTGTGCTTCATGCGAGCCGTCGCCTAATGGTTTGGTCAACGGGCAAAGGGCACATGACTCATTGGAAATGGCCAAGTCTCTCGTGACGAGGGTTTGCGATGAAGCAGATCTAGACAGCATCAGGGCATTGATAGTGCTAGTAAGTCCCTTTGCTTGAGAGTTGTGATATCATCACTGACGCGATTATTTCCAGTCTTTGGCCTTCCATTCCAACGGCTTCACTAACTCAGCATACCTTCACATCGGTCTCGCAGTTCGCATTGCTTTCTCCTTGGGTCTCCATCTGGACAAGTACTCCACCAAGAGCGGAGTAGTAAGCCAAGCGCATGCACGTCGTCTCTGGTGGACATTGTATCTGCTTGATCAAGATCTTTCTCTTGCACTGGGAAAACCAAGCATGAATAGTCCAGCCAATGAGACTTCTTGGAAACCACCTCTACCATCGGAATTTGTACGTTCTTAGCATTCGCGGACCCGCATGCTCTTGCTAATATGCCACCAGGTTGTCAGCCCAGGCTCACATACGCCGAACGGATATCTCGAACAATGCATACGACTCGCTCAGATAACACAGAGTATACGCCAGAATCTCTACGACGGACCCGTCCACGGTGGACAAAAGCTCTCACAGACTCACTTCAACGACGCTATTACTGCCTTGCAAGACTGGCTAGATCACGTACCGCCACACCTTCATCTCTCGAACTCAGTATCCTTATCCTACAGACGGTCCATATCTCTTCTTCACCTTCGATACTGGAGCACCATGATGCTCGTCACCAAGCCCTTCCTTCTGTGCAACCTGTTACAAGGTATAGAGTATGTTGAGACTGTCAAGCAGCCAATCTTCGCTACACTTGCCAAGACCTGTGTGTCTGCCGCTGAATCATCGTTTGAGATCCTGGAAAGTATGGTCCTTCACAAAGTAGCTTCCAGTTTGGTGATGGCCGATTATCTCTTCGCCTTGCAAGCACTTCAAGTTATTGTTGCTGCTTGTGGATTATATCACATGGACGGTCACCAAGCTCGTGCCAAGCAATGTCTGCGGATCTTGCTGGCTATCAGTGTTTCTGGCTACCCAAAGCATCTTATCCCAGAGACATTATTCCAGTTACAACAATGCGGACTTGCTGAAGGCGTTGAAGATACATCCAATATCGTGTTGCAACCCTCAGAACCGTCAAGATATCCCCGAATGGTAACTGAGTCTTTGGAAGGGTACGTAGTAATTTTCTCAAATTTTGGACAGTGATATTAACGGCTGCACAGGATTTCGCTGAACCACAACACTGATCAGCTAGCGACGACGTGGTTGAATGAGCTCGACATGGCAGATATCGTTATCGACAATGGGTTTCTGGATAATCTCATGGATATCTCATCTATCTTTCCTTTCGGGCCATCATGACAGCGCGATGTTCTTAGCATACTCTATTTACAAACACGCTTGCTGTGTCAGTGCTGCCTATTTCTGCTGATGACCTTGCAATGGAACTCCCTAATCTTGACAAACCAAACATTCTCCGTCACGTACTCGGGCTCTCCAGACTCTGTATCCGGAACAAAGTCAAAGTGCCTAACTATTTGTGGGACGGCTTTGGAAAGCTCCATCAGGCTGATGTTCTTGCCCAGACAGGTGCGAGAGCCTTGACCGAACTGTCAAAGTAAAGGGTTAGACTATGCTGTCGAAAGGTGCGTCGAAGTTATCACTTACTGTCATAAAATATGCTTCGCGTTCCTTGACCAGTTCTGGGTAATCTAGCCACCTTTCGGGGCGAAAGACATGGGCGTCATGCCCGAATACCTTGGTGTTAGCGTGTGCCACCCAAGCATTAATCCCAACCACGGTCTGGTTATCGTCAGCACAACTGTTTAGCTAAGTCCAAGCTTGAGATACGCACTCCTGGAGGAAAGTATTGTCCTGCCAAAGTCGCTCCCTCTGATGGAACGACCCGGCCGAGACTGAGCCCAGTGGCAGGATGCATTCGTAGACCTTCTTTGATGACTGCTTGGAGATAGGGAAGCTGATTTGCTTCGGCGAATTTGATTGGATCCGATATTGTGCCTTGAGCCTCGTGCTCTTTGATCTCGGCTCGGAGCTGTTCGAGAACTCTCGGGTACTTGATCAGATTGAATATTATCGAAGTCAAACTGATGGAGGTTGTATCAGAACCAGCACCAATATTCATGGTACATACTGAACTAATGTCAGCGTTAGTAATCTTGACCGGATCTTGAGCCTGCATGCGTAAGAACTTGGTGATAAAGTCCTCTGCAACATTGGAATAGGCTGCGTCATCTGCCTCGACCTTCTCGCGCTTCTCTTCCAGTTGTGCATTGGCAAACTCTCGGACGTGCACCAGGCCAGATACTGTCTTTGATCTCATTCGTCGGCGAAATAGAGTCTTATGCCACTCTGGAAATATCCCGACGTTGGCACAATAGATCAAGTACTGGCTCAGGGACGACATGATTCCTTGTATATCTTCACCCGAGTCTAAGAAACCGAATCGTTTCCCGAGCTAGCAGAGTTAGTCAACTTGGTGTAAGCTACCAACGCAGCATTACTTACCGTCATCATGCCTATTACGTCGAATGCGTAGCATTGCATCCAGTGAGATACCTCCACGGAAGCACCAGACCGAGCAAACTCTTCTAATCTGTCCCTCAGAACAGCGGAGCATTTATCGATGAAAGGCTCCAGTTGAACCAAGTTGGTCATGGAGTAAGCTGCTGCGACCTTTCGTCTGGCCTGTGCATGGATATGTGGATTCGGCTCGGCGAAGATGTTTGGCAGTGGGCTAATGGGATTGCTGCTGGCATAATACCATGGGGACTGGCAAAGCAAATCAGTCATGCCTCTGACAATATCGTGACACAGACCTTTGTAAATCCTCGACCACTTCCGTAGATTATTTTGGCTGCTGCAGGATCGTCGATACTGTACTCGTTTGGTGCTATGCGTACAATGGGCCCTGGTCGAACTGTCAGATTGAGTTGACGTCTCGAATCAAACTTACGAACCATACTTCCTGTGGAGCTCGATACTGGTCTTAGGGTATGTCCCAAGGTATACTTGCTTGAGGAGCCATAGTCTTGTGAACCTTGCAAGAAAGGGTCCAGGAACGCGTGTCAAAGGGGAACGAATGAGCTTGACAAGGGTCAAAAGGACCCATCCCAGAGTTAAACAAAGAGCCAGCCAAACATAAAGAGACACTGATTTCATGATAGAGACGTGTCACAGAGTGATGATTGTTTTCGATTGCATCAAAGTACTGAGGCCAGATATGATATGACTATTGAGCCTCTTCTCGCTCATCGTGTCACCAAACTCCATTTCAGGAGCGGAAGGACATACCGCGAGTGGTCGGTAAGCCAGTGTAGCATCAACCGAGGGTTTGTTATCATTCGGGGGGTCTCTACCGATCAGTGCCAGATCAGTACGCTGGTGATTGGCTCATTCCTCTCCCCCGCGTTGTCTACCCATGTCTTGTGAAATGATGTGGCTGACCCTCTATGTTCGGAACTATGGCTCCGATGATCATGAAGCCGAGACCACGAGTCCCAGCCCCCTCTTTCGTCTCGGGATTATGTGCTTCTAGACCTCGCTCTGTTCAGCTCCATTCACGCCCCTAAGTACTCGCTTCTGTAGCGAGTGCAACTAAAATGCAATGGCAACAAGTCCTCCGAGACGAGAAGCATCTTCTGTCTCATAGATCCGACCACGAGGTAGACAACGAGAATCACATGTTAAACAAGCGGAACACAGTTGCATGTTCCTATTGCTCAATGTTTGGTTGATGATGGACTCTCACCAACGCTCTACCAATGCTATGACCGTCAAACCAGGACTCGATTGCTCTCTTCTTCACAGCACGAGACATGTGATTGCCTTAGGTTGTCGATCGAGTGTAACATTGTCTGTTTCTATAGCCACCATGTACATAACTCATGTCTATCAAACGGTCCAGTCATTAATGACTCTTGCTGGCGGAGCACTACTCGCTGGCTCTCTCCACTTGGGCGCCTGCAAATCCTCCTCCGCCACCTGCTTCCCCGTAACAGGATGAGGGTAATGAAACGGTACAACTCTAGTATCAGGCCACAAATCCGCCCCCTCCCACAGCTCATCAGGTCCCTGCTGATTCGCCGGATAAGTCTCCTTAAACAAGGGCACAAAGCGATCAGCATTCTGCCAGCCCTGCTCAACGCTCCCGTGCCAGAATGGGTGGTATCGCAGACGGAAGATCTTCCAGACTCCGTCTTCTTTGATGTACTCATTCTCGTAGACGCCGCCCTCCCACCATTGGCGTTGACCGCCTGGATATTCTGGGGATAGGGTCTTGTGTGTACCTGCGCTCATGAGGGTTCTGCCGCGGTATTTGGCGATGTTTGTTCCTGGTTGGAAGTCTACGACGTCTTGGCCGATGAAATGGTCTAGAAGCCAGCCATGGATGGGACCGTTTCGGCCACCGACAAAGTAATTGGACCACCGATCGATGAAAAGCCGACGGATTGAGTCTTTGCCTCTGAAGCGGCCATTCAAGAACTGCACATAAGCATCTGGGGAGTCTGAGAACAGATCCACCACCTTGTCATGTCAGTAGCGTACTTATCGAGGGTCACATTGGCTGGAGGCCTGATGCATACCTCTTTGTAAAGACATTTGTCAAGGTAATATCCGTAGATATGCTGCAGTTTTCGTACATCCGCCTCAGCTGTTATGACATTAAATTAGTTAAAGCACGGGACTTGGGAAGGTGATTATTACCTGTGAGCTTTTCGATAGTTGCCTCCATGGCTTTGAGCTGTTTCATGACACTTTCGGTATCCATGTTGGCAGTAATTTCGCTACTCTAACGGCGCGTCAGGTCGGTTTTCGAAAGAACAGGGAACCTGCTGAATGTACAGTTAACAATAGCAGTCTGCTAAGAGGTACCTTCTGAAGCCCATTGGATCTCAAGGAGGTCTTATACCTGTAGACTAGCTATATCGGGAGTGGCTGTCAGCCTCCAGTGAGGGGGCAGATTATCGCTCTCGACAGTTCGGCTGTTGGAGTTCTGTCGGATGCATACCGCCGATGGCACCAAATTTACCACTAGCCTTGCAAAGCTGGGGAATGCGACTCTAAACGCTAACTCAAGCCAAGGGCTGTTATCACGCCGATTGCTAGATCGCGGGGTAAGATCTGGGGAAGCAATGCAACGCGCCTAACAGGGCCCAGAACATATGCGGTACTGATAAAAGGATATATCGCTGATCCTTCCTCTCCACTTCCAATGCAAGGACAATCTCATAAATGCCAAGTCCTCTTTTTTATCTGAACATCATCACCTATTCTCTGAAAACACTCCATCGAAATGGAGACACAACAACCCTCAACTAGAGGTCAACTCAATTCCTTATGGAGCGAGAAGCGACTGATCGCCATATGCTTCTTCATTGCCTTGGCTCAGTTTCAGTATGGGTATGATTCGGCTGCTGTTTCTGGCTTCCAGTCCATGCCAGGCTTCCTCATCGTCTTTGGCTACGTCGATGTAAGTGTATTCCTCAGCCGGTCTCGCTGTCCTTGAAGGAATGGACGACTACTAACCGAACTTTTCAATAGCCCACGAATCCAATCGGCTACAACATCACCACCAAAGTGCAAACCCTCCTGCAGAGTCTTATCAGTCTTGGTGCCCTGGCAGCATGCATCCTCATCTTCAACTTTGGTCGATTCATCAGCCCTCGAGTTGGTCTCTGGATTGCTTCGCTTGTTGGCGTAATCTCAGTCGCTGCTCAAATTGGAAGCACGCACCTCGCCGCATTATACTTTGGTCGTATCATGCTTGGATTCTCGAACGGCTTCTACAGTACCTTTTCTGCCATCTATATCGGAGAGTCGACTCCAGCGTATCTTCGAGGCGCGGCTATTGGCTTGGTCGTCTTACAGATCAATATCGGTGCTCTTATCGGTATTGTCGTTGATAACTCAACTCAGGTCATGCTCAGCCGCTTGTCGTACCAGATACCTCTTGCAGTCATGTTTGTTGTTCCAGTCATCATGTCCATCGGACTGATATTCTTACCAGAGACCCCTCGCTATTATATCTCAAAGGGTCAAGACGATAAAGCTGAGGCTTCAATTCGAAAGCTACGAGGTATAACCGATGACGAAAGAATTCGTGAGGATATCATGATTATGAAGAATGCTTGGTTGGAAGAGACTGAGATGCGCTCCACTACTCACCTGCTTGACGCTTTCCGAGGCACAGACCTGCGACGCACTCTTCTCAGCATTGCGACAGCTGTTGGCCAAGCTACTACCGGCATCTACTTCATCGCAGGCTTCTCAGTCTTTTTCTTTGTTCAGGCACGGATCGGTGACCCATTCAAGTGGGTGACTGTATCTCTCGCCATCGCTCTCACGGGAAATATGCTCTCTTTCCCCGCTGTGCGGTTCTTCAACCGTCGACATCTTCTCCTTGGCACATCTCTTCTCAATTCGGGTTTGATGTTAGGTATGGCAGTTGCCTATACCGTTTCTCCCGTGGGATCACCCACTGCTGGAAAGGTTCTCGTCGGGTTGAGCATTATCTTCACCTGGGTGTATGGTATCGGCCAAGGTCCTGTACTATGGGCTCTGCAGACTGAGATTCCCTCTCAGCGACTACGAGCACAGACAGTGGGCTTCTCCCAAGGTACAAGCTTCTTGGTTTCATGGTTGAGTGCGTATTGTACGCCGTACTTCATCAACCCTGAGGCACTCAACTGGGGTCCCAAGTATTGTTACATCTGGGCTGGTAGCAACCTTATCTTGGCTGTCTTTACATACTTTTTCATTCCGGAAACTAAGGGCCGAAGCTTGGAGCAACTGGATGAGCTGTTTGACAAGAGAATATCGGCATGGAAGTTCAAGCGCTATGTCACAGATCTGCAGCAAGTTGATACAGATAATTACGTGGGACGAATGGACACTAAGGAGAAGGCGGGTATAGTTGAGGTTGAGCATAAGGAGAACTAACGGGCTTCCATGTAACACTCGACACCTTAAAGCTAGCTATCTTAATGTCTTTCAGTAATTCTATTCACTATCCAGAGTCGCAACTAACTTCCTTCTTCGCCCTGCTATTGCTAGTAACGTGTCACAGTCAGCTAGATGGTTTATTGGCAATATTCTCAATTAGATCCAGAGAGCGTGTAAAGATCCTCTAGCTCGTAATTTTCATCGTACGGGCAACAATTGACAGCTATCAAACCTGAATGTATCTCCCTATCTTTGACAGCCGTACTAAGATCTCAAAGCTGCCAACTCCTCCTCAGTAACCTGACCATCAAACTCCTGCATCTTGGGCAGGTCCTTCAATCCCTTGGCCGTCGCAGAAACACATCTACTGAAATATGTTCCATACTTAAAATTTCCTTCACTATAAGGGTTGAACCAATCCTTCTCGAGAAACTCGCGATCCAGAGTTCCGAGATACAGGTGAAAAGAGTCCCGCCATCCATCCGGTAATTTTCCATCAGCGCAATATTCCGGCTCCAGTTTGAAGTGGTAGCATAACTGCGTCCCGCAACGCCCACAGAAGCTGCGGGATACATCGGAACTGCATTTAGTGGAGTGGAAGAAGCGTAACCATGTTTTGGTGTCGCCTGTTGCGCGGAGAACATCCATAGCTGGGACGTAAGGAGGACGGTCTGTATCAGTCTTCTCAGCGTCATAGCCATCTGCAAGGACATCCAGGATTCGACCAGATACAATATCTGATTCGGATGAGGGTGACATGGCGGAGACGGTGAGCATAGGAGCTGGGATGTCAAGAATGCCGACTGCAAGGAATGAACTGGTCGATCTGCGGCAATCGTTGCAGTGGCATGTTATGGCGCCTGGAAGTTTGATCCCAAATGCCGGAGGGCTGAGGGGGTTTAAGGGACGGTTTTCCAATGCAGGAACGTCCATGCGATAGCGGACGGCGCCGCAAGAGCAGCCACCGGTGACTTTGACGGGTTCGTTGGGAAGAGGCATGATAATTGAGAGTAGAAAGATGTGTTTAAGATTTCTGGTGACAAAATCACGATTCAAGATGCAGTTTATACTCTGCTTATGGCTGTATCTGTTCAATTCACGATAAATTCCGAAGCTGAAAACCGGCCGAGGCTCATGACGGTGAGGCGCTCTTGGCAGTCCTCGCTACTGGTGGATTGTTGTTGTTTCGCGTTATTATTACCAGAACAATGCTAAGTGTTTATGGAGCTGGAAATTTTACTACGCCCTGTGATTATTGTTGGGAACGTTCTGGGCAAAGTCATGATTTGAGCTCTTTAAACTCACTGGATCGCTTGGGTTTAATATGGCTTTATTGCTGCCAAGGCTGAATAGACCACTCAGAGTCAGAAGACAGTATCCACAGGGCGCAACGAGTTCCGCCGTGCTTATGGGGTACGAAAACCGTGACAGAATACGAGCAATTGCCTGACAGAAATTCACCACGGCTACTTGGCTCATGAAGCACCCCTGTAAACGTGGCGCTGAAAGGCTGAGACCAAGGTGAGCGGTGGGTAAGTACTGATTGGGGAAAGTAAGCTTACTCAAGTGGAGGACTAGTCATTGGTCAATTCTTGCAGCTCGGTCTTTACCCCCTGTCTCACTATCGATAAGGATCACGCTATGTTACCCTAAAGTTAAAGACCGAGCGGGATCAGCGGTGTTGCCTTGTTCAGATTGCTCGGTCTTTAACGTTTCGTCATTGTCACCCTTTATAATAACTTTCAGTCGTATAAGTGGTTTCAATATAATTTAATTACAGGTTTCAGTCGTGGCTTAGCATTGTGACGCGGCTCAAATGTCTCTTTATGGATCGAAGGCCCTGTAACAACGACCTCGGTCTTTGGCCGCACTAATGACACAGGAATCTTGATCGTGAGCTTGTTTGATATAAATACTCAGGTTATAGCCGCGATTGTTTGTCATTTCTTGTCTTGGCATTCAACAATCTCTACAATTCATAGAGTAACCATCATGCATCTTCTCGCCCTTCTCACCTTTCTCAAGGTCTCACAAGCCTTGCTTGTCCCTTCTCCACCAGGCCCTTATGCCGTTGCCGTCAAAAATTTCGAGCTAGTCGATACAAACCGTATCGACCAATTTGCCCCCAAGCCCAATACAAAACGCCGTCTCATGGTCTCGGCCTATCTCCCCATCGACGCCCAATACGGCTGCAAAGACGAAGTTGTACCATATGTGCCTGCCCTTACAGCAAAGGCCTATGGTAAGGTGGCCGGAACCCTTGGCCTTCCAGACGACATAGTCAAGAATTTCGAGATGAAGGTCTGCAACATCTCAACTGTCAAGCCAAAGAGGTTTCATAAGCCGGAGAAGGAATATCCCGTGGCGCTTTTCTCACCAGGTTATCAAGGTTCAAGGCTTGTGTACGGTGCCATGGCAAGGTCGCTTGCAAGTCTTGGATATATCATTCTCACTGTGGATCACACTTATGAAGCCTTTGTGGTTGAGTTCCCTGATGGGACTGATGCACCTGCTGCCGAATTTCCGGATAACATGAACTCGACGTATCGACAGCTCGAGGTAAGCTCCCCTGTTAAACCACGCGTCGGAAGGACAATAATAACTTTGACTGTTAGGTTCGAACTCGTGATGAATCCTTTGTTATCTCGCAGCTGTGCAACCACACACTCGTGGAAAGTGTCTTCGGTGACTTCCCTGGCACCTTCGACCCTCACAAAGTTGCTGTATATGGTCACTCTTTTGGTGGATCAACTGCCGCCGTCACAGCCCAACGCGATCGCCGTGTCATTGGAGGTCTCAATTTTGACGGTCCAATGTATGGATCTGTAGTTGAAGAAGGCTTAAAGGGCACCCCTTATGTGCTGGTTGGAACAAACATGACGTCTGATCCAGTTCCTGGTTGGAATGCATTCTACGACAAGATTGATGCTGCCAAGATGGAGATGGTAATCAAGAACACACGTCACTATGCCTTTACAGATGTTCCGCTACTGTTGACTGAGTTTCGCATTCCAGCTAAGTTAGAAGCTCAGGTTCATGAGGTATTTGGGACGCTTAGTGGAAGGAAGGTCGAGAAGGCGGCGAATGAGATTATGGTTGGATTCTTGGACTTGGTGTTCAAGAAAGATACCAAGAAGCTCAAAGCTATTGGTAAGAAGGATGGGATTCATGTTTTCCAGCGTGATCTTGCATAAGCAGTGAGAGTCTGGGGTTACTGGTTGTGAACACGGGCTTGGGCTGTAGAGCGGCATGATTGAGAGTGTCTTGTATGCGAGAAATCTAGGTAACTACGAACTCTAATTAATTTTGATAGTCAATCAAGATCAAGCATTTTCGCTCAAAGTCTGGACTCCCCATCAGCTTGGCCCCTACGTACAACATACGCGGATGGAGCTGAAGATCCGGGCCATCGGGTTGTGGAGATAGGGGTTCTCGAACCAAGGTCTATCCTACTCTCTTGATCCAACCAGAAGCTAGAACACAACGACTCTGAAGGTGCCTCTGGAATAATTAAACCCACTTAGAAATAATGTCCAATCGAGATAATGGTATTCCGGAGCAATTGACGGGTCCGTCTCGGTCTTTTGCAGAAATCCGTCGGCTAAGTGACCCCCACCATCCCGATGCCCCGCTACTAACTTTCCCCACGGGGAAGATCTTCATCGAATGCCGGAGTTATAAGAGGTCGACATCTCCAATCGTCAAAACGGTATTCAGTAACCTAGACACGTCTTTCGTGGACAAATTCAGCTATGTTTATCGCGAGTCACCTCAGTATACCGCTGTTGGCCGGGGTCTTTCTCGTCGCTACAGTTCTCTATGCCTTAGTCAACGCCTTCAAGTCCCCTCTCCGTGGCTTGCCCGGGCCCTGGTATACTCACTTCACCCACCTCATCCTCAAATGGCATATCCTGGCTGGCAATCGTGTTCACTACATCCACTCGTTGCACCAGCGTTACGGGCCAGTCGTGCGCGTTTCGCCAGGAGAGGTCGCTGTCAGCGATTTGGAAGCGTTCTCAAAAATCCACAAGATTGGTTCTGGCTTTCTCAAGTCTGCTTGGTACGATGGTATAACTCCCAATCGAGAACCAGGCATCTTTGTTATGAGAGATCCTCATCAGCATGCTGCCCGAAGACGATTGTTTGCTCGTGCTTTCAGTGTCAGCTCGTTGTTGACGAATTGGGAATCGGAAATCAGGCAGAAGACTGAGCTTGCAGTGAGTAAGATCAAGCGGGATGCTCAAAGTAGCGGAGCAGATGTGTTCAAGTGGTGGACTCTCATGGCGACAGATGTGATTGCCCATCTTTCATTTGGAGAATCATTCCGAATGCTGGAGCTGGGAAAGGTCTGTCATCTTTGTCAAATTCCTACCAGCCTCTAGACTAAACTGCTCTAGCAAACTCCTTATATTGATGCAATTCAGTCGGCGCTTCTAGTGAGCGGCCTTCGTGCCGAACTCTCATGGATTTATCCAATTCTTCAGTGTCTGCCTTTCCAAGGCTTGAAAAAGTTACTGAATGCCGACAGCGTCGTCTTTGAGCATGGCTCCATAGCTGTCCGAAATATGCAGAGCGCAGGCGATGGCCTGAGCAAGGCGAATCTGTTCAGCCAGATGCTTGCTGAATCCGATAGTCAGGAGAAGACGAATCTCTCGACATCAAGCGTGCAGGCAGAAGCGAGCAATCTTATCGTCGCTGGATCAGACACTACGGCTGTGACCTTGACGTATCTCATTTGGGCCGTTCTAAAGCAACCTCAACTCCAAGCCGAATTGGAGCGTGAGATATCAGAACTCAGCGATGAGCTGACCTTTGATGAACTCAAGAGTGCTCCGCTTCTCAACAGTGTTATTGAAGAGACGCTTCGTCTATATGGTGCAGCCCCTGGGGCTCTTCCACGTGTCGTGCCTGGCAAAGGCCTTGATGTTTGCGGTCATTACATCCCTCCTGGTACTGTTGTTAGCACTCAAGCATTTACACTGCACCGCGACGAAAACATCTTTGACGATGCACAGAGGTATGATCATCCCGAATTCCTTATAGATTTCCACGCTGACATGGCGACAAGGTTCAATGGTTATCGTTTCATGGACAAATCGACGCTGACAGCGGCACAAAAGACTGCCTTATCTCCATTTGGGGCTGGATCACGAGTTTGTATCGGTCTACACTTGGCTTGGATGGAGTTGCGACTTGGTGCTGCGCTATTCTTCCGTGAATGCCGTAGTGCCACACTAAGCCCTGAGATGACTGATGAAATGATGGAGATGGAGAATAGGTTCTTGATTGCGCCCAAAGGTCACAAGTGCATTGTCAAATTATGATAATGGGATTATAATAGTAGATACTAGTCTGATGCCTGCACGGCTTGGTGATAAGAGCTGAAATGAATACTGGAGTATGTTTAAGATAGTTTTTACAGGCCTCCTACGTGCTCTTCCTTTTACCGCTGATTGAGGTTGAAGCCGTTTTGGCGCTCAATGTCTGTACCTGCATGAAAGGAAACGCCCGACTGGAATAATAAAATTGCGTCAAGTCAAAATTGCCCTATGATTGGTGAAGAGACAGATACGGCCCCAAAATTTCTAGCAGCCCTAGGCTGAATACGAAGTGTGGAGTCGATAGGCCCAGGACCAGCAGATCCAAGTGCGCAATAGTCTCGTTAAAATTCAATAGCTCCAACAGCTGAGGATTTGCCAAATTAAGAACCCCTGAATGGCGACGTTGAAAAAGATGGTGTTTCTCGCATTTGGACCCGAATTTTCGTCACTGCACTTTTGCAACCCCACGCTCATTGATCTGTTGGTTATTCAACCACGTCCACTCGTTCCACGATGCGTTTCTCACTTCAATCCTTGGCCATCTGCTTGGTGTCCACTCAGGCTCATTCTGTTCTTGCGTCACCTTGCAGGCCTTTGACGACTACTTCGCTGGCTGCTACCACCACGACTACTGCTGTCGAGGAAGCCTCGACAACTACTGCGGTCAGCGAAGAGTCCACCACTACGATTGCGGGAGAGACTACCACTGTCGCCCTCAGTGAAGCCACCACCACTACTGCCCTTTCTGATCTGTCCACCACTCTCACGCTTAGCGAGGCTTCAACCACCACTGCACTTGTTGAGGGGTCGACTACCACCACTCTAGCTGAAGAATCGACTACAACCGCTCTCACCGAGGAGCCAACTACCACTGCGTTTGAGTCGACTACCACGACCGCTGCTGAGACCACCACTACAACGGAGGCCCTCGAAGGAACTCAAATGGCGGCAGTCTTCGCCGATAACACTGAGAAGGATACCTATCTTGATAAATATGGTGGTACCTACAGCACTCCTCAGTCAGGAGGCTCAACCTCCAAAGCCCGCTTCGAGCTTGAGCCCGACACTAACAGACTCTTCAGCCATCTCGTTGATGGCACCAAAGTCTACCTGTACACTGTCATCCCGGATGGTCCCAACTATGCCTTCCAGTTTGACACTGCGCAGACCATCGACAGTGTTGATGTTTACCACTACGTTCTGTGCACAGCTGACGCCAGTAACGTCCTCAGCTGTGCTTCCGAGAGCGGTCCCACTCCGATTGTTTGGTACTGGGTGGAGAGTGCTGCGAGATACTACGGAAACAGTAGTCCAACCTATGATTCGTTTCCAATCGTTCATTTCAAACTCGGGTAATTCACTCACAAAATCATTCTCTGCGTGGCATTACTCTCAGGGTAGTATGTGTCGTTACGTGGAAGTAAGAGAAGTCGAGGAAGGGAATTGGTGGCAAGGAGTTAATGCAATCAAGCTTACATGTTCTATGTATATAGTAATTCTACAAACTGCTTTAGACATAATCATCTCATTATGCAATATATTCTCCATACTTTTGTTATTTAATAATAGTAGGTTCTGTATATCTTAAGTTGCTTGTCTACTATATCAGCCTGCAGCCATTTCTCTCGAACCGGTGTGACAGACTGATATACTGATATCACTGCATGAAACCCAACCCCACTGGGAATTAGAGACTTCTAACTTGTTGGCTTGCACGCTTTGCGTCAGTCCCGCCTGTGTCGCCAGACTCTGACCCACTAGCTGGGCCAATACTCTCAGGTTCGGCCAGACGCATCTCAAGGTCCGGGTGCTTGGCCTTCCACCTTTTCATGTACCAGACTCCTCCCATCAGGATCGCCCACATGGTAAACTCAAATACCGTGGCCGCTGGGTATCCATTTGGGAACCGTGGTGCCTCAACCGTTGGAAACGTGAAGAGCGGGATCCAAATCTGATTGCAAAAGCCCAGTGTCATCATAGACGAGATAATGAGCCCCCGTTCACCATAGTTCTCCTTCAGTGTAGAGTTGACCCACGAGTAAAGAATTGGCGATGCCATGCCAGAAAAGCCACCAAAGTAAAAGGCGACAAACTTCAGGCCATCAGGCACAGTCCATACAGATAGCACAATGCAGGCAAAGAATACAAAGGATGCTTGGAATGTCCACAGTCCTCGGAGACTGAGGCAGCCTGCCAATGTAGTGCCAAGCCAGGAAGAGATGGCTCGGAGAAGGTCGATAAATGTAGGGAGGATATTGACGAGTTCGATGGAATAGCCAGCGTGACGCAGCCAGAGGGCCATGTAACCAGTCTACAATTTGGTTAGTCGCGTATTGTATCAAAAAGTGTCTGGGATCAGACTTACCCAGTAATGCGCCTGGCACAAGAAGATGTAGCACGAGACGCAAATCCACCACATAGGCCGTTTCAGAGTATACTTGAATGTCTTCCATGTAATTCCTTCTTTCTCGACGGTAGGAATGCGCTTGAGAGCAAGAGCATGCTCTTCTTCAGTCATGTACCACCTTCTAGGCGATGTAGGCAGGCCAGGCCAGACGACGAATCCAAGAAAGGCCAGAGGTAATGTGATGATGCCTTGCACAATGAACAGCCACCGCCAACCAGCACGCCCAAAAACGCCATTGAGATTTCGGTATGCTGCGGCCTGGAGATAGCCAGAGAACATGGAGCCAAGTGAGTTGCCCATGAACCAAACGCCCGCTCGTTTAAAGAGCTCTTCGTTCTTGAACCACGAGCCAACTAGATCGACAAATGTCAGTATCTCAGCTTCAATTATGATAGTTACTGTCCAACAACTTACGTATGAGATGAGTGCCACCAAACGAACTTGCTTCGAGGAATCCAGTTAGAGCCCTCAGGATATAGAGTTGCCAACTATGTTGGATCTCGGACTGACAAAAGGCGATGACGGCCCAAAGTATCTGGAGCGAAGGAAGCAGGAACGGTGCCCTGTTATGGTCAGCTTCGTCCCCTTCGATGAGTACTATATTAGCTGGCCAAGACTTGCAGTTTGCCTTTTGTTTGTAGCGTCATAAGTGGGATCTGGCCCAAGACATACGCCGTGTTATCTGTATGCAACATCGGTCAGCTCTATCACTATGGATACTCGTGCAAACGACCTACATGCAACGACATAGTAGTTCAGCTCATTTCCAAAGGCATTTAGATCCTCTCTCATACCAGAGACGTACGCGTTGGTGATATTTTGTTGTCCGAGGAACTTGAAAGAGCAGTCAGTAAAAAGCTTTCGGTTGACAAATAACAAGCGAGACAAACGCGGCAAAAGACTGGTAGGAGTTAGTACATCGCCTGATCTCAGTCTAGCTATAGAATTTGTGAGACTTACAGCTCAGAGATCCGAAGACCAGGATAGCGAGATCAAGCTTTCGGAGAAGTTTTCTCTCTTCCTTTGGATACTGAGACGCTATGTAATTGTCAGCCCAGATCCTGGTCAGCCAAAGAGGATCACCCCACGGTACCAGTCAAAGACAGACACCACCACTGCCCCGACTTTGTTGTTTTTTAAAGTTGCGATGACACCCATCTTCGACCAATGTATGACCAACAAAACTAGGAGCGATATTGCCAGGCAGTATGTCAATCGGGAGCTGCAGCTGGAAGGAAACAGAGGTGACCTTTATTACTGGAGCATAGTCTTATATTATCACCTACACATTAGATATTTTCGGAATCTCGCATTGATCTGCAAGTATGGCGAGCTTGTGCGCCGAGACGTAGTATCAACAAGGTTAATGCGCATCGCGACATGTTTTCGGTCCGCGGGAACTGATTTGGACACCGGATAAGCAGAATCAGTGATCCACACGGTTGAATACTCTTTAGCAAGTATATCTTTTCGATAGAAAATGCATGCCAATGGAACTCTCTATAGAGGATAGAGGAAATGCTTTCGACGATCGAATGGCGACATCTCCTCCACTTGGAATACTACTACTATCTGTCCAGTCGCCGATGGTTGTGCGTGAAATTGTGGGGAAGTTTCAATTGACTTATCTATTGCGACATCAAGGGGTACTATAACGCAACTTCCAACCTCTCAAGACTTTATACAAGATGGCCAAGTAAGGCTTATAGGTCTTAAGTTCTGCATGGTGAGTATAAGCTGTCAGTCACAGGTCTCAACTGCAAAATAACATATCAAGCCACAGGGACATTACTATGCTTCAAATAGGACTCGCACAGCAGGAAGGTACACGACAGATTGGACAGACAAACATGGGAAGTTTGTGATTCTTTTTAGCCGAAGCAGCAGCGTTAGATAAGCCCATGGGCTCACCTGATGAAGATGGGCTCTAAGGTAGTTTATAAAACAGACTTAATAAGAAGTGAAGTTTGTAGCTATAGCTCCATGTCATGCCACGTGATGTTCGAAAGGCTCGCGGCTCCAATGTTGTATCTAAGCCCAATCGAGATATGGCAAAATCTGGAGCAGCTCCCTGCAACAATCCCATCCCCCTCACTCATAGACATAGCAAAACATGCCCTCTGTTGTCGACATGAGGTCACCTAGCGCCACTTCCTGTCCTTCCGCGACCCAACCCAAATTCTGAAGGTCAAAGATGGTTGCGTTCTTATGCGGCTCGTATAGGTCATACATCGTGATCGGCCCGTTCACTGCGGTCGACACGTTCGCTGCACGCACCTCCGGGTCCAGCATCTGCCACATCCACCAGACTCGATCGATGTTCGCGTGGTGTGCCCAAAAGGCTGGCTCTCCAGGGCTGACCCAGAAATCGCGACCGGGATCACCGCCAAGTGAGTTGTGGGCGCCGGGGTGGATTCCGATGTCGCGAGACCCCCACGCACCCGACATTATCGTCTGGAACCACCAGATATCGCTGCTGTCACGGATGAGCGTAAGTACGCTCGTCTCGTTGACGTACCGGTGTAGAATTTCGTCGGTCAAGTCGCGCTTGAGACAGCGGGGGTTGTACTTGTATCCCGCGCCAGATGTATCGGTCTTGTTGCCTACAAGAGCAAGTCCTATAGGGCCAAGGTTGACGGTGATATTGGCGAAAGGTCCGCTGGTAACACAACCGCCGCCGGTACCGTGAGGGAAAACTGAAGAGTGTTAGTGTCCATTCCATGTTCCTGACTCGTCGGGAGATACGGGGAATAGCCTGAGAGGCGTTTGTTTGACGTACCGACTTCCATGTTGGGATATTGCGAATTGATAACAATCACATCCGAGTCTGTGTATTTCAGTGGCGCGCCGTTGCCTGACAACGAGGTCGCGGACCCGTCAAAGACCTCTGACTTTTCAAAGGTCTCCTTCTCCGTTTTCGCCCAGTCCCCTGATCACCTTTGGTTAGTAAGTTTGATATAGGGAAAGTTCTCATGGCTAAACTGGGGAGACTGGGGAGTCCCAAAGGACTTGTTTTGGGTGAGGAATAGACGTACAGTAAGGAAAGGGGCCTTTGTAACCGCAATCGCTACGAAGGGCCTGCTCCATCTCCCAAATGTACCAACGATGCCACCCGAGGAAGTTCGCATTCAAGTGGATGGTCAGAGTCTGGTTGATGTGGGTTACGACCCAGTCGTCGTATCGCGACTTGGCACCAGGGGCGAGGCTCGACGGGGTCTTGGCTGGCAGGTCCATCAGGCACTTCAGGGCGTCCGTGTAAGAGATCCTCTCATCGTTGGTGAGGTTCTCGAACAGCTTTCGAACCCTCACGTTGTCCCTGTTACAGGCGGTGGAATTGCTGATTCGCGAAAGGGCTACCTCGCGAGCATGCGAGTTGAACTCAGCCAGCGTCGCGTTCTTGGCGTTGAAGACCGTAGCCTCACGCTTCGAGTCGCTGGCGTGATTGCTACTACCTTGGGCGGTAACTGCCAATCCAAGGAGGATGGCATAGAAAGAAGGATTGAAACGCATATTCAACTTCCTTGATGAAGGGGGAAATGACTGAGGGTGGATGGAGTCGGAGAAGATAAAACTGAGATGCTTGTCTTGAATGGGTGAGATTTTTTATTCCCAAACATGTTCAGGTGCCGGGGATTATATACTTGCGAATGTCCGCAGAGCGTTCTGGTGATCCTAATTCCATCTGACAAGTTGAGGGTCGTTATCGAGTCAGCTTAACGGCTATTCAGGAGGTCTAAAGTGGATTGGAAAATGTCTTCTTCGTGTTCGCTAAACAATCGGCAATAATTAGCCGTTACATGGATTTTGATAATGTTCGTTACCATTGACATCGTATTCTGAGATATTAATAAGTAAGCGGCGCTATTTATCTTTCACTTAATGGTGCTCTTGAGATCTTTATTAGCAGGAACTTTTATAGACCGGCGATGAAGGCCGGACTTTACAGACTATTAGTGGCTAAACAACTATAGGCTTTGCCCATACTGCGGCCCGTCCCTTCCCCTTGTAACTCTGTCGTAAATACCAACACGTAGTATAGAGAATTAAAATTATGAATTAGGAAGTTATTGTTAATGTTTTGAATATTATTATAAGGCAGGGAATTACTCAATTAATCGGGGAGGACACCTCCTACAAAGATAATGTACACACATAAAGACATGAAAGGGCCGTGCTAGCTTTTCAACAAGTAGAACTGGATGTTGTGAGTTCCGAGCTGAAAAAAGCTGGCCGAGCTAACTACACATCTCGCCGCAATTTCATTTGAGACATCCGTCCTTGCTTGTTTGTGTCTGGATTACGTTTATCCCTGGATACTCGGGGCTGCGAGTTGGGCTAGATTGTGTTACACAATCGATTCTCTACAATGAGCCGTGTGCAGCCAGGCTCTCATGAGTCGTATAGTCGGCTGGCGCTGTTGGTGTTGGTGTTTTGGTCCACTCTCCACGCGTCACAACGCTCAGCCTCCGTTCAACTGCCGGAACCGCTGAGTCAGCGGCTACTATTTTCAGGCGATGACAGGACCTCGGAAACCTGTCTATTTTCGTATCTGCATTGACGATGATCGCCCATTGTTCCACTCTATTTTGTCTACTGATTGGCCTCGCCTTGCTTGAATTAATACCACAGTTCCATTGCTTAATAAACTCTCGGGCGGGAGGATCACTCACACATCAGTTTGCCCCTGAAAATATTACCTAACAGCCTCCACAAGATTCCGTAGCAGATGCACACATGTCTGTGAATAGTATTTATTGGGGGCTCTTTTCTGGAGATTACGCGTGGCCGTTGCCAAGCATCGCGCATACCGAATAACCCCTTAAAAAGATTGCCTAACTGGCACAAAGCTAGAGCTGTCGTGGTCATCGGAGTCACTTGGAGAGGTCCTGTCCAACCATGATTGTGCTTGAACTGGATGGACGGAGTGATCAGAAGGAAACCGATGGCGTACCGCTATTTGCCAATCCCAAAGGTGGCTATTACTATCACTTATCTTGGTACACTCCTTCTTCTACAACTTCCCACTGACTGGGCCGTCTTAAACTTGTGATCGGTTAGGCATTATGGTAAGATGTCTAAATAGTGAGCTAGATGTGTTATTTGCAGTTGAGACCTGTGGCTAAGGCCTTATGATGACCACACAGAACTTAGCTTAAACTTGTGATCTCTAGTTTTGCTCAACTTGTAAAACAATCTCATCAATTTATATCAAGGGAATAACTACATAAATAGACTAATGTATTTTAAGAGAGATGTGCTGATTGAGGTGCATATGGTGAACGCTGTGTTGAAAAGCCAGTCATTCTGATGTTAGATGCCTCCAGAAAGATTTGCTTTTCCCAGGTGTAATTGAAGCATTCAAACGCAAGTGTACCCCACCTCCTAGACTAGATTCAAACACAGTAAGCATCGAAATGGGATGACAGCTGCATAAAGGTCATAGACCCATTAACAGAAACCGCCTTGCCATCTTGCTGAAGCCCACCCCCTGGGATGTAAACGAGGCTGCCGACAGAAGCTGCCTGGGTTCCGTGACGAGGGACTGCCATAGGCTTTAGTTCGGTCCATTGCTGTGACTCCGTATTAAAAGCCTCGGACTGGTTAAACACGCCGTTAGAAGTGTTTGGGTTTCCTTCTCCACCAAAGGCGTAGAACTTGTCTCCAACAGCGGCCCCATAGATACCACCTCGGGCAACTGGCATGTGGACTGCGCTATCTTTCCATCCATTCTCCTGTTTGGTCAAATCGAGTTCAAAGACTGTGTCACGAGTGTTCATCTGGCCAAACCATCTGCCACCCACGACATAAAAGGTGTCGCCAATCACCGCGCCTGTACCATGCTGGCGGCTCGCTGGCAGCTCAGCTGCATTCGCCACAACCCTCTGCCATTGGCTAGAAGTCGTGTTGAATGATACAAAGGTATTGACAGCGTCCTGGTAGGTATCCTGGAGCACAGTCATGCCACCAGCTAGATAGAGCATCTCGCCGTGGACCCCAACAATGGAGCTTCCCTTCTCCGTGCCGTTTGGCATTGGGGGCAGGTCATTCCAGGTATCTGCAGTGACATCGTACACATGAGCGGTTGCAGAAGCTACCCAGTTCATAGATACGCCCGAAACAGCTGGGCCATCAACCAACCCGCCGAGCAAATACAGCTTATTGCCGACGACAGCAAGGTTTGGGTGATTGACTTTATGAGGGGCCGCGGACTTAGTGATCCAGGTGTCCGAGGGGATGTCGTAAAACTGCAGTAAATCGGTCATCTCCGTGCCGTTGCCTACGGTAACAATACCGCCTAAAATGGCAATTGTCTCATTGTTTATGGGCGACGGTGCCGTGCTCTTGGCGGGCAGTTGGGATTGGGGCAAGATTGATCCATTCGTTAGACTTGCAGGCCGATGCTGTTGCAGCAATGTCGAATAGGCTAAAGACAGCCAACCGAAGGATGGGTGACGAAGCGCGCATGATTTGTTTTGTTTTGATATGTTGGGAAATAATCTAGAAACAAAATAAGAATTCTCCAAGAAGAGTATGTTAAGAGACTCGGAGATTTTGTATGTTTAGCTTTCCTGTTGTGGCTCATTAATGAAGCGTTTGGCAACTCTTAAATATGGTAGCTTTCCTTAGAAGTTGGACCTTGCAAACGGTCGTCGTCGTCGTCGTCGTCGTCATCATTGGCAATCACTAAACTAGCTTCAATGCTGAAGTTTCTTACTCAGCGGCTTCAAGGCGAGCATTTCCATGCACTCATTGTATTAACTCCGGAGAACAAAGACCCCTGTATTCCAGTATAGGGCTTTAAATGCTGATCGTAATGCTTTGCAGGGTGCTTACTCCTTTCTTAGCTTTTCAAATATTCCGCATTTGCTCTAGTCTTGCGAGAGACTACCCAATGTGAATAGAAACAAGAACTGCCCCTGCTTTGAGGAGTCCCGTCCAGGGGCTTATCAGGTGCATGGCAATTTCATAGTACGTTATGTCGTGACAGATACATATCCTAGGAAGAATGGACACAAGTCGGTGACTAATGAATTATGCATCAAGATCTTGATCAGGTAAAAGTAAGGGATCACTACTGCATCATTTCCGATATGTCTCAGCCTCCCAGGTTGAGGCCTCGGGGAACAGGCCCAGAGTTCAACTTGGACTCAATAGTTGAAGCCAATTTTCTATACGGAAGTTCCCGTTATAGCGGGAGGCTCCGTCCCGTTTCTTATATCAGAGATTAATGAGAATCTTAGGCTTAAAATAATATAGTATAGCTTGAAAAGTATAAATATCGCAGCGTAAGTTTCTGACGAGCCATGACTTTCAATATAACTCTATTTAATTAACTTTCTTCCTTGGGCCAACTGTTTGCACTAAAGCAACAGACGAAACAAGTAGCGCAGACTCGCTGCTCACAAACTCTGCTGTGAGGGTTACACAAAGCCCACTTGGGTTATCAGTAAAAGGATTATCCCCCGCTCCCACAATGTCAGCATCTACATCAAGCCTCACGTCTTGATTGGTAGGCAAGCAATCGTCATCTGAGTTCTCCCAGCTCCCGACTTGATCTCGCCCTGCATAGAGTTCGACTTGTATGATCTTGGAATGGCTGTTTGTGGCTGGCTGACCGTGCGGGGAAACAAGCACTTCGAGTCTTGTGGACGCAATTGCATAGCCGGTGAGTTTACCGAGAGTCGTTTCCTCTTCCAGGGACCGTAGCGTGGGCAGTGCGAAATGAATCTTGCCAATCCCAACAGCTAAGCCTTCTACATTAGTTGATGATCTCAATTGAGGATCAAGCTAAACACCTTTTGCAGTAATTATGGCACCTCGGCTGGAAGGGCTGATATTGATGGGAAATTCGCCGTCGGAAATGGCGGCGCTTCCGTGGAGAGATGTCACGACGAACTCACATGGTCCGGGAAGCGTTGACTGCATTTTTTGTAGTGGCTGTTTGTATAGATAGACTTTTGTTACTTGATGGGCTGGATGTGCTGTTGTAGGAGGCCAAGTTTATTATAGCTATTAGTGGAGTATATGTAGATTAGCCAGCTAACAATGGAACGAGGAAAATAATTGGATTGAGTTAACGACCTAAAGCAGGGTTAGTTGGCCTAGTCGTTGGCGTCGAATAGCGCACGCGCACTTATGTGTGAGCAGATTTTAAGTGAGACATCATCGCTTCAAGGTTGTTCAGCTTCTTCTAAGTATCAAGCCATTGTGAGCTGATTGGCAATTCTGCGATATGAGTGATCAATACGTTCGTTCTATACCCTATAGTCCTTTCATAGTGGATATAAAGTGAGACATTATGCTGGTGAATTGTTCAGCTTCTGCAGGCCGGTAGAACATGAGACTCGCATTGGTTATTATACGACAGTTGTTGACATCACATATTGATACATGGCAATGAGTTGGTTAGAAGTTCTCTGAAAATTGACCGACATGTAGTCTTCTGAGACACGTCTTTTCCAGCGAGCTGATGGTCGGCTACCTCAGGTCCGACTCTCATCCCTTCAGCTATAAATGTCCTCACCTCCCAGGCTGATCAGTTAGAGCATCTCACTTACTATACACTTGCCTTACAAAATCAACGATCTTCATTATCAATCTCTTACATCACGTCTCCGTATCAGCAAGCATGTCTGATATTCAAATCTGCACGATAATGCCTGTCCCCGAAGATCTTCGGGGCCAGGCAGACACGCTTGCTCTCCAGGAAAACCCCAAGAACGGCCATCAGCTCACTGCTGGCGGGGCTGTTCTGGGCACCCAAAACCCCCTTGCTCTCGCTTTACCCGTCGGCTCTATGTGGCGAAACAAGCGTGTCCTTCGCGTCAAATTCCTCAACGGATCCGACAGGATTAAGCAAAAGATTCAAGAGTTCGCTGTGAAGTGGAATGAATTTTCTGGTGTCACATTCTCGTTTGACAACGCTGAGGATGCTGAGATTCGCATCAACTGTGACAGTAGCGGACAGTCATGGTCGTACGTCGGCACCGATTGTCTCGGCATCCCCAAGAATCAGCCTACTATGAACTTTGGTTGGTTGACCGACTCAACTCCTGATGCTGAATATTCTCGTGTTGTCATCCATGAGTTTGGTCATGCTTTAGGATGCGGTCACGAGCATCAGTCTCCAGCTGGTGGCATTCCCTGGAATAAAGAGGCAGCTTACAAGTATTACGGCAACCAGAATAATTGGAACCATGACGAAGTGGACCGCAACATCTTTGACTATTATAGCTTCACCATTACAAGGCTCACTGATCTCGACAAGAAGTCAATCATGATATATGCAATTCCCAAGTCTCTCACCACAAACGGGTACTTTGTTGCATCCAACAACGTACTTTCTGCCACCGATAAGGACTTCATCGGTGGAGTTTATCCCAAGGGTGGAGCTGCGACTTCTGCAGCTAAAACAGGAACTTCTGTTTCAACCTTCAACACCATGGAAGTCAGAAACTGGCAAAGCCCGCAGAGTCAGACTTCAAAGACGGTCAAATTCTCTCAGAGCTTTGAAAAGCCGCCTGCGATTGCAGTGGGCCTGAACTGGCTTGACATTGCAAACAATGCCAACATCCGCGTTAATGCGTCTGCGGACTCTATTGGAACTGACTCCGCCGTCTTTCACGTTGATTCCTGGGCTGACACGACTCTCTATTCAGGAGGCTGCGTTGGCCTTCAAGCTGCCCAGGACGACCCTGACTTTCAGGTCGGTAAATTCAGTACCACTGATGACCACCCATGGAATCAACCCCGGGAGAAAACATCACGTCGAATCAACTTTGCTCGGCCATATTCCTCGCCACCCAAGGTTGTTATCTGGCTCAGTCAACTTGATATGGACAAGAACAAGAACTGGCGAGTCAATGCCACTGCAACCAATATCAACAGCACCGGATTCACTATCAACCTTGATACATGGTCCGACACTGTCTTGTACGCTGCTACAGCGCATTGGATTGCATATCCTAGCAATAAAGTCGGAGTCACGAGCGGAACATTCAACGTAACGGATATCAGGCCATGGAATCAGCCTCAGTTGTTGAACACAGACCGTGCCAACTTCCCAGCCAACACTTTCCAAAAGCCTCCGTTGATATTGATCGGCTTGAACAGTCTTGATGTTGACTGTCACCAAAATCTTCGAGTCAAGTTGGGAGCTACTAATATTTCTGCGAGTGGTATGGACTGGCGTATTGATAGTTGGTTTGACACCACCTTGTACGCTGCTGGCGGTTCTTATATCGCGCTATCTTAGCTTGTGACCTTTCAATATATTTGTCAATTGGATGATCGCCCGCCAAGATACTCAGTACTTGCATAATAGTGAAGCAAGAAAAGACTAAATGAAAGGGTTATTTCATTTGATGTTAATGGCCTGTGTATACTATATTTGCTTTAAACTAGCATTTGTGTTTCAGAATGCGTTTGCCCATGCAACATGCAATAATGACTTAATAGAATTGACTTTAACTTATTCTTAGTTTTTTAAGTTTAATAGATATTTCTTTTAATTCTTATATTATTTATATCTTATTAATACTATAAAGTTCCTTATATAAACTTAATTATTAGTAGACTATTGCTATAAATAATTATTACTAAGGGAGAGCGTTCTTATTCTTCTTAATAAAGTCCTTCCATAACGTCGACCTTAGCCCTACCCCAGCTAGCAGCTTTTCGCTTGCCTCCAGCGACTGGCCCCTATAGTACCCGGGCTCTTCAATGAAAAGATGGTTTTCGAGCATCTCCTGCGCCATAGATGGAGGCAGGAAGCTCTTGTAGGTCTCCGCATCGACCTGAACAAAGTTTGCTCTGCGCCCCGTTACCTCCTCAAATTCACTCAGGATGCGCTTAGTCGTGTAGTAGTCTGACGCGGCGAGGATCTGTTTGCCATAATGGGCGGCGGGGTTGCGTAGAATGGCGGCAACATATTTTCCCATATCGGCATCAGCGTCGATGAGTGGAAAGCGGGCCTTATCTGAAACGGGATAAGCAAGGGATACTTTATAAAGTATAAAATTATGAGGTAGAATCTAATATATATATTATTTATAAGATATAAGTTATATAACCTTAATTATATAACTTTTTTATTATTATTTCTTAAAAAGAAAATAAGGTATAATCTTAATAACATATAAAAGAATATAAATCCTAATATATTTATATTTTATTAAATATAAGTTACTATTTTATCCTAACCCCCTCTTTAAGGTTATACCTTATTAGATATAACTAAATTACTTTCTATTTTAGCCTAACTAAGGGTTAATATTAACCTTATAATATATATAAGAACAGGGGTTATTTATAGGCATATTTAGAGAGTAGGCAGGAGTAAAACCATACTTAACCTCCAGGATTGGCACCAAGTCCATGCTCAAAAAACGGCGTGGCTGCTGCCTTATTGGCTGTTAACCCAGCGTCGGTAAGGAGCTCATCTCGGAAGGGAAGATCAACGTGATCTTCACTCGGGCCAGCTTCCTTGGGACCTAGACGATCGACACTCAACTCTCATTAATCCACGGACTCCGTAATACCATCAAAACCTGCTTATTAGTTAAAGCCACATTTAATAAACCAAGGAGCTTTATCCCGAAGTTCTAGCCGGCCTAGCTAGTTAGCTGGCCGAACAGCTGCGACAGAAGAACCCAACCGATTAATTGCCTACTACTCGTTGGCTTATGAGGGGCGTACATCCAAAGCCTCTTATGCCGTCCCGAGCCCCCTAGCGTCCATCCCGCACGGGCTCATCCGAGAGATCTACATCTTAAATTTCCTAGTTGGCGAATCACTTCCCCAACAAAACTCGGGGCTCGACAACGCCATCCCAAGTATCCGGTTCGCCATAGAAATACTAGTCAATATTTACCTAAGAGGACATTGTCAATGCTCTGAAATCAAAACCCCGTCGTCCGTCCAACCAAATAGTACATTTGTGTTTTAAATGACAAGTGTCCACGTCAGGCTGACCATCCCACCGATATAAAGTTAAAAGTCCAGTTTAATGTAAGGCCCTGACCCAAGTCTTCTTTTCAGTCACATGCTGGCACCAAAATCCCGGCACCAAAATTGCGCCACTACTGGGGTCGGGACGTATTGGATGCTAGCGGCTCAAAGACGAAATATGAATTTCCGCGGGCATGGTTCCAGCGCGTGGCCAAAACCGACATCTGCTTAACAAGGTTAAGAATCAATCAATCACTAACCACACATTCATCAGAAAATTATCCCTGCTAACACAAGTACCTTATCTCAAGGAGGATCTAGATTATGATCGAGATTGTATTGGGTCACTGTGATTGAGGTCACTCTCCCGAGAAAAGTTATTATTACCAGCTCGTGTCCAGTCCCAAGTACACGCATTGTCCACGGACAACTGATTATGTAGTCGATGAACTTCTGGGTGAATGTTGGTCTCGGGGTTGTTGCGAGGGTTCAAGATTGGCACTCATGACCAGTGTCTGTTTCGGAACTCTGCAGCTTTGGTGCTGCTGAGGCAAGTATGCATTATGGACTACTCGAATTATGATATCTGCCGTGGGATCGAAGCACAATCCAGAACTGATACAGCGCTAAGAACCCTATCTGAAGCGCTCAGTCACCCAGACTGCCAGCACCATCTTCTTGGGCACATCTCTCTGAAAAAGGGCAGAGAGCGGAGGGAGGTCGCCTTCGCTGTTAGATTCGGTAAGGTTAATGTAGGTTACTCTGTTATTGACTGTTTTTGTCACCACTGCCTGAAGGAGGGCTCGGCTGCCAGGAATCTGCGATAGCATCGTTGGAACCTTCGTATGCACAGTGGTTATATTCTTGTCGCGTAGAGTCGTCATTGTGAGAGATTAAAGCCTGGTCTTACACAGATCCATCCTTATTGTAAAATGCCCCAGTAATTGCTGTCATGAGTTCTAACCGCAGTGACGCCCGCAGCTGCGTGGTGTTGCCGATGCCAACATACGTGCCTTTGTTACGTCTTATGAATCTATTTACATTTGTAGCCCTATAAAACTGCTTTTTTTCGGTGATGCTGATGTTACCCTTGGGCACTAAAGCCGGGTCATCAACTAAGTTGGCAGGCTGAGCATCTAATCGTAGTTTCTCACTTCTCATTTCAGTGCTCTAGGAACGAGCGCAGCGACCTCTACATGCATATAATATAATCCGAGCCCTAGACGCAAAAGTCTGGTCATCTAATGAGGTATCCTTAATTGAGTTACCAATCCCCTTGCCATTGTTGGTTCGGCAAGGCTGCATTGCATCACATCGAGAAACCGGTTTTTACCAGACTAATTCAAGACTTTGGAGTCATGACATCATTTACCGTAACCCAGACCTCCTAAATGTAACTAAACAGCAGGTAGTCGTAGTCACAGTAAGATGATCTGTCTCCGTCCCTGTTTGGGCTTTGGCTTGCAGTAGCTCAAAACCAAGACCAAGAAATCCCAACGTCTGGTCTTGTCGAGGCACAATTCTAATCGTCGATCATTGCTTTCGTCATTTTGGAATAACTTCTAAACTTTAAAGCCTACCTGGTCTAAATACAGACTTCTAACTACCGGTGACGACAATGCAGCCAAGTAGGCCCTAAATGGCCTATCGAAAGGCCATGCACCTTTTGCGTCCGGCGCCCCAATGTCTTTGAGTCTACTTTCATCGGCAGTTGACCGGCAGTTGATATACTTTTTCAAGGGTCGGAAGGGTGCCGTAATTGATAGGTTTCTGCCGAATGGTCGCGTCTGAGCCAAGTTAGGCAAGGGACTAGACTAGCTCATGCAGTATCGCGTAGTTGAAGAATGAGATAACTTGGTTGTATTTCTTTATTCTGATTGATATTTGTTTATATATTATTGAGGACTGAAAGCTCGGTTATAGGCCTATTATGGCATGGTATGTCTATCCCGTCTTTCATATTAAGACAGACGGAGAGCCGGCATAAGGAGTGAATTAATCTGGCAGAGCCCGATTCTGCAAAAGCGACAGAGAAGAATAAGAAGCTAGACGGTTATAGAAATGGTTGCATGTGGGGAGGAGTGTATGAATTCTCCGTCAAAGCGCGGATAGAAATTGAATAAAGATTAAAGGAGCATGAGCACAGCCTTATTCACCTCCCCCTGTTTATCCCATGTCCCTTTTTAGCCACGGAAAAGTCCGCCCCATATTCACCAGTTTTTAAATTCAACTCCGTAATAGACTTGAAGTTGGCCAGAGTGAGTTTGGTAGGAAGTCGCACAACCTAATCACTACACACAACCCGAGTCTCATTGAACTTGGGTGTGCCTCCATTCTGTTCTTTGCGACTGCGCTGTGCCATGTCGGCATATTTGGCCATCCTTGCTTTTGACGTTTTACTCTCTCGTACCCTTGTGTACCTAACTCTAAGACGACTATCGGGCTTTTCTGCATTAATGTGTAAGATAAACGAGTGGGTCAGACAAGCGAGCAGGTCACCAAATTGTACCTAGACAAAAGTCATATTCATAAAACAACCACAAAATATTGCTTCAGGTACTCAGAAAGATTCTCGTAGGGATCTTCCGCTGGAATTTCTAGTAGCTTCGATGCTGGCCATACGACAGGCTATTGTGAATGCTAGCAAACTTTTGGTCACGGAAGTCCAGGCGGATATCTGTGGTCGGCGGACTCCTAGTTAATGTCGATCTTAGTCACTATTGAAGTTAGACACCACAAACATTGCCGATCGACAAACTCTAAATCCCACGTTGGTATCCATCAAACTATTGCGCGGCCGATCGCCCGTCCACTTCCTCCTCGGTGAGGCACAGGGCCAGTGACCGGCAATGTGGTGGGTGCCAAGACGAGCTTCCCCAGCCCGTGGCAATAACATCAAGCCATGAGCCGGGAGAAGGCTCTGAGTTAATAATCACATTTATTAACTATTAAGCCTTAGACTAGCCTTCTTGCCTTGCCTATCCATGCGTGATTGTATAATGTCATTAGTTATAGCTGCTGAATTCGTTTCAATCTCGTCGCCGGTGCTCCAATATCTAACTCTCCCCTAAGCAAAGAAAAACATCAACTGGAATGCTATCATTAATAGGCACAAGAGGTATTCGGATAACGTCAAACCTTTTATAACCACTCGCTCGCTTCGCGCACTGAACATAATGCACGAATCGGAGGGATAGAACATAATTCGGAAGAGGCGCGTACGTTACAACCCCAGGGTACAGAAATAATATCCCCGGCATCCAATGCATATACTGCACTTTACGCTTTCACATACCACCAACATACTATCATAATGACAGCTCAAACTCCCAGTGGATCATCCTGGTTCACTATGCAGCACCCCAATGCGACGCCATGAACCCCAGCCACGAACGAGTGCCCAGAGTGTGTGGAAATCCAAACCAGTCACATGCAGCTTCGATCTCTTTTGAACACGAAACAACTGCAATGACATTCACGGTGACGCTGAGGCGCAGATGACGAGGTGAAAGAGAATTCCAGGCAGGAAGATTTACTCCGTGCATGTGATGCGTGACTGAGGGGCAGGAGTTGGGAGTTTTAGGAAAAATCTTTGTGGCAACGATGGCCGTGATGGACATAAACTTGGATTGGTCGTGGTTGGCTTCGTCTATATAAACCCCCTCAACTCCCACCTCGGGTCGAACTCCTCAGCTCGTCAGCATCTACAACATCCCTTCTCAAGCCCTCAAGCTTCCAAACAATCCTACCAAACATTCAACTTTTGATAAAATCAACCACGTTCCTCAGCATCTAAAATGAAGACAGCCACTGCTCTCTCCGCTCTCACTATGGCCGTCGCTGCCATTGCTGCTCCCTCTGATATTGAGGCTCGTGGTGGCAGCAGCTCGTGCAACACCAGAACCCACAAGCAGCTCTGCTGTAATGGTCTTCTCGCTTGTGCTGTCCAGGTCATCGGCAGCAACTGCAACAACGATGCCTACTGCTGCAAGACCAATGCCCCCGTTGTAAGTATCCTAAGAAGAGTAAAGACGAAACGAATACTGACTTCAGTAGGGCGCTCTCATCAACGTCGCTCTCCTCAACTGTGTCGATATTCTCTAAATGTCACGCCTCAGCGACTTAGTCTATGGAGAATTAGTTGGATCACTAGGGCCCTGTCAATGTCGCTCTCCTTAACTTTGTCGCGCTCAACCTTTAAATGCGGAGTAATGAATTCGCGATCTGGTGCTTATGGGCCTAGAAGGGCTCACAAGCAATTACGGAATTGGGAAATTGATTCAGAGGATACTTGAGTTTCACGTTCTTGACTGAGCCTTCCGGGTACTTGAAGGTAGTCACTCCTTTCTATGGTTTTCTAACTAGGCGATGGGTCAGGGGTTTTATTTTGGAAATAGCTCCCTGATTCTCCTGTCAAGCAAGCGTAGGCGAGTAAACCTAGTCAGTCGAGTATGAAATTCTAAAAAACTTGGATAAAATTGTTTGCCCTTATATCTAAGTGATAGAGTTGATGTTCACTAAACCATGCTTTCGTTCCCAGTTGACGCGGTCATTGATCGAAGTCACCTAAACACCAAAACCTTGGCGCGGGGCAACAAATTCACAGAAAGGCCCTCATTAGCAAAAGAGACAACTCATCAAAACAGGAGCACCAGCAATAGGCACAGGAACACTCAAGCCTATTCCAACCATATTGCAAAAGATGCAATCCCACTTCCTACTCTCGCACTCAATCGTATACTTGAGATTTCCATGCTCATTAGAATTATCTCCAGATCCGTCCCTCGGAATGTTGCGCATGGTGAGCTCAATGCTGGCAGGAAGCTTGTAGTACCGGTCGACTTTCTGCTCATATTGTCGACACTGGCCCTCCTTGCCAGGTCGTGTGTCAGGCTGTCGGCAGACCTCTGTTACTACCTCTCGCTCGCTTGTAAACTTGTCGTGCGTAGCCAACGTGTCGAACACCGCCGCCATGCGCTCCAACGAGTTATTTGCAGGGTCACCGCTGCACTCCCAGCTGATAGTGCACTTATCGTTGAGGCGACGTTTGGTGGTGTCACACTTGTAGCCGTCTGGCAAGAAAGACTCTCTGGCTGTTTTCATGATTTGGCTGGCGGGCTTGTTCCAGAACTCGACTGTGTCGCTGTTCATCGAGCCATGGATCTCCATCTTCTGAGGCTCAGGCTTGGGTTTCTCAGGCTCAGAGTTGGGGCTAGGACGGCCTCGGTGATTACAGACGTATGCGCTGGAGCACCATTTTCCATCTGCCAACTGGAAGACTCTGTCTCGGTGGTAAGAGTAGCATGTGAGGTCTTTTGTTGGTTCGTACGAATGGTGAGCGAATCCAGCTTCGTTGGGGTCCTTTACGTTGAGATCATTCATCACGGCGAATTCGTCGCCATTGGGCATAGTGAACACGGCCCATCCCCAGGGATATTGACCAGTCCACGGCACGTTGACCATCATGGTTGGCTTGTAGGTGTTCTCACCCTGACCAGTCCAGACGTCGCCGTTGTAGTAGATGGCCTCGCGGGAGGTTGAGCCGCCGTTTTCGCCCAGCCCTATGCCACAATCGGCCAGGACGAGATTCTCATTTGGCGTATTCTGCGAACTGGCAAGGGGAGCATAAGAAAGGAAGGCTAAAGCCGCAAGGGCGACTTTGGAATTCGTCAACGCTATCATGATGGGTAAAGACAAGTTGTTCAAAGGAGATGATGTACTGTTCTGGGTTCGGAGTATGAGTAGGATGTCTGAGTTGGATCTTGGACTTGATGCCAATTTCATGACCGAGGCGCTACTATTTATATGAATATTCACAAAGCTCTCTGATGTTGCGAATCTTCTCATGTGAACTAACGACAGCTGAACCAGACCTACGAACCCCTAGCGAAGCGCAGCTCTACTGGAATCTGATGATTCTCATCTTGCATGCAGTCCTATGTGGCTATACATCGTAAGCTTACTCAAATGAAACCAACGCATTCTGGATCCTAGCTAATAGCTGTGTAGCCATGGCTATGAGGTTTTTAAACGGGATTTCTGTTATGATTGGCGGATTATCCCTGTTTTTTAGCGGGTCTTGGCGGCCCTCGCTGTTTAGTTTATATCCCGCCCCTGTATACTGACTGCATCGGGGCTTCACCACCTGAATTCTTTTTGCACTGACAGGTAGTAAGCCTGTGCCGCTTATCTGCTGGATAGGGCTATGTGTTAACGTTGATTTTGAGATTCTCACCTAAAGAGAAATCCTATGTTATTATAACCTTAATAGTAAAATTCTATTCCTCTTATTAATATTAAATAATACATTCTATTACTAAATACTTGAGATATATATTAAAATACCCTCTTAAGCTTAGGTTATTAAGCTGTAGTACTTAAATAGTTCTGATATATAATAAAACCTAATAAGGCTAACTCTTATTAAGCGCTACTAAGCATAGTCTAAAATCTAATGCCTAATTACCTGTAATTGTCTTATTTATTACTACTAGTTAAACAGTTATTAAATAGCTTTCCAAAGCTGAGGGTAGGAATGCAAAGGTGATAACTGTTTGCGAGTAACGTAGCATCGCCAGCCAAAGACATCGGCGGACTCCGCATCATTGTGAACTTTACATGACAAAAAGGACACTTGAGCATAATAAACAAGACTCCAAAAACTCCACCCAAAAACTCCACCCAAAAACTCGGTGTAGCCGAAGTTGAAGAAATAACTGAGTTGAGAACTTGATGACTTGTGATTCCGCCAATTAACAGGAGGTTAAATCCACCCCAGTTACAATCTGCCCTAGTTCTAGTAGGCCTCTAGGGCTGAATTATTACAGTTATTTATCCGCGAAAATTGTCATCTAATTCGCTCGCTCTGAGGGCCTTCCGCTGACGTGAGAAGCATGCGTCGGCAATGTCCGCTTACCCCTGCTCTAAGCATAACATACTAGGGGATCCACAAAACCTCTTGTTGAAAAACTAGGAATCTGTTAAACCGTGGGTATGAAATTAGCAGGGCATTTTGACCAAAGGAGCTGCGTTTCCTAAAATAGAAAAGTTACCTAATAATTACCCCTCTTTTAAAAATAAGGTAATATATTTTTAAAAAACACTATATAAATAGTTAATTTTAATTAATAAATAGGTTAAATAATTTAAAGTCTTAGAGTTGTATTTTTTAAAAATAACTATAATTATAAATAATAAATTACTAATTAGTAAAATAAATTATTACTTAAGTATTTAATAATCAAATATAATATTATTAATTATAAGTATAAAAACTTACTTTTTAAATAAATTTACTAATTAAAACTCCTTTAAGTAATCTTATATTATAAGAATATTTATTAAATAGATTTATAAGCTTAAGAAACTTAATAACTTAAGCTAATTTATAATTATTTATATTTAAGAGCTAAGGAGGCCTAAATTTAATAATTACCTTATAAAAAAATATATTCTTTAATTATTACTTTATTTATTAGTTAATTTAAAAACCTAATAATATCTTATATAAAGTTAATACCTAAGAATTAAAAGGCTTATAAAATATTAATAATTATTTATAAAAGTAATTTTAATAAATATAATAAGTAGGTAAATAGTATATATAATATACTTAATTAGATAATTAAGAAAATTAATTTATATTATATTAAGATATATTTACTTATAATAAATAAATTTATATAATATAATATTTAAATAGCTTTACTAGCTATAAGGGCAATAAATATTTAAACTATATTAGATTTTAAAAATGCTTAGATATACCTTTTAAGGCTAACTTGCAAACTTAAAAGAAATATATAAAATATATAAAATATTATAGCTATTTTTGAAGTATTAAATATACTTTTAAATTAATATAAATACATTACTTATAAAATAAGTAAAAGTATTTTCTATTAGCTTTAAAATATATATACTTTAATAGCTAGCTAGGGCTTCTGGTAAGCGCAAATTAGGGCAAAGAGTATTAAAAAACACGTTTTTAGTAAAATCAGCAATAATGCAAGAAGAGGCCGTTAAGTACTGTAATCTACATATAGCTGCGCCCTTTGCGATGTAGTTATTTGTAATTGTCAGAACTGTTGGGACTTTTATTATAGCCTTATTTAGGTAGTAAAAGAAGTACTGAGACTTCATTGAATTTTAACTGGCTACGACCCCTCCCTGTGACTTCCACACAGACTTATGATGGCTGAGGAGATAGGATATCAGTGGCTGGCGGGTTCTCTGCGATGTCGAGCTGGGTCTCTTAACGGGCATCCAATCTGTGGACTGTGGCTGACCGTGGCTTGTTATCCCCTGATAAGAGGATATTTTCCTTTTTCAACGATATCGCTAGACAGAAATATGGCCTACTGATAGGACATAAATGGAGGTCATCCCTGGAAGTTACCGCGCCAGAGTGTCTCGCCAGTTAATAGCATAATTGCTTTTCTTTATATTTAATCAGCCTCTCCCTGCGGGAAGTCCAGTCCTGACCTGTATCTGTATTCCGCGATCTGGACTATCGCGATGCCGTCTCCAATCACGCGCGGCAAATACTGCCGATATAACCTATCGTGTCCTTTTCTTTCTACTCTCGCCGTTTACATCTTATGGGTGTCTTCTTCCCTCGTCGTAATCTCGATCGTCTCCTACTTCGTATTCCATCTCCGCAGCCGGCATTTATTCCTTCACCTTGTGAGAAAAAAATACGTAATCCCCGTAACTTGCTGGATGATTAACAATGTCATCAATATAGCTCTCTGCAGCCTCTTATTTCGTCGTTCTGCAACTACTCTCTGTGCTCATCATTTCCTACTGCTATTCCATTCCTGTAATCACGCGCCTCGTCACTGATGCTATTAGCTGCGCGCTCTGGGCAGCTGGCTTCACCACCATGGCAGCCTACGACGTGAGACAGAAGCTCCTGTTGCGATGCACCGGGCATTTGATTTGCAGCCTCTATAAAGTGCTCTTCGCCTTTGCGGCTGTCGGATTGTAGGCTTCCGCTATCTAGCTCTCTCTCTTTGCATTTGTTCCTAACAGGGTGACAGGATTGCTTCAATATTGGCTCTTGTGTTAGATGTTTACGTTTTGAGGCGCGTCCGGTCTGGCTATGAGAACATCGAGAGCCAGGCGAATAGAGAGCAGGATTTTCTGCAGCCCTATCGCCCGTCTCATTTAATGGTGCACAGAGGATAGGAGGCTTGAGGTGGAGGATACGGCCGACCGAGGATAGAAGGGAATAGCAAAGGCTGAAGACGTGGTACAGAGTAGTACACTCGTAGTTTATGGAAGCATGCTGTAAGCGAATACTGACCTATCTCATCCGTGGCTGTATTTAACTAGCAGCAACTCAGGTATGACATTTGCCAAATCGCAGAGCCCATTGTATCTGGTAGTCACAAAGTTGGGATACCGGTGCCTTTCTTGTAGGTAATTCATCAATTGGCTGGGAAAGCTCTCAATTCGGCAGACTGCTCGTGGCGCACACACTTACCAAAAAGCTCATAAGCACGTTTGGACCTGCCCCAGGCTGTAGCATGAAGGAAGTCTGCTTTTAATCCTACCGCGCGTACTTGAACTAACGTGCCCGCGCATCAGCACCAACAGCGGCGTCCCATCATCTCATAGCAAATCTACTGGATAACTCACACCATGTTGCTCCGGATCTCGCCTCGAAACCGCGCCCACCTAATATGCCTCTGTGCAGCCCTGCTCCTGATAATTACATGGCCGTATCTAACTGTCTTGCCCCTGAAGCAGCACCCCGTCATTGCGGAGGATGACGGCGCCAACCAAATCGTCCATACGTTAGACCGACCCCTTCCCGCCCCGCACCCCCGCTACTTCTGCCTCTCCCCTCTGTCCACCCACCTCGGCGCACGCTTCGCAAAGCCAACCCGGCCCACGGCACCCTAGCGGCAAGCCTCCCTTATCAAGCTGCTGCACTCGTTCGTTGGGACCATGGAGGACGTGGGGATTACTACGTGGATCGCCCACGGTTCTCTGCTCGCCTGGCACTGGAACGAGCGGATCTTCCCATGGGAATGGGACCTGGACGTCCATGTGCACCTTCGAGTGCTGCAGGAGCTGGTGAGCTGCTGCAACGGCTCGGTGTACAAGTATGGCATTGAGGGAAAATATTTGCTGGATGTTAATGCGTTTGTGTGGGAGAGGGATGGTAATGTGGACCCGGCTAATCGGATCGATGCGAGATGGATAGATCTTGCGACGGGGCTGTATGTGGACATCACGGCTATGGAGGAGACTGATGATGCTGAAGGAGAAGGGTTGCTAGCGGCCAAAGACGGGCATCGCTATAGGAAGAAGGACGTGCTGCCATTGGGGGCGGCGCGGTTTGATGGTGTGGAGGTGCTGGTGCCACGCAATGTAACGGTGGTGCTGGAGAATGAGTACGGCAGGGAGGCACTGGTTAGGAGGGTGTTTAGAGGGTAAGTTCGGCATGCGATTAGGGGACAGGTACTAAAGAGTTACAGGTTTAGGTTTCATGAGGACCTAAGGGAGTGGGAGGCTATCACTTCAGATATGACGTCCCGCTGAGAGAATGAGAAGCACGGCGAAGGAACAAAACGTCCAGACTACGTAAGAATTACAAAGAAAAAGATACATTGCACCACGCCGACAGTGTTTTCCCCATACATGCGGAGACTGGATGAGATCCAACTGCAAGGGCTAATAATAGAGTTTATGCCACCCTGCGCTTCAGCGTAGTGTACCGCGGTAAAGCGGGGATAGCAGCTATTGTCGATTAATTCTAACTGGTCTTAAGTAAGAGGGCTACATTAATTTCCCGTTATGCATTTAATTCTGTCGAAGACTTACCAGGACGTGGCGAGAGATCGCCGAGCTTGAGCCTGAAGATCTTTGTTATTCAAAAACCACAACATTCAAACGTTGACTATTATTATAATCAAGCCGGTCGATTAAGATGCGGAGCTATCTTCTATTCATCCTAACACTTGCTGTAGTAGTGCATTCTGCGTCTCGCCATCAAACACCTGAAGAGTCGGCGCGCCAGCAAAACGACCCACGCTTCCATGACAGGGCGTACCATGGCCTGCCTTGGGAAGAATACAGCAAGCAAGGATTCTTTCCGCGAGAGGCCTTTCCTCCCACGCTTACATCCGTCGACCTCGTGCCAACTAGAACTGTTCCAATAAGTTTAATGCGTCGCGCCTCGTTCGACGCGAACGGCTGCGCTTTGGATGGACCACTTAATTGCTTTACATTTACTTGTAAGTTCTAGTTGAATGGACTGAGAAAGTATTCGCTCACTATGGCGGCAGGCCCTACTAGTATACAAGTATGTGTTTTCAATACATCGTTACTATTACATGCTAAGTATCAGTGCTTTGACGGTGGTTGCTGCCCTCTTGGGAAGTACTGCGGCATTAAAAATGGACAATTTGGATGCTGCCCGTTGTATGTATCCTTAGTCCTACTATCCTCGGTTGAAAAAGCTGAAAAGATATAGGGCCGGTCCACCATGCGACACCGATCCGATCCCAAGATGCTCAGTGTATGTTGACCTCCTCTATCTTCCCCAACGGGCGTATTTACTGACCCGGGCTCGGGGTGCCTAATTTAGCTCCTGCTACGGAATATGCTGCGACCTAGTTCAGGACATCATTGGAGAGCGTAAGAATGCTACATACTATCTATCTACCACGTCGCTAGAACTAACAAATGTCTCGCCCTAATAGCCGTCTGCAGTCCAACAGTTGGCGGTGAAGGCCAAGCATCCGGCCTCTGCACTGGTGTTGGACCCAGCAGTCCTTTATACACCCCGTTAACCAGTTGTCCCGCAAATGAGATGTAAGTAATGTTTCTGTTCATGATTTCATGGCCTATTTTCTAGCAGGCGTCTAAACTAGCGATTTTCGGCGAATGCCTCACATAATAAATAGAGCTGACACTGCAGTAGTTTGTGTGGCGATGCATGCTGCCCTGGCGGCGGAGGGCTGATTTGCGATAATACTAGTATTCCAGGCGCACCATTCTGCAACATTCCCCCTTAAATTTCTTGCTGATAATACTTTTAACTGAACTATATAAGCCTTATCTGATTGGATTGTAATTAATAGAAATTGTACAAGGTATTTTCCATCTCAGTCTGGCAATAGGGTCTTAAAGACATAGGCAAACACTACTATAATTAGCTTCCTTATCTAGTTGGCTTACTTATTAAATATATTAGCTTATAGCTTAAAGAGTTAAATTCTTAAATATTTTAGGCATCTTAATTATAACTTAAATATAATTATATATATATTTTAATATAATAGTTATAGTTTCTTAAGGAATAAATTAGTTTATTTATATTAAATTATATTAAATTCTACTTCCTAGAGGTTTTATTATTTAAGTTATAGTCTTTAAGTATCCTTACTTATATATAATACCTAATGCCTATTTAATAAGTTATAATAACTAGTTAAAAAGCAGTACTTAGCTAGCCTTAAGCTTTTTTTATTTAACTTACTTAAAAAGTTTTTAATTACCTTTTATAATATATTATACCTTAATTATTTATTATACTTTTATAATAAGTTATTTAACTTAACTTTTCTTTTTAATTATATTATTAATATTATTATAAATTTTGTTTTTCTAACCTTTAGCCTTGTAAAAGGCTACTAAGCTTTTTAGCTTTTTTATTAATAGTTTAAATACTAAGACCCTTATAGGAGGCTATTATTATAGAATTTAGAATTAAATAAAGTTTATCTGCCTTAATATTGCAATTACTGCCTTAGCTAAGTAATACTAATACTAGTTATATCTTAATAGCTAAATTAACCTTTTTCCTTTAACCTATTTAAAGGAATACTATACTTAATTTATTTATTATACTTTTACTTAAAGGTTAGTTAAAGCCTAACTAAGTAAGTTATAAACTTATAAGTATATTATCTAACTTAACTTTCCCTTTTAACCCTTCTTGCTAATAGTATAATAGCTATTAAGCTTGCCTTAGAGGTAGCTAATAAAAAAGAACTTTATATAATATATATAATAGTTATTACTATTATAAAGAACTTCTTATTAAGGGGCAGATTTAACTTTATTAAAGTAATTATTTTTAATTATAGCCTAATTTAATTAATTAATTATATAAAAGAGAGGTATTATATTAATTTAATTAATTTAAACTAGGTTAATAATAAGCTATTAGATTTTAAAAACTTAAAACTAGCATTAAAAGAAGGTTATTTATTTTAATTAAATAAGGCAGCTTTCCTTACTACCTTTATAAATAACTTAGCTATATATAAAAAGTAGCTCCTTAATATATCTATAAGAATAGCTAATATTACTAAAGAGCTGCTTATAAATTAATAAAGAGTTTTAAGATAAATATAAGATAAAGGCAGGGTTTTATAAAGATTTTATTAAAATTAAAATTAAAGGAATTATATTAAGTTTTATATAAGTTAGTAAAAGTTAAATTAACTTAAAGTTATAACTTAATTATTTAAATATATATAGTAAGGTATATAATTAATTAACTTTATATATAAAAATAAATAAAGTAAAATTAGTAAAAAAGCAGTAGTTTAAACTAGGGGTTTTATTAAATATAATTATATAAAATAGCTAAATGAAATTAATAATAATTAAAAGTATTATTTAATTAAGTTAAAATTTTTAAATAGTACTTTATTACTTTTATAAAGTAATTATTTAACTTAAAGATATTATTAATTTATACTTTTATTAAGAGTATTAGCTAAAATAATATACTTAAAAGATATTAATAATTTTTTAATTTTTTTTTAAGTTTATAAGTTAGCCTTAAAAGGTATATTTAAGTATCTCTAGAGTCTAATATAGTTTAAACATTTATTGCCCGTATAGCTGGCAAAGCTTATAAATATTATAAATTAATAAAACTTACTAACTTAAAGTATATTATATTATTAGAAACTAATAGCTTGAATATTAAGTTACTTATTATATTAAATAAATTTAATTATTTTACATATTAATATTTTATAATTATATAAAATTATATTTTTTACTATTAATAAGAAGTAAAATATAATACTATTAAAGTTTAATAAATTAAACTAAAATTTTAAATATAAATAAAAAGGAGCAAATATATATATTACTAGATTATTTAAGATAGTAAGGATATAAATAATATATTAAAAATAACTAGTATTATATATTAAAGTGCTATAAAAAGGGCTATTATTAATAGCTAAGCCTAATTAAAGTTAATAGATATTATATAACTTTAAAAAGGTAATTTAAAAGAGAATATTAATTATAATTTAAGATAGGTTAAATAAAATAGTTTTACTTATAAGAGTTACTTAATATTTTTAAAGTAGTAAAATAAATACAAGCAAAGGCAATAATAAATACGTAAAATTAATAAAAATATAAATAAATAACTTATAAAGGATTACTATTAATATAACTTATATAAAGCTTTAACTATAAAATAAACTACTATTATTAGTAGCTTTATAGTATACTAATTAGGATGCTTTAGTGGCTTGCTAATATAATAATAACTAATCTAAGTAAAGTACTATTTAAATATAAAGGGAAAGAGGAATTAATAAGTAAATATTAATAGATTAAATATTAATATTTACTTTACTATTTTAGCCATTAACGAGGCGTGTTATAGGTTTAGGCTAATTAAATATCTAGAAATTAATATAAATCTTTAATACTAATTAATAGCTTTTTCTAATTTAAGTTATATTTACTAAATTAAAAAAAGGGGTCTAATTTATAATTTAATAATCTAATTTATAAAAGTTTTATTTTTAAATATATATTATACTTTTTTAATATATTTAATTAAGTATCTTTAAAAAGACTATAACTTAAATAGTAAAGGGCACTAATATTATATATACCCTACTTTATTTTTACAAATTATATAATAACTTATACCTTACCTTATAAGTCTTTTAAATTAGCTTATAATATAGATTTATAACTTATTATAAGCTAGGCTTAATATACTTTAATTACCTAATATATATATATATATATTTATTTAATAGTAAATATAACTTAGTTTATTAGCTATTAATAAAACTTCTTTATATTAATAAGCCTTATATATATTACTTAATTATTAATATATATAATACTTTATATTACTTAGTATTATATCTTACTTTATTTACTAATATAAACTTAAAATAAATTAATTTATTCTGTTACAACCCCTGCAGTTACATCACGTATACCCTACAAATTCACTTTCCTCCTTACTAATTATAATACGGTTTATATAAGGATAACTAACACCAGAACGCCATTATCCCTAAAATGCTATATCCTAAGATAATAGTATCCCTATATACTATTATCCCTTACTTTATAACCTTAATATATAGAATATATTTATTAGTACTTTTATAAATCTTAGCTTACTAGCTATTAATAAGACTTTTTTATATTAATAAGCCTAATATATATTACTTAATTATTAAGAGATATAATACTTTATATTATTTAGTATTATACCTTATATTATTTACTAATATAAACCTAAAATAGACTAGTTTATCCCTTAAAAACTATTACTATTATATATTAATAGCTCTTATTTAGGCTATACTGTATAATACTAAGTAATACTAATATAATAGTACTTATTACTTTAAGCCAGTCTTCTAACTTGGGATATACCTAATACCTATTATAGTAAGAGATTCCCCCTAACCTAGAGGATATTCTTATAAAAACTAATAATAAAGAAAAAGAAGAGATTACTCTTACTTATCTAAGTACCTATAAAGGGGAAGTTATAAAACTTAAATATAAGTTTAGGAGACTTAGCTAATAATATAATAATCTTTTAGAGAATATAATAAATAACTCTAATATAGCTAAAAGTAAGATTAAAACCTTAAAAGCTAAGATAGCCTAATTTATTAAACTTATTAAAGGACTTAAGGAAGAAGCTAAGAAAAGTAAGAAAATATATTAAAAATATATTAAATATACTGCAGCACTTATAGCTATTAAAAAAGACCTTAAAGAAATCCTTAAACTATAATAGCCTGACTTATATAATAGAAATACTAATAAACTCTAAGGATTCCTTACTAGCCTATATAGCTATTACTTATACTACCTAACCTAGTTTATTATAAATAAACTTAAGGTATAATATATAATAGGATTCCTTAAAGATAAAGTACTTTAATAGTTTAAACCTATTATATATAACTATATTAATAATCCCTATAAAAAATAAAAAGATATAACTAATTATATTTATAATAATTATAAAGACTTTAAAAAAGAGATATAATATATACTTAGGATATAAGATAAAAAGCAATTTACAGAACTAAAAATTAAATAACTTAAATAGAAAAGATCTATAGCCTCTTACTTTACTAAATATTACTATTAGGCATTTAGACTTAACTAAAATAAGGAGGTATATATAGCCTAGGTATACTTAAGATTAAAGTCTAAAATTAAGGATATTATAATTAATATTAGACTTAAGCCTACTAACCTAAATAACCTTATTACTATTATAATTAAAATTAATAACTAGTAATATAAGTAAAGATATAAGAAGTAAGCTAAATAAAGTAATAAAATATATAACCTATAGTAAAATAATAACTATAAATAAAATAATGCTAATTAAAGGTATAAGAGATATAATAATACTTCTTATAAAACTAAAGCAGGATTTATAGTTTTTAAAGCTACTTAATAAGGAAATAGAAAGCCTTAAGATATATCTAAAATTAAATACTATAACTATAACTAGTTTAGATATATAGTATATATCTGCCTAAAACTAAAGAAACTAAAAAAACTAAATTAAGGTAGGTAAGCCTTAGAATTAACTTAAATATAAGACCCCTAAATAGCTATATATATTAAGATACTTAAAATAACTTAAAGTAAATATAATATAGTTTTATATTATAAATTAACCTTTATAAAACTACTATTAGAAACCTATAAAAGATAAGAAAAGAAGGAACTTATAAAAGAAGAAATAAAGTAATAGAGACTCTAAAGGAATAAAATTAATAATAACTATTATTACTAAAAGATAGAAAATCTAAAATAAAAGAAATACTTTTAATAGAAATAAAAGAAAGATAATAGAATAAAAGGATAATAAAAAATATAAAGAAATAAAAGTTTTAAGAGTATTTAATAAAGGAAAAGTAATTATCCCTTAAATAGAAAAATAGCTAAGTA